TTTAACTTTACGATCGATTTAAAATTAATATATAAAGGAGGTAAAATTAAATTATAAAGCTTTATTAATTTAGATTAAGGAATATGTAAAAAAACTTATTAATTAACTTTAGGGTATATATTTAATTTAAAGAGTGGTATTATTAGTTAAAGTTTAAAAAGGTAGCTAATAATTTTATTATCCTTATTTGAAGTTAAATTAAAAGGGTAAACCTAAGCTATTAAAGAAGCTATTTAAATATAAAAACTATTAGTTAAACTAAATACTAATTTAAATAATATACTTATAATTATTTATAATAATAATTAAAAAATAATCTTAGCTTTATATAACCTACCATTATATAATAAAGGGAAATATATATTAATTTAAAATTAATAGTATTAAAAATAAATTACTGCTGGAAAAGTTAATTTTAAATATATTTTAACCATTAATTAAATAATAAATAAACTAATAAAAGCACTACTAAGGCTAACCTTTAAAAAGTTTAAAAAATCATTAAGCTTAAAATAAATAATAAAGCTAAGATAATCTATATATAAAGTTAAATAAAAATCCTATATTAAAATTAACTTAAGCTAAAATACTTTTATTATTATATCCTTTAATAATAATAAATAATATAAAAATTATCTTTATAATTTAAAAATATAAAATTTAAATTATTAAAAATTAAGCTATAAAATAAATATAAGTTTAAAAAAAACTATTAATAATAACTTAAAAAAAGTCTAAAACAAAACCATAAAGCATTTTAAAATAATATTCCAAAAAGTAAAATAATAAATATTATTAATTAACCTAAACTAAATCTTTTAAATACCTATATACCTAAATATAATAGGATTAACCTTTAAAAGATACCTTTAATAATATAACAATAATAAGCTATTAACTTTCTAAGGTTACTTTAAACTAGCCTTACCTATAAATAATAAAATATATATTTATTTATACTTTATATCCTTTATTAAAATTTTCTAACATTAATAATATTTAAAATATTATAAAAGTAATTAATATAATAATATAATAATAAAGGCTACCTTAAAGGAATTTTAACTAATTATAAAACTAAATAATTTAACTATAATAGCTTTATTTACTATACTTATAATAGGTTTATTAATTAAATAAAACGTAAAAGATAAGGTTTAATATATTTTTAATATTATTATAATAAAGGAAAAAAGTTAAAAAGGAAAGCATATAGTAATCTAAAACTATAACCCTTATAATTAATTAAAAAAAGGTATAAAAGTTAAAAAAGCCCTATAAAGTTTTTAAAGGTTAATTTATAACTATTTTAAAACAAAGTTAATAAGCTTAATAATTTAATATAATATAAATTAATAGTAAAATAGGTAAAAAAAGTATATATATTATTTTATAAAAAAAATTAAAATATAATATAAAATAAATAATATACCCTTTTTAAAAACTTAAAACTTATAAATTATAAACTATTTATAACTTATACCTTAATAAAGGTATTAATTATTAAAAAAAGCAGTTATAAAAATATATATAAATAGTATAAAGATAAAGGGGGAAAAAAAAAATATTTATAAAAATATTCACATTTATATAAAAATAATAAATATATAATATATTATAGCTATTATATACTATAACGCCTTAATTTTAAAAGCTTTATATTATAAATAGCAATTTAAAAGTAATATTAATAAAACTTTTACCCTTTATAGTATTCTATTTTAAGAAACTTAATATTACTTCTATTTATTATTTACTATAAATAATTTAACTTTTAAAAGAGTTTTACCTTATCTATTTTATTTTAATAGGCGTCCTTTAAAACATTACCCTTATACTATCCAACATAACTATTCAACTCACCCTAAAGGGAGCTACCCTTAAAAGGGAATCAATTAAGATTTATAGCATTAACCAATATAAAGATCAAAAGGGAATATTAAAAAGGGAAGGCAATAATACTTACATTCCATATACTAAAATGCTAGGAATTTATATATAAGACCTTCATCCAGCCAGATAACTATATTATAACTTAGACTTCTAGATATCTAATGGGATCATATATACTACTCTTGACATTAATAGCTTGGGGCATGTAAATCTAACTACGTCTTAGTATACGGCACAGAAAGGGTTTTGTGAAGATCTTGACGAGGGCAAGTATAGTCTTCCAGTTATCCATGCCATCCAAACCTCTTCCGAAGATAAAGCTTTGCTCTTGCGCAACGTTCTAGCCCAGAGGCGCACTGTTGGCCATTTATCGATCATGCAGAAGCAGCTTATCCTGGCCGAGCTCGAGAGAACGGGTAGTATGGAGTACACGAAGGCAGTTTTGGGAAACTTGTATGATGCCATTATTACGGAACTACACGATATTGAGCGTACTTGCGGCACTGCAAACCCTCAATTCATGAGACTAGTCGACGCATTGAAGTTGTAGTGCACCAGTCAGATATGAAAGACGTTCTTGAACATCCATTCTGATATATCCTCTGGTTAATCTTAGAATTTTAATTTGAAGTTGCTATTATCATTCGTGTAAAGGACTTATTGCTACGGTTACCTATGTAATGCAGCACGCTTGTACCTTGAGTTTGATGTAGATAAGGAGCGTAGCTATTGCGCATTTGCAACCCAGGAGCATTATAATTGGCCACTAAATTTACGCGACCTTATTTTTTCCATAGATAAAGGTTAGGACCCTTTGAAGTATTTCTACATATTGCTCCATAATGAACAGGTTATTGCGTACTACTGGCAGATGGCGATTGCGTTTCTGAATTGCTTTGGAAATGCTGAGTTCTACTTTACTAGGGGCTAGTACATAGGGCTCGTACCCAAGGCCACTATGGCCGGGGACCAGATCTATTTGTTCAATAGGGGCAAGGTTCCATTCGTAGTACGGAAAAGGGGGGAAATTTATATGTTTGTTGGGGAGTTTTACATACATGGGATCATGAATGGAAAGATGCTTCAGTGGGAGGGATTGGAAAATCATAACCTAGGATTGGTATGGGCAAACCTGTATCACAGCCCGCAAAGTGCTGGACGTTAATGATGGAAACTTCTTTGCAATTAAGAGTAACGCATAACGCTAATTCTTGAACGTAGGTGGGACTATATAATAACCGTTAGACCGCTCGAACATCTAACGGCGTCGTTTTTGACGTTCGAGACTAATTGACCATCATTATCTACATAACGGTATGAAGGAATAACATCTCGAAGTCACGTTATTGCCCTGCAAGAAATATTTCAACAATCCATGGACAATGTCCTGTACCGTCTTTGATGACTCTTAGCAAGGAGGAGGGTTCATTTTGTATGTTGTCACAATCTCATCATGCACTGGGGCCATGCCCCATATGTGTCATCTAGGTGCTGTGTATTTGTGGCGACTGTGTTTTTGGCGCTCAGATTTGAAGACTTCTGCGCAAGTTCCGTTTCATCCCATTCTCTTCGACATCTCTGATGGCGTCTTCCCTTTAAAGGAACTTCACGGGCTCCATGGACTTTTTCGGTGCCATCTTATCGTGCTTCTCCTTCCTAGTGTTGTAGATAGCCAGCCCACAAGCCATACGAATGAGATGCTGAACCAGATGGCCGCACCATAATGCCATGACGGCGTTTCCTTGATCCTCCCATGGCGTAGAGCAGTGCGTCTTCTACCACTCACCGACGTTCTCTTCCATTTTGACCACAGAGTCAACGGCTTTGGCTTGCGAAATGAACTTTTGAAGGCGGCAATGAAAGACAAAGCTGACACCTATCAACGATGGCCTGGTTGATCTCAGCCAGGTTAGCCGTAAGAATCATGATTCCTGGAAACCACTCCAGCCGCTGGAGAAAGGTACCAACAATGACGTTGTGTTGGAGAGTGTCATTACCGCGGGTGCGAAGATATATGTCTGCCTCGTCCAGAAACATAACGCAGCGCTAACGTCGACCGCGGTTGAGTACTTTTGCTAAATTCTCATCGATGGCTTCCATCCTGTCCCCAAGATCGCTTCCAGTGCTGGAGTAGAGAGGCTTCCGTAACCTGGCTGCAAGTGCTTGGGCGGCGAATGTTTTACCGACGCCTGGTGGTCCTTGCAAGGCTACGATAGAGCTAGCTCCTTTTTCTGTCTAGAATCTAGCTTGGGCTCCTCCTTCTGCGCTCTCGAGTGGGCGCGGACAGCAGCTAACAGCAGTCGCCTGTATCCTTTGGGTGCCCGCAACTCGTCCCATATTAGCTGTTTTTTGTCTTTATCGACGTCACGGAGAGACCGAAGCTCGAAAAGCACCCACTTTCTGACGGACAGGACAATGCTCGATATCGAAGACGCAGTCAGGGGGACGATGGGATAGGGGTCGGGTGGATCTCTCACTATGGCTCCCAATCTGTGGCTGTTTTGATCGAATCGTAGTAGCTCATCATCCTGGCTTTTCGATTGTTTCGTTTCAGCTGTGACTTGCAGAAGCTCAGACCGCTAGACAGGAGATCGGTCCTGGGCATGTGACTACATGGTAAGGCTTAGCACCCGGCGGCTCAACGGTTCTATTTTATTTAATACCTACGGTATAAGGTGGACCGCACCGCTACGACTTTCGTGCCGAGTTCCTGATGTTGTGTACAAATGTTGAAGTGTTAGTATGGAAGCCTCTAAGATTGGGGATGATAGTATAGAAACGCCGATAGCACGGTACGGCCTTAACAACTATGTAACATACCTAGCTTTATTATTGACTAGGGTCCTCGAATATCTACACACCTGCATAGGCTCACCTGCACTTTTCATACCAGGGGCGAGGCGGGCAATCAGCGAAATGGCCTGCGAAAGGTACATAGAGTAGAAAGCCCCGTATGCTGCGCAGCCTGCATATAGCTTAAGCTAAGAGCGGTGACGCAGCGTCAGCGAATTAAAAAAATGGCCTGGTTCGCAACATTAGCTAAGCTGCCTCGACTAATTGAAGATAAATCTCGTAGTTTCCCGCTCTCGTGTTCGTCCAGGTTGTCATTTTCCCCAGAGAATCATACCCGGCTGTTTACTTCCTCGCCTTGCGTGGCCTGGAGGTAGAACCCGTCTTCAACCCATTTTGTCACTTCTCAAGAGATCGTCTCGGCGGGTCCTGCCCGCCGCAATCCAATTTCTTACCATCAAGATTCATACAGTGGAGATTTTCGCGACTTTCCTTATCATGTTTACTCTTGCGAACATCACGGTCATCAACGGGCACTAGGCGTAACAAGCACAAGATGGAGGGTCGGCACCTGTACCTTCTGCGTATTCTGTAACTCCTATGTGGATGGAGCTGCAACGCTATTCTATAACGCACGCGATGACGAACCATTGCTTCCAGATCTACCAGCGGGATTCCAAGAGGTAGTCAGCTATGACCAGCCCTGTGCTGTCGTTAATCCCCGTCACCTTCAGCTAGTCTCGGAAGTCTTTGGCTCGTCCAATATCAACTCCACCCCGCAAGACGATGTTACCAGTTGTTCACCATCTACCCTAGAACCTTTACAGGGTAGTTACTCTGGCCTCAGTAGCCAGCCTTCCGCATCCCCGGACCTTCGCTCTTCTTCAGTCATGTCAACTACTCCAGAGCTAGAACGCGAGACGTCAGCCCAGTCACACAATGATATACATAGTAGAGGCCCATCAACCGGTCCCCCATACAGGTGTGAAGCGCAAACTTGCGGCAAAACTTTCGCCAACAACCGCGAGCTTCAGCGACATTATCTGTCTTGCAAACAAGGACAAGAGGTTTTGGGTCACAGTTTGACAACCTCCTTATTGGCATTCAGATGTGCGTGCGGCAAGTCTCACTCTCGTCGTGACAATCACAAAGAGCATGTCCGCAAGTGCCAGCGCGAAGCTACAGGAGAATACAGATGTGAAAAGGGCCACACTCGATCGGATAAGAAGCAATGGCTAGCTCATCTTGAAGGAAAGGAGTGCAAACCTCGCAGGGGTCGCCCACCGCGTCAAAGTAGTAAGATAGGGATTTTTATATAGTTAGGATTTCTCTTAGTGAAGTAACAGTCGAGACTGTGCAAGAAAAAGGTGAGACACCCCCCACCCCCCCACACCACCTATTCAACCACTTATTATTCAACCACCTAGTTAACCCCTTATTTTTGAAGCTATTCACGCACCTATATATTGTCCTTTTGCGTTAATTACATCTAATAGCCGTTCTGGTTCGCTATCGCACCATTTATTAATCGTTTCTTACGATAGCTTTCCCCAACCTTCTTCTACAGCCGTACGAAGGGCTTCCGTATCCCAAATTGCATACTATCGGTATTTTATTCAACCCTTCGGCGCACGCTAGGCATTTTCAATAGGGGCTAAATTAGGAGCTTTACGGCAGTTAAAGAAGTATTTCAACCTATTCTTTTCTTTCTACTAACGCATCTCCCACTTGACCGAGCCACCCCATTGAGCGGGCCACCCCAATAACCCATATAAAATCCAACATTGCAATCCGTAATAACTTTACCAGTTTTTGCCGTACAATTAAATAGTTAATACCATTAGATTCGTAATTTAATTCTGCATCTAGTGGTATTTTTTGCTATCTTTTATAAAATTTATAGGTGTTAGTTGGCAACATGTGACAATATGATTAGGACTAGAGCCATGAATATGCAGGCTAACAAGTAATTAAAGCCTCTCACCCTTATCCAGACCAGTCCCCATTTCCCATCCACTCCTCAAGGCAAAACCCAAGTCGTAACACTATTCGCAAGCAGATTCCCACTCCAAACCTCCCCACTCTTCGCCGTGACAGTAACATAAACATCGTTCCCAAAGGTATTCTCGATGACCACGGTCCGTGTCCCATCAGGGTTCCTCGAGGCCACGGACTGTATACCCGCGTATCCCTCATAGCTATAGCTACCCGTGCCGCTGAGGATAACCGCGCCCCTGGGGATGAACTTGGAGATCTGCGCTAGCGTGTAATAGTCGATGGTGAAGTCGTAGGTCCCCCTGCTCTTGTCCACGACGAATAGCCCGCGACACTTGTCGCATCCGCCGGGTATGTAGGGCCCGAAGGTCCCGTCGCTGGCTTGTGTCCATGTGCCCAGGGTCCACATCAACGAGCCTTCGGCCCAGTTCTGGAGCGGCCCGATTGTGTTCTTGGAGGATTGGTACCAGGACGTCTGAGGAGATGTCTGCATGCGAAAGGAAAGCTTTGATTAGTGTTTTATCGATCGAAATAGGCTTGCGATTTTCAAGATCTAAATACGATGGGATCACTCACCCAACACTCTGTCATATACTGATGCTTCCCTGGATAGTCGTTGTGGAACTGTGTCAACACGCTCCAGTCTAGGTTGCCGGCATAGCAGTGCCACGCAGCGCTGTCAACGTATGATCCGGCGCCGTTGATTACGGCGCGCGGGTAGTTGGGCTGATCGGTGTTGTGGTCGTACGCCCAGATCCGAGTGTTGAACCCAGCGTTGCGTAGCGCCGGGCCGACGTACTGCGACGTCACTCTTGCCGCCTCATCTGCGGACTGGAACATCGTCACATGGCCCCCGCCCTGATTGTTCAGGGGCTCGTTCTGCAGCGTGATGGCGTCAATGGTGGCGCCATTGTTCTTGTATGCTTGTAGGTACTTCACGAAGTACTGTGCGTATTGGGAATAATACTGCGGGTCAAGTTGGTTGTTGTTCGCATTGCCTGTAAGGACCTAGGTTGGTAGGTAACTGTTAGAATGAGAAATACTTGTCTTCTCATGTTTGTTATGGAGTACTCCTTTCTCTTTCCCTCTTGATTCTTGATATGAAAGGTACTATCAGAGAGAAACTGAAAAGACAGTATTATACGTACGCGGTTCAACTTCATCCAACCCGGCGCACTCCAGGGGCTCCCCAGGATCGTCAGACCAGACTTAATGCTCCGCATAGCAGCCAGCATCTTCGCCATGGCCGTGCCACGATCTCCCAGATTGAAATTTTGCAAATTCGGATCCGCCTTTCCACCTGCATCATCATATGTGTAGGCCGGCGGGCCAGACAAGTCAGAGGAAGCAATCGTGTGCCGGAGAAAACTGAAGTCCGCGCCGTCGGACGTGAGAAGCTCTCTAAGAAGCTGGTTCCGCTTGTCTGTGGGGAGAGCATTGAGGACTGTGACGGTAGCGTCCGTCACGGAGCCTCCGAAACCCACAATCGTTTGCTTATGTCCCGACGCCGTGTCATCAATAGTCAGGTCCCATGTTGAACTACCCCCGGTTCCGCGCCCCGAGACCGGTGCGGCGGCCGGGCTTAATTTATGGCTGAGGTCTGAGGTGGTGACATAAGCGGCCGGCGCAGCTAGGCGACTCTTGAGAGTCGTGGAAGTTGGCGCGGCGAAGGCTTGGCCGGCCGCCAGAAGAGTCAAGAGTGAATAAAACATAGCCGGGGTAGTCAATCAATTGAAGACGCAGCTGTGACCATTCATTCGGCGCATGTGGTCGCAAGGCTCATATCAAGGACTCGTAGAGAGGAACTGCCTCTCTTTATACCACTTTCTGATCTGCAGACATAATGTAACGTAATCACGAATACCACTTTGCGATTACGATAGATCTAATCTACCCACGCAACTTGAGGTTGCCAGAAACACCACCATCCTTTCGCATTGATTTCTGCGTTGTTCTCGTGTTGACAGTGGTAACCAGTTATTTTGGTGCTACATCCTCGGTCTCATGCCGGATCAACAAGAGGACCTCCTTTTTTAGGGAACGGTAAAGCAAACACCGGATGCTCGTGACGTTCTTTGTCGGCGAATGGGTTTGAAGTCAATCCTAATGAAGTAGGTGGGAAAGGGCATTACTTCATATTTCGGTTGGCCAATGCTGCCAGAGCTAGGTAACTATTATAAGTTGCATGGGACGTCTCCTCTAGCTTGCCCCCTAACCAGTCAGGAGACTACCTAGAGACTCCATAGCTAAGTAGTTGCTGGCGTCAGATATTTTACTTTTATTATCTTCCTCATTTCTGCCAATATCATGCCTAACAATCATACAAAACAGCGATTGGCTCGTATGAGATTATATTATACGAGTGAGGCAGTGGCCTCCTCATATTTCATGATACATCAGTGCATCTACACTAAGCTTCATGTCTTCGTGTTTGCCTGATCATTCATGAACTCATGAGACAATCGTGGCAATTATGGTCTGATGTCAGCCGCAAAGACCCACAGTCCAATGAGTAATGAGAAGGTATTTTTCTAACTTTACTCCTCCTTACTGCCCATCTGCTCGAGCTCATCCTCTTCCTCGAGTCCCCAGTCCCTGAATCCAGAGCCCCTCATCCAACTGATGCCCTTTCGAACGTTCGCCTCACGAATGGCCCTTGCGTCTCTCTCGTGCACGGCTCCTGTAATAGCAAGTGCAAGTGCGAACAACCAAACATCGCCTCCTCGCATAGCACGCCACCATCTTCGCTTGACGCCGACTTTCCACAGAGAGTCGACGCTGGTACGTGCGGTGTAGAGGAATATGCTCCGGCCCTCGCGACGCTCCACGAAGGCCCAAAGACCTGCGAGAAATCCACCTAGGAAGAACCTCTGCGTGGGGAGGAATGTCCGAGGTAGCCAAGTCTGGAAGAAGCAGATACTCGCCCACGCGGTAGACATAGCCCCCGTAGCAAATGTCGTAAGGCGTAATGCTCGTGATAATAAACGGTTTAACAGGTGTAAGGGCGCGTTATATAATAACTTGTATCGCGGGAGCATAAGCATCGAATAGAATATTATAAAGAAACGCCCTAACCGCGGGAACGAGCGAACCCAGAATGTGAGATATGTCCGTAGACAAGAAGGGTCTCCAGGATGCAAACTGGCGCAACTCAGCGATGTGATGATGGGATAAGCTTGAGAGGTGAGCGGAGCTAGCGTTGTTAATGTCGCGGGCAAAGTAGGCTCGTCGGGAAAAAGTGTTGGAGAGATGAATGGCCTGTTGATCTTAATCAGCGACACGTTGAATCAAAGGTAGATAGATACACAGGAAGGGGGGAAATCAAGGAAATAACGTATAACGTACGGCCAATTGAGTTTGGCCATTTGCGCAAGATTGTCCACAACGTCCCAGGGACTAGGCCACTTTACACCAGGAGGTAGATTTTCCGGGGCGCCGTGAAGGTATGTAGTTGTGTGCTTGAAGATGAGATCGAGGAAACCGACGGGAGAGCTTTCGCGGTCAAATACGGTGGCATGGAGCAACTGTCCCATAGCCAAGGGCTGAAGCATCCAACTTCCAAACCACCATGGGCGCTCTCTTTTCAAAACGCCGTTCCCCCCGGCCCGAGGCCGAAACCCCCAAATAGAGCCCTCATCCTCGAGTAGGTTCCAACCGAATTCGAGGGCGCGAAACATGACGGAAATCATGATTGTGACGCGGAGTTGTTGGGCGGGATAAATACCCAAGGCCAAGCCAGCGAGACTGGCCCCTATCGCCGGCGCATAGGGAGATGTGAGTGTGTTAGCGGTTCCCGGGTTGCGTTCACGGAATGGGGCAGCCGTAGGGTCTAGCAGTTGGGCTCTCAGGCGGGTGAAGAACCTGAAAAGTAGTCGGTAGAGCAGGAGGATGGTGGATAAGGAGAGCGATAATCGTAAGGGCGAAGACTTGTAAAAAGGCTGCTTCTTCTGTGAAGGACTGGGTCTATAACGGTCGTAGACAATTGTTAGTCCACCATCTTCGCATCATGCATCGTATGGCATATCTAGCCCGGGCGTTAAACTCACTCTTTCTGCCCCTTGATGCGTGTAAGAAGCATCTCGTAGGCCTTGGCTCCTATGCCGGTGGCGACGAAGACGCGCAGGGCGTGTCGAATGGCACGGGCATTGTAATTATCTCCGCCCCCTCTTGGTGTCGCCTTCTCTTTACCTTTTCCCTTGGCACCGTCTCGACCAACGGAGTCTCTTCTACCGCTTTCACCATTTATATACTTCTCGACTGTTCCTACGGTCGGGGCGCGCTTTCGAAGGGCCCGGGAGCGCGATATGACATATTTGTGAAGTGTCTCGTATTCGCGCGCCGAGATGGTGTATCTCAAAGCGTTGCGAAGAACAGGGTCGACAACTGATTTTGGTTTCGGAGCTGACGCTGCTCGTGGTCGTGGCATCATATCGGGACCCTGGTTGGGAATTTCGATAGGTGGAATGAAGGACAATTTGGGAGGACTCGAGCCGCTCGCCATGTTGATTGTTGACGCTTCACTGGTCTTACTAATTTTTCGATGTGGTATAGATGTCGCCTATTTCGCTATCGCCCTTGCTGGCCGGTTCGCTTGCCCAAGTCAAATAGACTGATCGCGACAAAGCCTGACGATCGAGTCGCCGATTGGCCATCAACACGAGAAGTGCAGGTAAGCTGTCTGCACGGGCGCGAACAAATTGCGAGACTTGTTCCAGCCTTGACAACCAGTAATCAGTCCACGTGGCAGCTGGACGAGAGCATGTCTGGTGAAAAGGACGCTGGTAACTGGTATGATGCTGACTGGCCGAGACTTCTTTGCGACGTATTGGAAAACTCGGGGGCCTCAGCTTGATAACACGCGACAAACCTAATGCGGCAGCGCATGTACAAACGCTCACGTCTCGCAGATGCTTAAGGCGTAGACTACACGGTGAGAATCGCGAGATAATCGGGTATAAGGTAGAAGAAAATGAAGACAGAGAATAAGCACGACAGATTAAAAGACCATACAGTAGACACCCAAAGACAATAACGAGCAAGAAGGAAAGATAAGGATGCTAAGTGGTGGTGCTCAGTAGGTAGTGTTAACGATCATGGCCAAGATTGGGGCGGCATGAGAGCTGTAAGATTTGGGTGGAGCAGACCAAGAGATTACCTACATGCATTGGCTGCAAATGGCATTCCTTCATCCGCCCTCCACAGCGCCAGCAGCAGTGCCTCGGCAGCATTGGCATGTGAGCCTGTTAAACGGTGGGGTCGGCGCTTGATCTGGGCAGATATCTGGGGTATGGGGACTTGCATTTCATCATTATCATCATCATCTCCATCGCCATCGCCATCCCTTCCTTTCCCTTTCCCTTGCTATCTAAAACATATCTACATATATGTCTAGGTAGGTGCCTAGGTAGGTGGACAAGGGATAAAGGAGGATCGCATTGACCGACCCACGGTTTTGGAGCCCACGCAACATTATGCTCGATGGTATGATTGATTTATCGGTCAATGCATAAGTAGGTATACGTGTCTGAGCGTGTAGCTAGAATGACACGAAGATGACACGAACACTTCTGGTTACTAAGTCCATACCTACAGTATGTACAAGCTTTAATGAATGAAGCATACTTGTATTCATCTGTAAGTAAAACAATGACACATCGAAGGAACTCTAGTCAACAAATGCCAATTCGATGACCACCGCCTCTTTTCTCACACCACTCGGAATACTATAATATGTCGGAGTTCCCATGGTGGCGCCGGTCCTTTGGCGGCAACTTGGACGCCAGGAAAAAGCATCTACTGCCCTTTTAGCCACTGCCACCCTCCCCGCTACCCGAGGATACCATGATACCCGAAACCATAACTTCCATCATGAATTACTAACCGAGGCTCTATCGAAATACATCAGAGCATGGTGACTAAAAGGGGTATTAAGTGGAAATTCGCTCCACGTTCACCAACCACAACCCTATCTTCCGCGGTCTAACTAACTTTTTGGTGGTTTCCTGTATCCTTTTTTATTCCTGCGAATTCATGCCAACCTTAGCATGCTGTAAAAACTTTTCCGCCTTCCAACCAATGCCAAATGGGGTTTTTTTTTTCTGTTTGCGTCATATCGAGGGCAGACACCTTCCACAAACCGAAGCTTTGTCTTTGTTCATCCACCCTGGTCCAATATGTCCATGAGAAAGCAGGAATACACCAACAAACACCAAACGCGATGCCAACTGAAACCAATACCAAAAGACAATGCCCAAGAGCCATCGTGTAATGCATCGTAGAAAATCTGTGCTTAGAGCGCCGCAAATAGGCGCCTCGTCATTTCGTCATGAGTCCCATCACATCTTCCCCAGTTCGGCCACTAAACCATCGAGTCGGGGATATCGTAGGAAGGCAGTGCCCGCTGCTGTGTCGGCTGTTGTACAACATCAAACTGAGGAATCCATCTTCGTACAATCCGCGGTGTTTCATCACGAGTAACCTCCTCCTTCCAATTCAAAACATCCCACGGTTCGGCGATAGTATAACGATGTGGAGCAGATAGACGGGATTGGATTTCACGAGCATTGGGAACAGCCTCCGAGCGGACAGCTTCGACGGCACGAAGGCGCCTAGCTTCCCTTTCGAGCACAACATCAGATACTGCATGGTACCTATCTTGAGCTGAATTCCAACCTGAAACACCATGGCTTCCAGATGTCAAGACTTGACACAAGTCATCATAAGGTAAGTTGAGCAGAATACGCGACAAGATCGACGAACATTCTGCAGGTTCACGATGAGGGGGGGTTCCATCATCCGGATACGCTGCAGGAAGATCGCCGAACTTGATGCTAGAGAGACGGGTTTGCTTAGCGCTTTGACGCGCCATTGTGCCTCTGGCAATGGTGGGCACCATCTTATCAGTGCCGCGTGTCCGTGGTGGGGTGTTGACACCGGCGCTGGTTGGGATCCTCGCTATTTTCGTGACATCCATGACTTGAGCGTCTAATTCAAAGTTGGCGGGGAACTCGTTGATTAAAAAGTTCAGAATGGCAGAGTGCAGAATCTTCGTCTCGGGGCCGTATCCGAATTCTAATAGTGTAGACGGTGAGAAGGCTTCGAGCTCAGGACTATGATCGACATGTCGCTGAATAGTATTTTCCAGCACAAAGCCTAAGCCCATTTCGACGGTATCCCATGTGAGAGTGTTGCCAGCAATTTCTAAACCTCGAACTAACACATCTTGCATTGAAAGAATGGAACCGGCCGCAGCATAGCCCAAGCAAAATCCGAACCGGTCGACCTTATTGCCAACAAAATCCACTCCATTATCTGCATGGCCTAACATAGGAGGGAGTGGAACAAGAGGATGCTGATACAAGCGCTGAACGGCCGTCCACCAGGCATCCGACCGCATATATGAGTCGTCGATCTCCATGGTGATAGTATGGGAACCAGGGTCTTGTGCGCGAGCATTCAAGATATGCTGTTTTAGAGCAGGGCTACGCGCTAAGATAAGTTTATGCCCACTGATCTTAACGGGATGATGACGGCCCTTGGCAGATATAAGTTCCAGAACACAATCAGCAAGCTCTCCATTATCAAACTGGCTTCTAATGTAGCGGATGCCTTCCATGACATCATCCTCAGGCGCGCTGAATTGTCTCGAAAGGAGATGTGGAGGCATAAACGGAGGAAACGGGACAGGTGGATGCGGGTGAGCAGCAGGATGCTCGTGGCGCGGATGAGAAGCAAATGTGCCATTTGGAGGATAAGGCAGCGTGGTGGTATCCATCCCATTAGGCTCACCAGAGGTGTGGGAACCGTGAAAGCTATGGGGTGTCGGTGGACCGTAACGACCGGCACCAGGCGTGAAAGCCTCCATGTGAACAGGTGGAGTATGAGTTGGTGCTGTTCCATATGCATCAATAGTGGACATAGGCATCATATCTCTGAAATGGGTGTTGATTGGTGCAGGGAAGCCGTTGCTACTCGACTGACTATGGTGATGACCATTAGGGCGTGGATGAGCACGGTTATCGCCGTTGATATGAGAAGATGGTGGTGGCATGAAGCCTCCAGGAGGAGGTACAGGAGAAGGTGTATGAGAGTCGAAACCTCCGAACATAATACCGCCTCCATTACTAATCTGGTGCCTGTGCTGGTGAGGGTGCATGTGGTGAGGGTGAGGAGCATGGAAAATGGCAGGATGATGAGGTTGGTCAGCCATATGTTGTTGGTGCTGCAGCGGGAGCGGAGTAGGATACGAGGGCGCAAGCTCGGGTCTAGTAGTTGATGTCGCCGAAGGAGGCTGGGTAGCATAGGAAGGATCACCATTTATACCTGTTGAGTGTGAGCGTTGATTTGCAGCTAGTAAAGACATAGAAACAGGACATCGCTCACCTTGAGCCACATGATCATCAGCACCGGGAGCAGATCCCATCGTAGCGTAGTCGACACCGTTTGCTCGTGAAGTGGTCAATTGGGGTTGTTGCTCATTTCTGACTTCTTCCTTGAGAGGGGACACGCCAGGCGGCGTGGACTCCCCTCCATCCTGGCGTTTAATCTCATTCTCAGAGTTCTTGGCCGAATGGAACGGGTCTCGGGAGATGAGAGCAGCTTCGAGAGAAGAAGCAGGAAAACCGTTGGAGGTGGCGACAATCGGCGCATGTTTGGGAGAAGGCTTGGCAGCCGTGTTTCTAGCGCTATCGGGGTGTTTGTTCATCAGGGTTAGCGGGATAACAGGAACCACATGTTGTCGGTGAGCCGGAGCAGCAGCAGCAGTAGACACTGGCGCAGGATGCTGCTTTTTTGTCTGGCCGGAAGCAGATTTTGCAGGCTTAGGCTGCGCCTTAGTAGATGGAGCCATGATTGCAGTATACTTTTGCGTGCCTCGTCACCAGAGCCTGGGTTGACGAGACGGCCAGCGCGAGAATGGTCGGGATGGAGCTACCGACGATCGCCGCGAAGGGGCTTGAGAGGATGATGATGGCGGAGCCCAAGCAAAGACAATCAAACTAAAAGAGAAAGTCAAGCGGATGAGCTATATATAGTTGAGTCCGATTCGAGATCCGGCGCGCGGCAAAGGTGACGAAGGCGCAGAAGACGAGGTTGGGCACTCGGCTTTGGCGGTGACCGCAAGCGCGATCGCAACTGCAACCGTAAAGCGCAACCGTACTGTAGACCGTGAACCAAGACCTGAAGCTGGCGACTCAACCCGAGCTCGATGGTGTCATGGGTGACAAGTGCAGCATGCCCAGCCAATGGCGTGCACAACCCTACCTCAGTGTCGACGAACAATGCCGGTAAAAGGAATGGATGCACGCAAGAGTATCAGGCGCGAGAAAGGTGTGCGGCTGCGTTCGCAGGGCAATCAAGTGGCTAAACGAGTAATGGACTGTCTGCTCTGCGGCATACAAGAAGGGAAGGGCAAGGTATATAGAAGGAGTGAGAGCCGCGAGAATACTCTTGAGGTAGGTAGTAGTAGTATTGATATGGAGAACCGAAATAAGAGAGGCAGAAACGGTACAGCTACCAGTGTATGTATAACTGAGTGAGTGGCGGAACGGCAACAGCAGCAGATGGAGCGTGTCACACCGTTGCTGGCTGTTCAGCACTAGATGGTGATGGCGGACTGGGGGGAAGAGAGAGAAGGCAGATGAACGGAGACGGAGATGGGGATGTTTTGAATGGATGGGATGGATGATGGGATGGATGGATGCTCAAATTGATCGGCCAGCAGTTGGTGGAGGAGTGGGCGGGCTAGGTACCTACCTAGTGGGGAGGTGATTTTTTGGGGGGGAGGAGGGGGTGGTGTTGCCTTCAATATCAGTTCCAACCTGGTATACCTACGAAGTAAGTAAGTAGGTACCTACCGAACCATCTACACACATATAATACACATGTAGGTAAACTACACATGTACTTACATTTACATGCACATAGTCCAAGGGTATCGGTAAGTGGAAGTGCGCCTCCCGCGATGTACCTGTAAACCAGCTGCATTCTATAAAAGTGCCTATATAGAGAGTATGATGCCAAAGGAACCTCCTTCGGCAGCAATATGTGAATAGGTACTTAGATAGGTAGGTACTTACGAAAGGAAATAGGCAAGGAAGCGGGTTTTGGACAGGTGCAGGCACAGAGCTACGGATGCAGCAAAGATGCAGTTGCACATGCCAGCCTAGGTAGATCTATGTAGTTAGATAAGTAGGTATACATAGCAGATAGCAGGCAGCTACTAATAAGTCGGAACTCGGAAAACAGCTGCTGTCGGTAGGTAAGTAGGTACTGGACTTAATCAAATCAATTTACCTGGTGCACGCGGCGACGGCGACGGCTGTAATTCTAGTGGGGGGTAGCAGACAAGGTATCAAGCCTATCCATCCCCCTGCTACTACTACTGCCTACCTACATACCTAGGTACTGTCTTACAGTCTTACCTACTGATGAGAAATGTCCGAAAATAGATTTGTAAGTATCCTATTGTATCTATCTACATAGTAGTTTAAAGCAAGACAAGTCAGGTACATACATACATAGGTAGGTAGGTACTATAGTGGTAAGCTACCTAACTTAAACAGTCGGCCGATGTACTAGTAAGTGTTACTAGGTTAGTAGGGAGCGTAAGAAAAAAAATTTAACAAAAAAAAATAATTTCAACAATCCAGGGAGCTTTCTCAATTCAGCTCGAACACGGCCCCACTTACCTACCTACCTACTCATACCACTTAATCGACACCAAGATGACACCAGATACCTACGGTACCACTCCGATTCAGCCGGAAACAGCAAACAGGACAACCACCGACACCACGCACAGCTAGCTAGCTACGAAGTAAGCTGTCGGATGGGATCCCAGACATGCCTATTGTAACACTGCAATCTTGTACTTCTCGTTCGCCAATCGTTGTTCGGCGTCAGCTAGAACACAAATCAATGTTGCCTAGTGGGGACAGGGGGAAGACAACGCACTGAAAGGGGAAAAAGATACCTACCTAGCGAGTGACCTCATCTGCTGAGGAAGCTACACCTCATCTACTACCTACTCGCTAGCCTACTAGGAGGTAGGTACTATGTAAGTAAGTATGGAGTTCAAGGTAATTCGGGCTGTAGCGTTTGCTTTGGTCTTCCACGATACCTAGAGAGCTGCAGGTTAGGTACGGTAGGTACTTACGGTACATGGGATGGGGGCGTTTATCGGGTGTGGCTGAAGCTACGTAATGCTGTCCATTAGGTGGCTAGCTTAGGTAATATAGCTAGCTGCCAATGACAGGACAGCTATTCCCTGTCCCGAGTCCCTGTCCCGAGACCCTGTTGAACCTGTCTGGCTCGAATTTGCGGCGACAAGCCACAGTAGACCACAGCTAAGGTAGGTAATGGCAAACCCCGCGTTTCTTGCGCAATTCAACTACCTATCTGGACTAAGAGCGGATATGAACAAGCTCCCAGTTTTAGAAGATACCTACATGTAGGTACCTAGGTAGGTAGTTGTATTTAAAAGGGGCATGTTCCTGTACCTATGATATAGTATATAAGAGTTGGACCTTGCGTTCTGCTGACCCCCGCTGATTCAGCTGCCACCTACCACTCGCTTGCGTCACCGGCGAACCCCGCTGCCTTTTACCAATTTCATCCACAGGTACCACCCGCAAACAGCCAGCCGAGCTTTGTGAGACAACCCCTCCTACCTACTTCGCCGATTCTAGACAACATGTACCTAAGCCCTTTAAGACCTCAGGATCTCAAAGAAGGTTTTTCCAAAACACACCCTCCATGATCCAGATCTGTGAACAGTTGTTGCATGATTTGGTGGAAGCCCCGGTTTTTTGGCATTTTGAATCTGCAATCATACCTGAGAGTTAGACTGTCTCACGATCACAGGAAACCTTTCACAGAAACAGATACAGTTAGTCGTAGTAAATAGCACTGATCTCTTATAGTGTCAGGCAATGAGGATAGATGTCACTTTGTTCATTGGAGCACATATTTAGTATACAAGATGTATAGAACACAGGTAGAACAGATTTTATCAGATGCTTCTACGTACATGCGTCTATCGCTACTCTTCTTGTAAACGAATCTAATATGATACACCTCATATGCTTCGTCGCAATGTATGCGTAATACCTTGAGCCTACCCAGCCCCTGACCTAGGTATTCGAAGGAATGTTATCGCCGTAGCGGCCCCCAGCTGGTGTGAAACCAGCCAGGACAGAATCGATCTGCGCCAGCTCTTCATCCGTGAGATCGATGACCTGGCTGTTCTCGGTCACCCTCTCCACCGTAGTCGCACCGGGGATCGGCACGACCGTGGGCATTCCCGGACGCCTGGACACCGCTCTCGTCCAGTTGATCGCGAGCTGCGCGGGCGTGCAGTTCTTGCCCTTGGCAATCTCCTCGACTCGCTGGACGAGCGCCAGGTTTTTCTCGAAGTTGCCCGGCTGGAAGCGCGGGAGCTTGTACGAGTGGAATATGGGATCTTTGATGTCCTCGAGCTTCCTGAACTGGCCTGTCAACATGCCTCTACCAATCGGTGAGTAGCCAACGATGGGAATCCCATATTGGGCACAAGCAGCAGCGACGCCATTCTCGAAAATATCAGTGGAAAACCTATCATATGGGACGTTAGCTATAATGAATAGATCCGGATGTTCCCGTCTTCCCATGATATACAGTGATGTGTGATTTACTTACAGTGAAACCTCGACCTCCACAAATGCGACCTTGATATATTTCACAGCCTCGTGGATAGTCTCCGCTCGCACCTCCGACAGCGATATGCCCCCAAGCTTGCCAGTGTTTATGTATTCTTCTTGGATCAGCTTGAAGGTCTCTTCCATCGGCACGTTCTGGTCGCGCCGGCCAAATTCGAAGAAATCAAGCTTCTTCCTGCCCTTGAGCTGCGCAAGAGTGTTGTCCAAGCTTCGGCGCGTGTTTTCAGGCGATCCATCTACCACGTGGGTCTCGGGATTCACACCACCTTTGATAGAAAGGACAACTTTGTCCGCATCCTCTGGGTACTTCTCAAAGTATTTTTCCAGAAGCACTTCGAAGTTTAATGTCAGCGGCTCTCTTACATTGATACGAAGCGTATGCCTGTCTTGCACTCACCTAAGCTGTTATATCCAGGCGGCCCGTAGAACTCTCCGCCGTTCCAGAAATTACCTGGCGATACATCAGTAGGTATAATTTGCATGCTGTATGGCCGGCTAGCAATCATAAGTCGCGAAGAAAGGGTCATACGTACATCCATTCGCGAGAGCCGCGCGCATCGTCTCGAAAGCCTGCTCCAGAGAGCACGGGTTTGAGCGCCAGGTGAAACCCATTAGGCCCAAGCCAATTGGGCCAACTTGTTTATCTTGAAGAATAGGCATGTTCACTGGATGTTACACGGTAAGATTACAAGACTCTGCAAGTAGATTAATGCTAGATACATAAACGAGCATCACCTTTGCACCATAAGGCTACTTTTATATAGCATGGTGATATCAGTCTGGGAATCGGATTTATTAAGCAACAGCTCCCTTAACCCGATAGGCCGGACCGGATTTTGATTTTATTTCCTGCTACCACGCCTGGAGCTGTCTTTGAGACCCCGACTATCTCCGTCTAGCCGTCGGCCAGGATTTAGGCGTTAGCTCGATCCACAGCCCGGGCCGACGGTATCATCCGCGGGGCGGCGCAAGGGGAATGCCTGGGCTAGTGCCTTCATACACGTCACCAATTGGCTCACGGAGATAGGTACCTAGGTAGGTAGGTACTATGTATATAGTGATCATGGTCATCAAGGTCTCGTAGACATCCGTAGCTTCGCGTCGGATAAGACTTCTGGTGTAAACTCCAGACGTTCTGGCTACAGGGTGCTCCCTTGGCTTCTCCTGCCGGATCAAGGCTAGTGTGGATGACGATGAGTACAAGTCTCGAACCACACTCAAAGTCTTCATACGAAACAGAAAGCTTCATTAATCCTATGTTAGATGGGTCAGTTTCGACGTGCGGCTACCGAGATACGTCATCTCAAGCTTTAACAGTAGCTCTAACATACACGACACGTGTGATATCACAGTAAGTGGGTAGCTAGAATCATAGTTTTAGTGCCATTACGTACAAGACAGCGCAAACAAACACGGGTTTCAACTAGAAAGCTTTTCCGCTATTTCTGTGACTGATCCAATACATTTCAACAAGCCACCGCTTTAGGTCCTCTGGCTTAAATCAATATGTAGCTATTCTGTATTTTAGAGTGCCTTGCTTGTGAAATGGACAGTCTTTGGAGCACAATCTCGGGCGGCTTTGATATCCTTTTGAGCGCCTGGATGTGAGGCGGCTCTGCTAATAGTATTCGCAACCATTTTTCATTTTCTAGAGTAGGCATAGTGTCGCAAATTGTATTTGTTAGACTTCGCTCTCACCTCTACTGGAGGCTTATTAGGCCGTAACACCTCATCTTAGAGTATAGATGATCAGCTTGCGGTTAGGTATGCATTTGGGTAGACAGAAGACTGAGCAGATTCTACTTGGCTTACTCTGTGAAGCCGCCTCTACAGTTTTTTCATAAGTCACATAATATATGAGTGGCACAAGGACAGCGGTAAATAGGTATTTTCTGGAGCCATTTCATGACAGGAGCAGGGTAGGATTCCTAACAACTATATTTCATGGGAATCGAGGACAGGTAGAGTTACCAGGGCTAGCATGCCACCACAGTGATTGAACGGTGGCCCTCGTACTTCAAGCTACATGGCATATCAAGACGGTACTTGACAATTTTTAGGTTCGTTGGCATTGGATACGAAATATCGAAAGAATCGTGATAAACGTCCTACATTATATACCTACCTAATATGTATCCCGTTGCTCAACTTGGATGAACCCTGGAGCTTCAAAGAGTTTGCTTTATCCATCCTCGTGCTGCTCTGACATACTATGTATGCAGTTGCTAGCGCACAAGCATGCATCTCTGAGGTTTCCTGATTAAGGAACTCGGGTTCACGAGATTATATAAGAATTCACATGCGTAAATACACACGTAATTACGTGTGACTATAATACCTAGGTAGACGTGGAGGGACCAGCCACGATGACAGCCGCGTAGACTCTGCATGAAGCATTTCGTTCACCTACTTGGATGACCCATTCATAATCCGCCAAAGTGACAATGGCTCAGTTAAGTAACTTATCAGTAGTGGCCTGCGAGCTAGCTTAGTAGAGCACCGTATAACGTCTACTCAAGTATCGTTTCACTGCTCTACTCGACAGTCTAGACTAGTATGGAGTATACATACGCCCTTTATCACCTTGCCGCTGTTCTTTTGCTTCAAGGTCGCGCGTCGTGTGTGCTTACGTAATGCTACAAGACGCTTCCGTACTCGACACAATACCTTCTATAAACTGACTCTGGATTCTAGAAATGGTCATTTAGTCTTGTTCGAATACTTGAAGGTGGAGATCTTCACGGTTCTATATATGATTTATCGTACGGTACAACCATCTATATACAGAGTATCAATGTTTTAATACGCAACTATGGGGGGAAACTACACAAAGTAGTTTCAAATGTAGGGGTCGCGTTATAAGAAGTTGATGCCAACACCAACTTGCAATCCTTTTCTACTCTCTTCGCCTTGTCGCGTGACAAGAGGCAGACTGAAATTGAGTTCGAGCCTTGCAACTGGATGTGCGTAAACTAGGCCTACACCTGCGGCAATGCTGGGCAAACCATTGCCGACCTCTTTTGTAGCTGATAGCATTTGGTTTAGAACCGTGCTAGCGGTCATTCGCTGCCCAGATGCTGTGTCGTTGCTCTTTGTCTTGTTTCTCATCGCGACCGATCTGCCGCCATTTGCAAAGAGCTGAAGTCGAAAGGGAGATTCAGGGCCGGTCTTGGGCAACGGAATAAGCATGTTGACACTACCGGCAGCGAAGAGGTCTCCCCCAAGAGCATCTGCGCCATCTCTTGGGCCTAGGCCTCCTAAAGAGAAGCCACGGACGTCGGTAGGACCACCGAGAGTGAACCGATCGTTAAGACGGCTAGGAGAAGCCCCACCAAAGCCGAAAGACAGAGGCAGTGGGTAAAGCAAGCCAGCTCGGAGTCCACAACCAATTGAAACACCAGAAGGCCGTTTCAATCCCGGTATTGGAATGGGCACAGCACTTGCGATCTCCATTTCACTCTTTGAAAATCCAACATCTCCCTTTAGGAAACCCCACCCCGCAAGCTCACTTGTAGTTTTCACCATGTAACCGCTTTGGGGGAGCATTGGGTTATCCCTCCGTTCCCGTTGAAAGAGGCATGTGATGGCACTCTTGACTGAATCCCCAGCGTCTCCACGTACCGTAGGGCTCGCCGTGGCGGCTAAGCCAGTAATTTGTCTCCATGTATTGGAATAGCCAACTTGGAGGCGATCGCCATTCTCCTTTGCCCAGTTCACCCTGATTCCACCCCCCTTTAAAAGCTCCTCGTGGCTTGCCCATGGCTTGAGGGTACTGCTGGCTAGTCCGTCCAAGCTAAGTCTCAAATTGGGGTTGCCATCTATTGGGGTAGAGAAATCAGCACTGTACGCTGATCGCGTTCTCGTGCCTGCAGAGGCATTCACAGACAAGAACTCAGCACCGCCGAAGACGTTTCTCACGAGCATTGTTCCATAAGCGGAACCTTCTGTATTGCCCAAGTCTGTGCCTGTCTTCAACATAAACCGAGACTTCTCCCGGACTCGAAGGGAGACATCTAGATCCGTCGGCGAGGTGGAGGGGTCGAGCTGCGGCGGTTGAGAGAGGTGCACAATGATATCAGGATGAAAAATATCTTGAGAGAGAAGGTTAGTACATCTTTTCACTATCGCAATAGGTAGCTATTCTCATCATACCAAATTTCTGCAGCTTCGAAACTGCGCCTCCGACCTCATTTAAAAGGTCGCTCAAGGTGTAGTTGACATTGCGGCTATCCTCTACCAGGGGCTGGAAGAGGGGATTGAGGAATGACTTGCGCGTGTTTTTAGCGCCATGAATCTGGATGGAAGAAAGGGTAACGGGTAGGGTTTGATTGTGGGAGAGCTTATAAGGTCAGTAATTGCAGGCTGATAGAGTGAGTCGCTGTCACAATAGGCTGACCAGTTGAGCTATCCGATGTTCGGATTCATTTTCGTGGAGGTGTGTCCTTTCTGGCGCTGCTCGTTGCTCTATGGAGCCTGCCTCTTTTTTGAACAACCCCTCGAAGACCTAGAGATGTGTCGAGTTAGCGGCTGGTATTGTCAACACGATGCAAGGACGGGTGTAGCTTGCATCGTCGTCTCCGTGAGAGGAAGCCCGGGCCATGGCAAATGGTGGAGGGACTACTTGTTCCGATGCGAGTGAGCCGTGATGTATCTAATGTGCTGAGGGAGGGTATAAAAGCAGCCGACGATCTCCGATCAATAAATCCTTGTCAACAAATCAGCCCACTTCAAGTTCTTGTCCCACTCTCACTAGGAAAGCGAAGGCTGCCAGGGGTCCTCGTGGCTAAGTAAGTTAGATAGAATGAGGCGTGGAAGGTACTTCCAAGTATGACGCTCCCAACACCGTGGCTGGTGAGTGAATACCTACATTACCCGTCATGGTACATGAATGCACTTTGTCTAACCCAACTAAGTAAGTCAATCAAGGACCTAGGTACATACCCCACGGCTCAGCCCTGTTAAGTATAGTACCTAAGTACTTAAGTAACTGCTAGAGCGCTAAGACGAAAATAGAGCCAGGTAATGGCCAGGGTGGCTCGGATGGTCAGGAAAGGCCCAAGGCCAAGGCCTCTCTTTAGGCCCACTCAGACAAGGGCATGATTCATGTTCACAAGGAATCTTGAACCAAACCAACCAACTTACTAAGTAAGTTGTACTATTCCACCGCTCGCAACCTTATCCAGATTACATGCTACTATCAGCACAACAACCTTGAAGGACACTCCGTCAACTCCCTCGTCGTCGATCATTAATCAAGCCGTCACCCCGCTCTTCCGACCCCTCTCGATACAGTCGCTACTCTCCCTATCAAGGGTCAGGACAGATCTCACCTCCGCTTGAGATATCTCCAAGGGAAGCCATCCCAATGGCTAGCAAACAAGCGAGCAAGCGTGTATGCCCTCATCAAACTATCCCCACGCGTTAACGGTATTCTTGGTACAGATCCGTTTACTAACGTTTCTCCCAGTTGGCGCGCGAGTATAAGTCCATCTCTGAAAACCCGCCTCCATATATCTCAGCACACCCATCAGAGTCTAACATCCTTGAGTACGTCCCACACCCAACTCCCCAAGATTTGGTCTATTCCTAACGAAGCGCAGGTGGCATTATATAATCACGGGACCTGAAGACACTCCTTACCATGGGGGCCAATACTGGGGGACACTGATCTTCCCGCCCAACTACCCCTTTGCGCCTCCAGCCATCCGTATGCACACGCCGTCCGGTCGTTTCCAGCCCTCCACAAGGCTCTGTCTTTCAATCTCCGACTTCCATCCGAAATCCTTCAACCCGGCGTGGGAGGTATCGACCATCCTAATCGGCCTGCTGTCATTCATGACATCGGAGGAGATGACGACAGGCTCCGTGTCGGCTTCACCACGTGAGCGCAAAATGTTTGCCGACCGGTCGAGATGGTGGAACTCAACAGGCGGCGGCTCACATGCCAAGAACCCAGCGCAAAAAGGCAATGTCAAGGCCGGTGACGGTGGTGCCAAGTTCCGATCGGAGTGGGAAAGTTTGGATAAGGAGAACTGGGCCTGGATGAAGGAGAAGAACATCGACACAACGACTGGGGAGTATATTCGCACATCATGCGGGCCAGCCTTGGGAGCAGCAGGCAGAGGCGGGCAAACGCAGTCAGTAGTCGACACAGTCGTCCAGCAGAGAGATGCGGGTACAGGGTGGCTGAGTCAGAACCGACTTCTCGTTGCAGGTGGCGTGATATTCATCTACGTGCTGATTGCTCGGCTCCTAGGCGAGGCGGACGATATGTAGGATTGATACAGTGTCTGTCTGACACACGGACGAGAAGTTTTCAGCTTGCAGGAACCGAGCTGCCGTGGCTGAAGCTATTGTTTTCCTCACAAGCTATAAGGATTTTCTGCCTCTTACTTTCCTGGGGCATGCGAAGACGAGACAGTATGTCGACTTTTTTTGTGCGTCTTTTCTTGTACAATATGTTCAGTAGATCAAGGAACATGGGTATAGACAAGCGAATCAGTATCTTTAGAGTTATACTGCGTTCCTGATAATCCAGATATTCAGTATGAATAGGAGCCTGCTCTTCCACAGCTGATTTTATCCAAAAGAGGTTGCCTCTTATCAAACTGTCAGTTGGGCAGCAAATCATGTATATAAGGGTGCTTCTTTGACAGACTCGTACAAGCCTCTCTCCCCATCAAACCCCCCCTTGCTTCAGGCGGAGACTTGTCGTCCGAATGTAGAGAAGATTGATGCCTGATTACATATACATGACACTTTACGCTCATACAAAGTGCTGATACGTTATGATAGTTTCCTACTTGCCCAGCTTTGGACCACATGGTTAAAATGTCAATCTACACTATCGGCCATCAGACATCATCATCAGCTCTCCTTTAGCGGGCACTGTAGATCAAAGGAGGAGTGTCTTGTTACGGCCATGGCCCAGCTCCTATTCATATATTCTCTGGGCATGGTATGGCCTCCTTCGTGCCGGCAACAGCTGCTTCTCCTTATCCCGTCACAGATTATGGATGTAGGTAGGTACTTACCACCTAAGAGTACACTTGATAGACATCTGCCTGCTGAATTATTGGCAACTGCGACTGTGTATGTACCCACATGATTCATAGGTACTTGCCCTTGGGGTCATGGTGAAGAGGCTAGGTACTCCAGGCAGGTACCAACATTGAAGGTATTGACTTGTGCCTGCCCAGTATTCCTGCCTTCAAATCTGGATACCTTCCAGGTTATGAACATACCTATCTACCTACATACATTGTTACTACTCTCATACTAATATGTAGTAGATGAGCAGGTTCCTACAGATGCCCATCCCTTTTATATTCAGTACATATCGATCACTCTCAATATGCCGTGTGCCTAATAACCACCTACACAGAGACATTAACCTGGTATCTATTTCAAGATAGTACAGTTTTCAACACCAGGTTCCTAGGTTATGGGCAGGTACGAGAGAGTGAGTACTTACCTACAGTACCTACCTCACTTCATGTGCCGCTCTTTCCAATCCAGCAATCTCAATAAGCTTCTACACATCTCTTCTCGCACCGCACCCATCTATTTCTCTCTTTCTCTCATCCCAAGCTTCTGTTCGTCCGTCAACAAGTCTTTTGCATCAACAGCACTACCGCCGACACCATCTCGTCTCCGTCCCCGTTGTTTACCTACACGATAACTTGTTATTGGTTGTTGAAGTTCTTGCCTCACATCGTTGCTAACTCCACAAACCCATCATATACCACACAACTCTACTCATCTGTCTGTCCTGTACGAGCCCCAGCTAGTCCCTCTGCGCGATAGTCACCTCTGTTGCACTATTCACCATACATCCAACTCGACATCCTTGTGGGTAAGTGAACATGATCGTCTTTTCCTCTCTCTCACCCGGCGGGCCGGACCCCGACAGGTGTTCTGGCAATTCCTATTTTATCACATCTCTAGGCTGCATGTCTGCTAGCAAACACATCACCTCCATTCAATTCCCATATCTAGTTTGTGGGCGAGCTTCCCAGTTTGATTATCCCTGTGTATCTTTTGCTATCAGCACTGCACTTTCCCTCAACGAACTTATTGAACTCCAGCCACGCACTCTCTGGCCTTTCAACAATACTCTGTGGTTGTGAATCTTCTGATTGCTATCTAGTTTTTTGTCTCTCACTTCCAACGCCAGGTGTCTTCACAATGACATCTGAAGAAGAGCCAGTCCCGCAGGAACCGGCTACCGTGCCCTTCACTAGCCAAACGATCCCTCGTACTCTGGCCACCATCTCTGAAACAAGGGATGAAGCGGAGGCCACTGGGACAAAATTTCATCAGAACGCCGACCTTCAAGTCATTATCAAGACGACCGACATTAACCCCATCATCTATTTGGCCTGTGCGTCTGCGCTTGCTTGTGCCTCTGTGGTTTGGCGTACCATGGTATATCATGATGATACATATGTAGATGACGCATATCGAGATTCCAAAAAAGGTCAAGTCCAAACAATAAGGCTTGACGGCGACCCAGAAGCCATTGGGCTTCTTTTTCACATAATTCACTACGAATTCAACCACGTTCCTGAAAATCCTACGCTTGATCAACTATTCGAGCTCGGGAAAAGTGCATGCCAGTTTAGATGCACCCATATTCTCTACCCTTGGGCTGCACAGTGGACCACAAAACTGTCTGAATTCGCTTTTGATGATAACTGTTATTCGAAATGTCACAAAGCTCTATAGTGCGCACCACCTCTCTACCACCCTACTTCAGCCTCTTCTATAGGGCACACTTCATACAATCTACTAACCTTGAACATGATTTAGTGTTGCCTGGACATTCGGGGATCTAAAGTTGTACCGAGACATGGTGGACGCGCTGATCGTATCCACCGAGATCAACACGGATGGCAAGATTGTGAATATCTCGGGCATGCCATTAGAAGATATGCTGATACCTTGCGATCTTCTCGGTGAGAAGCTTATTTCACCCTGTTTGAATAATATTGGAAGGTCCTAACTAGAAGCAATAGACATCATCACTACGACTCGAGCTTCGACCATTAAGAAGATACTCGACGTGATCAAGAAGCCTATTCACGACCTCACATATGGAAAACAAGGTCAGAAGAGTACATACTGCAAAGTAGGGAAAGATAGCCAAGGATGTGAAATTATGATGCTAGGCTCAACGATCCCAGCACTGACTCAAGCGGGACTTTTTCCTACTCCGGAGCCTGAGAAATTCACTGGCAGTATCGTGCAGCTTAAGGAAAAAGTTGAGAAGATCAAGACGATTCCATATGTCGGCAAAGAATGGGCGCCGCATATGTCGCATGAAGGCTGCAACCTTGGCTTTCGAGACTCCGTAACAGTCTGCCTGAACGACATGGAAGTTCCCTTAAGTTCGAGCATTAGTAAGTAGCTCTCCACACAACGTATGGGCCAACGAGGTCAAAATTCACGAAAATTGGAGGCGCTGTGTGACTCCAGATCATCTTTGCTAATGGAACTCTGGGCAGTGAGCTGGATATCTAATCAGGCTAAAACGTGCGGTGTTGAGCCTACAAGAGAACTAGAAGAATGGCAGAGAAAGTAGATACTTGCGGAGACTAAGGCAGTGGATGTGCAGGAATTATATCACGCCGGCTTAGAGAACGCACAGTAAAAGTCGAAATCAAAAGGAGGAAAGAGATACTTGTTTCCCAGATGAGTAGGGCGCGCGTGATTGTATTAGCAATGTGCAGCGACTCTAAGTAAGGATTCAAACTGCAATAAATGCTCAACGAGGGCATGGGGCATAAGATCATCAAAATGCGTCTTACTAATCCATCTGTCGGCTGGTCGAATGCGGCCAATATGCTCGGAGTCATCTGATGTTTTTCCGGTTTATGTAATTAGCACACGGAGCTTTTCAAAAGATAGTTTTTTGAGAATACCGTGGTCAATATGAGATAACTTTGAGGACAAAAGTTCGTAAAGGGGCAAATAGGCTGAGTAAGCCAGACTGGTAGAAGAAACGAAGATATCTACCCACAACTGGTAATGAGCTTTACCCTTGATATACACATCAACTTCGCCGCTTTAGTCATTCAAGATACCTTACAGACCATTATTTAGCTTATTGTGAAGTTCTTGACTGAATCTAAAGATGAAGCGTTGAGGATTTGACGATTAGCATTTTCGAAAATGACACCATCTTTCGACCAAGTGAAAGACTGATATCCTGGAATATCCTTGATTGCCTGTCTCGCATTTTCACTATTTGGGTGTTGATCACATAAGTATATATACGGGCACTGTTCCCACGAAAACAACGGAGAGAGGGCGATATCGACGTTTGGTAATAAGTTTCGTCTATCACTATTTTACGTTTTCCAATCACGATGAGAGATAGGCATATGTTACTTGGCAGAAGATCTCCCAGCCAAATCAATTCGTTGAGAGCTAGATGTAACTATACTTCTTAGTATATAACATGTAGCTCAATGTAATTTCTTTTTTTTTTTTCGTAGTATTTGTCGTGAAGGAACTGGAAATAGATGGACATAAAGGAACGTGAGTGGTTTCATTCTGAGTTATAGTTATATGACCTGGCCAAAACCCTGCATAGATAATCTAACGAGTGGACCGGTGTATTTAAAGGATGTCATCTCACCTGTGACATGTAATTAACACCGAAATTTTGAAGGGACTGATTTGCAGTCTGTCAGTTTCTTTCTGTGAATTCACAGAGTAGATGACGACGGAGAAGAAGGAAAGGATTGTTGTTTCTTGTACAACAGGCGTCTCTTGCCCGCCTTCCACGCCTCGACGAGAGCAATGTACGCGATGACGGCGGCGAAGACGACGCCCCATTCCCAGCTGATGGCCGTGTGCTTGAAGACGAGGCGGTTGACGACGGGGATGTAGATTACCGGGAAGGTGATGACGAAGCCGGCGACGACGGCCCAGAATAGGAAGCGGTTGCGCAGCACCGTGCGGACGACGGAGAACGGCCCGCTGAATTCCTCCGGATACATGTTGAAGAGCGAGCGGGTGAAGTGCTTGACCTCCCAGGCCGTGACCAGCAGTAGGAAGCTGAGTGTTGCGAAAGTCGTCGCGCGCGCACGATACACGGCCTCGCACACCTCCGTGAAGTGCTGGTTGCAATCGTCTGAGCGGCTGAGGGACACGGGCCATTGGTACGGCCCATATGATACAAATGCCGAGGCGAAGATACATAGGGCACCCATGAAGATGCCGTAGGCGAATTTGTCAATGATGATCTCCTTTGTGAAGACGCCAACGCGGAGATCGTGGGGTGGTCGGATCATGATGTCTGGTTGTGCCTCTTCAAGTCCGAGACCGAGGGCCAAAAACGATGACGTGATTAGGTTGGCCCAGAGAATTTCGATGGGCGAGAGCGGGAATACGGATTGACTTTCGCTGTCCTTGAAGGCTAGGCCGATAAGGAGTAGTAGGACTTGGGATATATTGGAAATAAGGAGGTGGAGTATGAACTGACATATGTTTAGCCTATGCGGACTTCAAAGGTACAGCAGAAATTCATGTATTGGGATGAGTCAATCTTACCTTTTGGATGTTGTCAAAAAGCCTACGTCCTTCTTCAACAGCCGTGACAATGGATGAGAAATTATCATCAGTTAATACCATATCTGCGGCCTCCTTGGCTACATCGCTACCGTTGAGCCCCATGGCGATACCAACGTCGGCCTTCTTGAGGGCAGGAGAATCGTTGACACCGTCTCCGGTCATCACACAGTAAGCCCTGCGACGGTGCATCGCCTCGACCATACGCACTTTTGTGGACGGACTACAGCGAGCAAGAACAAGTGGAAGTTTATCCAGCGCGTCGATCTCCGCGTCGCTGAGAGCATCGAATGCGGACGCAGGCATAGTTGCGTTTACGGCCTCAGCCGCGGTAAGGTCGGGACCTAGTATACCAACCTCGTGAGCGATAGCGGTGGCAGTCTTGATATGATCTCCCGTAAGCATATGAACGGATATACCGGCGATTTTACACTTTCGAACAGCCCCAGCGGTCTCTAGGCGGGGAGGATCATATAGTCCAGCCAATCCGAGTGGTGTCAGCCCCTTTTCCGCAACTGCGCGGTCAGTTTTGAGAGACTCGTCATTTGGTGTTGTCTTGTGAGCAATACAGAGCACGCGTAATCCTTCGGCAGCAAGAGACTCTGCCTTAGCTGTAAACTGGGCCTTGACTTCTTCGGGCGCATCTAGGAGTGGCATAATTGCTTCAAGAGCGCCTTTAGTATACACATCGACGTGTCCAGAGGGTCTAGAATAAACCACGGTCATGCGCTTGCAGGACGAATCGAAAGGATGTTCGGCAACGAGGGCCGAGTCATTTGCTTGTGAGATCGTGGCCTTGCTCATATCGAATCTCATAGCAAATACCTGAAGAGCAATCTCTGTAGGTTCACCTACGGCTCTCCAATCTGATACAACAGTAGTAGAGGTCGTAGATGTTTCGGCTGTGTCATCGCCCGAGGTCGCCTTGGTATCAGACACAGTCGCGTTATTGCAGAGGGTTATGCACTCTAAGAATAACTGAGCGCTCGAAGGCATCCCAGGTTTTGAGGACTGAGAATCAGAGGAAGGGGATTGGTCATCTTTCCAGACCACATTTCCACTTGTAGGGTCAAAAGGATGAGTGCAGGTTTCAACTGAAGCAACAGAGCCGTCTCGAAGCCAGACTTTTCTCGTAATCATCTTGCCCTGTGTTAGAGTACCAGTCTTGTCAGAGCAAATACTGGTAATCCCTCCGACGGCCTCTAGAACCGATAGTTTCCGCACAATAACGTTGCCCCTAGCCATTGCCTTTGTTCCTACGGCCATGCTAATGGTAAGAACGGCAATCAGAGACTCAGGAATGACAGCAACGCCGACACATATACCATAGATCAGGACATCTCCATCGATGTCAAAGCGATTTGATGCGAAAACAATAATGGCGAGTAGTATGGCAAGTGCGAAGAGAAGCAAGGCAAACTTGCTGAGTTTTACTTGTAGGGGAGTACCATCGAGGCCAAGGATGCTCCGGGTTCCCATCTTAACGCGCTGCAAATACGATGTGAACCAAGATACATCTTCGCCCTTTGGCTTTGAGTTTGTTCGGAGTAGCTCGGCGATCCGGCCAACTTCCGTGTTCATACCAGTAGCCGTGACAATTCCCATGCCACGACCGCGTGTGATGGTGCTTGCAGAGTAGAGCATATTCACGCGATCCCCAATCGGCATATCCACATCTTCTAGTACGATATCTGAATGTTTGCTGATGGGTACAGATTCACCAGTGAGGAGTGCTTCATCGGTCGACAGGTTAAGTCCAGAGACCAAGCGCAGATCGGCTGGGACGATGTCACCTACATTGAGCATGACTAGATCGCCTCTGACGAGCTGCTCGGCTTTGATAGTTGTGGCCACCATGGACCTGACAACCTTACAGCTCGGAGCAGAAAGAGCCTGGAGACCTTCAATGGTCTTTTCGGCACGATAATCTTGAACGAGTCTGGAGGTGAAGAACGCAACAATGGTCAGTCAATGCCGGTTCCATGATTAGAGGGATTCTGAAATCTTGATGAGGCACTCACCCAACTACGATATTGAGCACAATAACGGCAGTAATGACACTGCCCTCAATGTAGTCATGGATGGCAAATGATATAGCCATGACAAGGATCAAAACAACAGTCAAACTGTTGGAAACCTGCCTCAGGAGAATCTTCCACACGGAAAGCCCTTTAGCCGCCTCAACCCTGTTAGGGCCATGCTCGTCCAGGCGACGAGCGGCCTCGGAATGAGAGAGGCCATTGCTAGCATCAGTCCCAAGAAGACACGCTAGCAGGTCGACAGATAAGGTGTGAGGCGCACAAAGACCGCCGAGGTCATCGGGCCTTTGTTTAGTTGTTGGAGAACTAGCATCGGAAGAGAGCGTTTGGCCACATATAGGAGGCTCAGCCGACTCCTCGACGATAAGTTGATCTTCTGTCCCCATTCAAGTATTCACAGACTAGGCAGTGAGTATGCCAAAGGACGATTGAAGCAAAAGAAAAGGGGGGGAGAGAAAAGGAGGGGAGGAGGAGCGGAAGGCCGGAGAACAAGGGGCATAGTGGGAGGCTCAAGATATACTGTCGGGTATACCCACTCCATATCCGCCCGGTCGTTTGTTCTCATCGTATCCTCGATCCTCTCGGGATGTGTCGTCCCACGACGACGTGCATGGCAAACTGCAAGGATCCATGTAAGTGGCATGTCCCCCGGGCCCAAGAGGTATTGTTTGACTGGTACAACCCCGCGCAGAGCCCACGAGGAAATGCACTTGCATCCTATCATACGGCTGTCATGTGGACGTGTGCCAATGACGCGCCAAGGCACCCGACATTAGGGTCAGACTTAACTCGGTATCATGCTGTATTAGGTAACATGTGGAGCTGCGTGTCGCATACAACACGACCAAGGAAGGCAGCGAGCAAGAGGCGAGCGAGGATCGATGACGATGGCGATGGTTGGAGAGAGGTAGCTTGGTCTTGGGCTGTGTCTTGGGCTGTGTCTTGGGTTGTGCTTGGGTCCTGGGCGCGCTGTCTTGGGTAGCTAGGCACGCACTGTGAACAGGTCGAGAACAAAAGGTGACATTTTGGAGATGGAGTGCGGCGAAGAGCCAACGAGATGTAAAAGCCACGGTTGGGAAAAGAAACCTGGCAAGCGTCGATTGTGACGAGTGAATGTTACTTGATGCCAGTGTCTCGGGATGACGGGTCACCTTTTACTGTCCTCACCCTCACCATCCCTAGATACCCTACCTAACCTGCTACCTACTCGGTACAATTATCAGGTACCCGCATAAGGACTGCCTATGAACGCCACCAGCTTACCTCTGGCAGTCCCTATGAGATGTATATGATCTCTTACATATAATCTCTTAGAAGATTCCCGTGTTATGTACTTCATTTCTTCGATAGATCGTCCGCAACTTGAAGGCGAAGTGAAGGCCTAGGCTGCGGCCCGGGCATACCCCTTACCCAGCATACAGCCGAAGTGAATCGCCAGATCGTGCTACCGGGACTCTTAAGAAGTAGCTACCTCTTCATTGAACTTGGGTACCTACCTACTATAAGCTATAAGGGAGCACCTACTTAAGCGGGTGGCTTACTCTGGTAGGTAAGTAGGTAGTACATATGTCGAGGTACCTACCTATCGGCCAGAACCCCCACACCCAACTGCAGTTGATTGATCAAGCAAATACTCTGTACAACAGGCACAACAGGAACAACAGGCAGACACACCATACAGTGCGCAGTGCGCAGTGCGTAGTGCGTAGCCCGGTAAGCTATCGGAGCTGATTGCTCCACTGGAAGCCGATTGCTCGCCTTCCCGGCGCCGAGAACGGGGAGCCCTGCAACTTGCTGACCGACGCTGACCGACCTTTGCCTTGCCAGACACTCCACACAACACTCTCTCTCTGCACGCCACTGTACCTAGGCTCTCTACGAAGTAGTTGAGGAAGCATCCCGATGTGGTTCTATTCTGCTGCTTTGGCTGACTCTGGCTGACCTGTCGAGCCCTGTCGTGTCACTTATCGTCCAGAAAACCCCGAGCCGACGCTAGTGATCACGCCACGGCCTTGCATACCTTTCCCACGTTCTCTGGGCGGTGGCTGTGCGGTGATATAGTTCGGCTCGGCAGCTCGGCAGTGGAGTTATTCAGTGGGGTCCGCCATCGCATCGCCCTTACCGTCTCTTACAAGCCAAACCGCCTACTTACGTAGCATGTCGCGACGTGACTTGACCGTCTCTGACCGTCCGCCATTCGACAGGTTGCTTTGGCTACCGATGCCGTCATTATCCCCGTACCAGTCTCGGCGCCGAGGGCAAACCCCAGCCGTTTTCTTGTGGGAAATATACTATTCGCCCTGCCGTCTGTGATGACTAAACGGAGCGAGATGGGGCAGCGGTCGGTGCGCTCGCACGCCTCACCAGCTGGCTTGGTTTGACATGGAATCATTACTTGGGCTGGTCTGGGCTGGGAAGGGAAATACCCGTCATTTACGGGTATCCATACTATTCAAAACCCGAGCCCTTGTACTTGTCTGTATAAGCACCAGTTTTCAGGCTACCCGTCTGTGTATTTGTTATCCGCTATCTTACATACATGCATGCAAGTATGCACGTGTCTTTAGGTGCAGACGACGGAACGAAAGGAGACAACCAAAAAAGAAAGATAAGAGAAGGAGGCGGAAACACCCAGTTTGCTGGAGTAAGCACTCGGGTGTGCGGGGGCCTCTGTATAGTGCATGTACTCTTGGAACATCTAAGCGTTCCTGTTCGCTGGCTCGACGATGGCCTGCCTACCTAGGATGACGCGGCCGTGTTGGCATCGAACACTTTCTTCCCCTCAAACCAAGTCTGGACTACCTTCGCTTGCAACAGCTTATCGCTGCTCCACTCCATATCCACGACGACAAAGTCGGCCACTCGCCCGGCTTCCAGCTTACCCGCCCAGTCCATGAAGCAACTGTGCGCTGAACCCTCGGTGCCCGCCGCGATGGCCGCTGCTAACTCGAGCGCGAAATGGGGGTTGACTCGGTCTTCTAGCTCTGGTTCCCGACCTGACCGGCGCGTCGTCGCCGTGTAGGCGCCCGTGAGTGGTGCATGCGGCGCCGTCGGAGCGTCGGAGCCCAGCGCTAGCACCGCACCTCCTTGCGCGAAATCCGTATAAGCAAATGCCCGCTCACAGCGCTTGGGTCCTATCAGAGTTGGCCAGGCTCGCAGGATTGCTGGGTCTGCATGTACTGCCTGAATAGATGCAGTAATGCCCAATTGGCCCAACCGCGCAGCGTCCTCAGAGGATGCGAGCTCGAGGTGCTCAATCCGGTGTCTACGTCCGGGCGTTGCGTTCTGCTCTAATGCGTCGATGGCGATCTTAATTGTTTTGTCGCCTATCGCGTGAAGAGCGCATTGCAGCCCAGCGGCATCTGCCTTCTTCACCACTGGGCCGAGATCCGCCAATGACCATATCGGTTCGCAAGTGAAACCGTTGGACGTGTACGGCTCTGTCAAGGCGGCAGTGCAACCATCAACTATACCATCACAGATGACTTTGATGCCAACCACTCGGCAATCTGGGGTCGTCTCCGCATTGAACTGCCGGTTGAGCTCAATCGCCCGATCAACCTGCGCCAAATTCTCGACTTCATTTTTGCGGGGAGTGATGAGCCAATGCACCGCGTAGCGCATTGGCGAGGTTTCTTGTTTGCGAAACTCTTGTAGAACCTCCCAACCATTCTCGTCCATTGCCATTTCGACCAAGCCTGTGTATCCAACGGCATTATACGCCCCTATTGCCCCTCTAACAGCTGCTAGCTTCTCCTCCATCGACGCAACTTTGGCGACGTGAGGCCATACAATAGTAACTGCTGCAGACTCAGTCAGAAGACCTGTGGGGTTCCCGTTCTCGTCTCGGTATATCTTCCCTCCCTCGGGGTCGGGCATGTTCTGCACACCCAGGTCTTTCAATGCCGCAGTATTGCACCAAGTAGAATGAAGGTCTTTAGAGTCAATGAAAATGGGGCGGGGATCAATATCATCGAGCATAGTTGCCAAGGCTTTGCCGTCCGTCATGAAGTTCATCCACCCTTTGGCCAGTATTCGAGACGCGGACGGATGCGTCGCACTTGAATCGCAAGATGTAAGTCAGTAACTTCCCGTTGGTGAATATTATTCTAGCCATGATGGCCATGTACACACTCTGTGGTGCGACGAACTGGCATGACAAGTATCTTCACTCTCTCGTCATAATTGGAGGAAAGGGGGAAAATGAGAGACAGAGAGAGAAACATAATCCTTCTGTAACACTCACGCAAAATCTTTGAGTACTTTTCGGATATCATTGAAGCTTTTGCATTGCTCTAATGCGGCCTTCTGGAGTGACTGGCCCATCATCAACAGATGCATATGCCCATCTATGAACCCCGGTAGCACAACACGACCACCGATATCGTGTTTCGTGATCCCCTTAGCCTCGGACTGTCGTACTTGCTCGTCGGCCGACGAGCCTACGTAGACGATTTTTCCTTCTCCATCAATCACCATGCACTCTGCAAAAGAGTGATTTTCCCCCAGAATTCCCGACTGGAAAAAACGACCGTTATGGAAAAGAGTGGGCATGTTGAGAATCTTATTTCGTATATTACTCGGTTACGAAGGCAACGACGGCGGTGATATTGTGCTTGATACCGAGGCATGCCGCATACCTCTCCCCGCCGTGGAAACCCCGCCTCATTACCGGTTATCGGCATGTACAAAAACCAATACCATCGCATATAAAAAAACGGTAATACAGTATTGACAGCGAAATTATTCGTGCTAAAAGATGCAAGTGGGGTGTTTGGGACGTTCAGCTATCCTCGACCCAATTATGAGCGGTTGAAGGGCGGTTGGAACAGACCCATACTGAACAAACTTGAGAATGGCACTTTACACGCTTCTTATCCACATACCTAAACTCCAACCCTCCAAAACACCAAAAAAGTATAGGCTTATACTCCGAATCGGGGAATCGAACCCCGGGCTTGACGGTCCCCTAGTTGGGATGAGAGCGTCAAATGTTAGCCACTACACCAATTCGGAGAAGAAAATCGAGGGTATAGGTGGAATTGAACCACCGGCGATGGACTCGCGGGGAATCGAACCCCGGACCACTCCCAGTTACTCGGTATCTTCAGAAGAAGACATCTTAATGCTAAGGGAGTATTATACCACTAAACCACAAGCCCGATTCTTTCGAACCTTATTCGTTGGAAACGGTGCGCTTAATTGACGCAATTGAACGGCGGCGTTCTAGTAACCCCAGTTGAAATTCAATACTCTATCTAACAGTACCTAGGTAAAATGGGATACCTAGATAGAACGAAAAGCTAAGGTGTTTACGAATTTTCTTCAAAGGCTTGAGTTATCCCCTCAATTGCCTGACCTGCCTAGTATTCAGCGCCTCCTGAATGAATAGGGTGTACTTGAGTTCGCGGCGCATATGTCTCGTTTAACATGTATAATTGATAGAATACCCTTGTATCGAATCACAACACAGCCTACCTACATTTGTAAGGGATTAAACGGAGTGTTATTCACGATATCCCGTGACTAATTCCCAGCACTTTGGAAAGCGACCCCAACACGGATGCGTCATCTTTCTGTCCTCTGTACATAGATTGTCGTGGCACCAAATATTGCTACAATTTGTAAGCAAGATTATGTTGCATTGCATAAAAGATATATACCTGGTTCTGCCCAGGAGCGACGTAGGTTAGGGTTTCTAACGTGCATATCTTTCTAAGATGCCAAGTACCGAACCAATATGTGCCGCCATGCAACAAGACCCAGCCGGAGATATATTGACGGAATAATTGCCCGAACTAGACAATGTAAGCAGCTCGGTGACGTGCTATATAGGAGGCAGATGCCACCCTCAAAATGCAGGTTTACCACTTGTCAGATATTAGCTAATGCGTTTTCCCTCGATTCATAATCACTGACTCCCGGCACACAAGAGGCCAGATGGAACGTCCCGCTCTCCAAGATGCGCGGGGTACCAATGAGATATGATCTTGGTCGGAAGCAGGCAGAGTTACGACAGGAGTCTGGTTGTTGTTTGCGGCGTATACGATTCAAGGAATTAAGAAGAAGAATAAGACCAATAAAGTTAATGTTGGTTAGAATATACATCGTTTTAAAGCCTACATTAGTCATGACACCTTTCCTGCTACATTTAAATGAGTGTCTTCATCTTGTCAAGGCTGCATTTTCATTGAGCTCGACGGGGTTGTTCAGTCGTTATCCACATCAAGTGTGAGTTAGATGTTATTATAGTTATCTGATATCAGCGGGTGGCCTTCCATTTCAAGCCCAAGTAGCTTGGACGTAAGCGGGGGTTTGACGGCGTTCCTTACATGCAGGTCTGCATACACCGGCAAGTTGGTTTTCGCAGCAATAGTTATGTGTCCGAGTACGGAGATCAGTCTAGGCTCTTGTCCAGCTCCATGAGATGTAGTATCCTTGAAAATATATCGGCTTTTTAAAATCTGACAAACTGATCAAGTCATCTTGATGTCTACATGCTAGAGAGAAGAGGAGAATAAGTAGGGTGCTATATAAGTTGAGAGTTGAGAGGTGCCATTCCGCCGGTTGACAGTTCACGCCCAAGAACGGTATATTGACACTGCGCCTTATGTGGCTCGTTGCACCACCATGCATCTTCCCAAGCTTGCTGGTCTACTCAGTTTTATATCAGCGATCGACTGCATCAACTTCCCTTTCGAGGCGAGGGTGCTCGAGGAAGGCGATATTGGTAATTTCTCTGCTATTTCTTTCGGCAACAGGGCCACAGCGAGCCCAGTATACGATGGACCGGAATGTAAAGTATACCCTGGCACGGCCACATGGCCAAACGAGGCAGAATGGACGCGACTGAACAGCACCCTCGACGGCGCTTTGCTCAAGCCGATCCCGGCTGCTGCGGCCTGTTACAGTGGTCCTTTTCAGAATACGAATCAGTGTAACTTCTTGCTGCGCAACACAAGCTCGTCACGCTTCTACATCAACGATCCACTCACAGTCCTCGCCATGTGGCCAGAGGGCGACACGTGCTATGCCTCGGCTAGCACGGCCGGGCTCAACTGCACCCAGGGTGGCTGGCCTAGCTACGTCGTTAATGTTACAACGGTGAAGCAGATCCAGGCTGCTGTGAACTTTGCGCGGAACAAGAATCTCAGACTGGTCGTCAAGTGAGCTGAAAGCGTTTCCTTGAGCGCCTATTCTCTCACAAATACTGAACGGCACGACTGCGAATGAGCTCGCTGCTGACCATGATAGGAATACGGGACATGATTTCTATGGGCGCTCCATAGGGTTTGGTGCCATAAGCATCTGGACGCATTGGCTGAAACAATTTGAGTTCCTGCCCGAGTATAGTATCGGCGAATATCGCGGGATGGCTGCCCGCGTGGGCGCAGGGCTTGAAAGTTGGGAATTATTTGCGTATATGTCAAGACACAATATGACAGTCCTGGTTGCTGGTCCCTATACAGTCGGCGCGTATGGAGGGTGGATATCGGGTGGTGGACATAGCGCGTTGGCTTCAACCTATGGTATGGGCGCTGATCAAGTGCTGTCACTTGATGTTGTCACTGCGGACGGGAGGTTTGTGACGGCAGACGTGAACCAGAATACCGATTTATTCTTCGCACTGCGCGGGGGTGGCGGGAGTAAGTGCAATTTCTTCCTGAATGAGCCCGACTCTATCACACCTTGAGAGCTGCTATGGGTTAACAAGGACGTAACGTATGTAGGCAACTACGGCATTGTGACCTCCGCCATCGTCAAAGCTCATCCCGCGACATCGGTGCTAAGCTCGCCACTTAGGTTCTCCGTACAGCCGACCACAAATTCGTCCGCCACGGGCCTTTTTTGGGCGGCGTTTGATGAATACCACAGATTTGGGCTAGATATCGTCGATAATGGAGGCACAGCATATAGCAACGTTAACCGCATCGCGCCACAATCAGGCAGCAACGCTCTCCCGGGAGCCAGTTTCTCGACTACTATCGAGATGCCGGGGATGTCAGCGACACAGATCACCGCGTTCGTGAAACCATTGTACGATCGCATTGCAGCACTCGGTTTTACACTCCCCGCGTCTGCTATCACACAAGCCTCTAATTGGCAAGATACGAGTCACGGCGTTGGGGACGTGCCCGGTAGCGGTGGGCGTTTTGCCAGTCGGATATTTCCTCGGGTGAGCTTTGAGAACTCGACCCGGTTTGCTGCTACACAGAGAGCTATTCGGAATGCTGTTGAGGCTGGATATCAATTCCATGGAATCAATATGGCACCAAGGTCAGTACTTTAGACCCTGTAGTGCTCTATCTTGACGGCATGAGCTGCGTAGTCAGGAGTACCCATTTAGGGAGATACTCGAGACACCGAGTAAAAGAAGGAGTTACTGGCTGATGACTGACAATGATTTTTGTATAGCCTTGACATCGCTGGATATCCCGGAAGTAGCAGTGCTGTCAACCCAGCATTTCGAACCGGTGGTGAGTTCTAGAGAGATTGAATTTTCTTTCTCAGTTATAGTCAAAGTATTCATAAATCCTGCCTAGAGATCATGCCCCTGACACCTGGTGTAACAGTCATGTTTGCGGACGTTTTCGAGAACACAAACTTGCGGGGTCTCTCGGCGCAAGGAGTACGTGATGCGCACGCCAAGTTCAACGTGTATATGGATCAGATCCGCCAGGCTACGCCTGAGGGCGGGTCATACATAAATGAATGCGACGTCGAGGAACCAGATTGGCAGAAAGCGTTCTTCGGGAGCAATTATGCGAGGCTTGCGGAGGTGAAGGCAAGCTGGGATCCTTGGAGCTTGTTTTATACACCGCTTGGCGTTGGAAGCGAGGCATGGATCGTTAGGAGCGTGGATCATGGCATGCCAACCCAGGATGGACCCCTTTGTCGCGTCGAATCGTGAATCGCGGGTGGTTATGCTTGTTAATGGCTAGATCAAGGATGGTCAAGGCGAGGAATACTACGGGTGTGACTTGTGCCTGATCGGACGGAGGATGTTATGTATGTAGTACAAGCATTTTCCCCTTTCAGCCTGCTGTTACTCGATATTCTATCGTCAAGATTGTTAGTTGCGACAATGTCACGAGGATACTCACTCTCCCAGAAGTCGGCTCACTCTCGCCCCCAGATTGAGCCTCGAATTCCACAAACAGTTGACATCAGTTTCCTCGACTCACGAGAGTATTTCGCTTCACTTCCACAAAATAATAAAAATAAAGAGGAAGAGAACCAGAGCAAAACAGAACGCTTAAAGGTACCGAGCCCAAGTAAGTCGTTATCACAGTCAGCAGCTGTGGTTCTCGGATGCATAATTCTCACTAGAGTCTAAGGCTTCAATAAATGCAGGATCATTAGCATAAACGAATGGACTCTGTGACTCTTGCCCCTCATAGTCAGTCTGAATAGAGATCCAACCAAGAAGCGGGTGAGTCATATATGATTCAGGTGAACTACCTTTGGTCTATACTCTCAGGGTATTGAGGGGTCCGATAATTCTAGGCCGTAGATGACCCAGCTGGAACTTTCATCTGACAAGTTTAAACTGATTGCTAGTGGGTGTGAGATTCCGAAACTGCCGTAGATACAGATCTTGTAAGATACGATAGGATCTTTAGCGAGCCTCCGTTATAGACCAATGGTGAGGCTGTTGCACGTGTGGTTAACATTGTATGATCGGTTCATTTATTTTCATCTCGGCTCTCCGGATATTTGCATATTGAGTCAGATTATTTTAATACCTGTTGTAGGTAACCATTGGTGATATTGGATTGGACCTGCTTACCTCAATACCTACATATATACTTTTTACATAGTAAGTAAAAAATGAGCATATGCATGAAACGAGGCCAGCCTGGCACTCCAGTGGAGCTCTGGCATTTACTGTACCTAAGAAGACCACTGAAGAGGCGAGAGGCTCGCTGTTGAGTGAGTCTACTGTACAATCCTACGCCAGACGTTCCCACGGCGGTACTTAGGTATGTACCTATGTACCTATGTACCCGTGTACCTATGTATCTTACCTTTCCATTTACTGAACTCTGCTTCAAGTTCTACCTCCACCACACCTTACATACTCGCCAGACTCTACGTGATAAGTGCACAGCTTCAACCTAACCTTCTCGCAATATCGCAGCCCCCACACGCCTTACTTGTATAGTATCTTTCTCGGCCAGTGAAGCATACTAGAACCTTCCGCCATTCACTATTTGTTGCCCCGCTGCCATCGTCGTCACGCCGCGGTACCTTGCCCACATAGCCAGAGCCTCCCTGACTACTACCAAGGTTCGACGCCTCAGCTTGACTGCAGAACGCGCCAGCCGGACCCGAACACAGTCGGCCGTGTCAACCAACACATCTTCTAAGCTTGGAAGCTTGGAAGCTATTCGAAAGCCCCGAAGCCGACCGAATTTCGTTGAGTTGGAGCGAATTCAGCCTTGTCCATCGCCCCATCGCCTACCCAGACCAACTCGGCTTTCAAGATTACCCTTCTGGCCAGGCGATACACCACCGGCCGAACCTAGGCAACCTCTCAGACTCCAGTCCCTATAACTCGACCGATAGCCACATATCCATATCATCCTCCACTTCGACAATCGATCAGTCAGCTAGGCTCATGACCCCATTGCCCAACGAGTCGTTAAGCCTACGCTCTCTGTCCGTTGTCGAGTAGTCCGCAGCCTTTTCTAGCCTGCTTGCGTGGCTCTCGCTCGCTTTCAGTGAGATAGTCAATCGCCATTCCTGTGTGATTTTGCGAGGGGTTCTAGGGGATTCGCATTTCACTTCGTTCTATCTCTCATCTCCTTCCCCCTTCTTCCCCCACCGACCCCGTGACCACCACCCTCATGGTCCCTCCGCCCTCCTCCCATTCACGATCCGGAACCTTTTCGCCTGTTCCTGCCCAAGGCTTGCAGACGGGCTTGACCCATTCGCCCCATCCGTCACAGACCGGCGCGTTGAGTGCTGGCGCAAGCCCAAGTACTAGTAGCCCGACTACGGGTAGCAACAACTCTCTCACCAAGATCGTCGTCGCCCAGGTCTATCTGCTGCTGAGTTCTATCAATAAGGACAAAGACCGTGCAAAGTTTGAGCTTCAAGTCGAGCAGCTAAATAAGGTTAGTACATACATGTATATCCATCCCTCCGTCGCTTACGTTGTGACCACCTGATCAAATGTTGCTGCTAAACACAAACTAACTCTTTGATCTCGTAGCTGCTCGATGACCACGGGATGGAAGTATTTTCTAAATATTTCACACGGCTTGTCGCCGGCAATGCAGCTCAGATATTCCCTGGCCTCAATAGGTCTACGGCTAATCCCGGCAATTACTCGTTATTGGCCGGTGAGATGAACAAGATCTCGCACGACCTAAATCAGGCCCCGAAGATCGCCGAGTCAATAGAGACTGCTAATGAGGACATATTCCGCGACTTTGATCTCTCTACTTTCATGGAGCATTTCAAACTTGATGCTCTAGAAAAGACTATTCTGGCACTAGCCTTCAAGCTTGGCTTGCGTTCAGATCTAAAAACCAAAGGTTGGTCCTCCATTAAACCTGCAGTTGTGTCCAACCTAAGCTTATTATAAACGTTCTTTTACAGCCGACGCGATACTCTCCACCAATTTCCCAACCTTTGTTAATATTATCTCGCGCCCTAACTATGGTGATCACTCTGATCTTAGCCCATCCTTTATCGCCGCAATTGTCGACAAATACATCCAGGGCCACCCGCCCAACTTCAACTCGGCTGCCAAGCACGAACTAAGCCATAAAGTGCAATCTCGCTGGTCCCAGTCGGATCACGCACCTCCGATGGAAGTCTTAGCTGCTTTAGATCTCATTCGAGTACTTGGCGAGAAGCCGCCAAATGCTCTGGCTCTCTATATTCGTGCCACAGGTACCGATTTCACCCGTGATGAGGATACCTGCTTTAGTTATCTCGATAAGCGGCCTACTAATATACAACTAAGCGAGGAGCAAGTGTCCGCCGCCTTAACTTACACTACCGTAAGTATTACTTATCGACATAACCCATCTGTCCTGGTAGCCGCCCTTCGACGGATTGTACCTTCGACGTTTAATTGGCAGGACGTGATCGGTTACTTTGATCAGCGCGATGTACGAGTCTCTTCGGCGCAGTTTTTGCGACTGTATACCGCTCTTCTGCCCATTGCCCAGGCGAGTGAAAACAGCTCACAGCCCTTCGATATCCAGTGCTTATGGGGCGGCTCACACTGGGAAAATCCCGAAACACAATTGTCTTTCATTTGTGCGTTTGCCTCTTTGACTCCAGACGACCTTGATGCTACTACCATCCCTGGTCTTCAGCCTACTTTTACTCTCGATGACTACGCCCAATCACCTCCTGCGGTTAGGGAACGAGCCTTGGTAGCCGTCAAGCATCCGCTTGTTTCTGGTCCTGCTCTTTCGGCAATCTTCCAAGTCGCTCTTCATTCTCTACATGCTTCACAGAGCACCGAGGCCAAACGCCTATTCCAAGAAGTCGTCGTTCCCAATTTAGATATTTTCATCGTGTCGGCCTTCGGTGTTCCTAAACCGTGGCCGCCAATGGCTGTCGACACTCTTGCATCTTTGTTCGAAAATTTTCTCCATCGCCGTTCCGAGTATCATGAGTTCGTCATGGACAGCTTGTGGAGAAAGGATCGAGACTGGGTAATTCAGAGGCTTGCAGATGCACATGTAATGAAACCCGCTGATCTACCCTTGATCTATGATCATGTTATGGAACATGGCTGGTTGGAGGCTCTCATTTATGATGCCAATGGTTTCGGGCTTGATCTTTTATCTTATGCTCATGCCAATGGACAGATAGATATCACCCATTGGGCGCGTCACGTATCTGAGCGAAGTCCAGCAATCTCACCAGCACTGGTGCAATTCTTGCTGATCAAGGCGAATTTGGAAGCAAATTCTCAAAAGGTTACGAACGGCCCGAGCCCGTCGAGTGTCCCGCTTCATCTCAAGACCGTTCTAGCTCTACTACAGATACTAGAAGATCTTCTTCCTCGGGGCCCCATTCCTGAACTTATCATGGTTCAACGTGTGTGTATCACTGCCTATCCCAGACTGGTCAACTACGGCGAGGGTTACGATGAAATTATTGATGCGAACGGGCAAGAGAGTCACATGCTCCCCGCGGCTGCTGTTGCCAAGATGGAAGAGCAGTATAAGAAGATGTACAATGAAGAGAGCGAAGTTAAAGTCGTTGTCCAGCGACTTGAAACATACAAGCACTCCCGTATTCCACTTGAACAAGACATATTCGCCTGTATGATTCATGGACTCTTTGACGAGTATTCTCACTTTGCCGGTTATCCTCTCGAGGCTTTAGCCACCACTGCCGTCCTATTTGGTGGTATCATATCACACAAGCTCATTTCAGAGCTCCCACTCAAAATTGGGCTTGGAATGATTCTTGAGGCAGTAAGGGATCACAGGCCGGAAGAGAACATGTACAAGTTCGGTCTTCAGGCTTTGATGCAGTTGTTTTCACGTTTTCGGGAATGGCCGGGATTTTGTAAACAGCTATTGCAGATTCCAGGTCTCCATGGAACTGATGCTTGGAGGAAAGCAGAAGAAGTCGTGCGTGAGGACGAAGAGGAAAAAGCGCGCTCTCAAAACGGCAACGGTCGAGCCAATCACCTAGGAAATGATACCATGGTAAATGGTTCTGCTGAGGCCTCGGATGCGCACCCTCCTCCCTTCACAGCTATCCATGTTGATCCTCCGCCCGGCGATATCAAGTTTGAAGAGCCTGTCGAAGAAATTCAGGACAAAATCCAATTCGGTCTCAACAACTTGACAGCAGCATCACTGCAGACTACTTACAGAGAGATATGCGATATCATGGATGAGCGTCATCAACAGTGGTTTGCACTCCACCTCGTAGAGGAACGCGCCAAGCAACAACCAAATTTTCATCAAGTCTATCTCGATTTAGTCAAGCTATTCCAGCACCGGGGACTGTGGTCTGAGGTCTTAAGGCAGACCTATAAAAGCTGCCAACGAATGCTGAATGCGGAAAGTACTATGCAAAGTTCTACGGACAGGACGCAGCTCAAATTCCTAGGCGCTTGGTTGGGACTCCTTACACTAGCAAGGGATCAACCCATCAAGCACAAGAACATCGCCTTCAAGCAGCTCCTTATCGAGGCTCACGATACCAAGCGCTTGGTTGTCGTGGTACCTTTCGTTTGCAAAGTCCTCATTCAAGCTTCTCGATCAACTATTTTCCGCCCCCCAAATCCTTGGTTGATGGATATCATTCATTTCCTCATCGAGCTGTATCACACCGCTGAGCTAAAGCTTAATCAGAAGTTTGAGATCGAAGTTCTTTGTAAGGATCTTAATCTTGATCATAAGAGTATAGAGCCCTCTAGCGAGCTTCAAGATCGTGAGCCCATTGATGACGTGGGTGAACTCTCAGTTCCGGAATTGGAGCAATTTGAAGGCCTCTCTCTGAACGGCCTACCTGGCCCCATCGCCCCTGGACTATCACCACCGAGTCTTCCAGTATCAGTCCCAGAAGTCAGCAGCCTGTTATCAATTCCGCCAACTAATGAAATGGTTGTGAATACTGCCCGGCTTCACGAGATGGTGCGCAACGCTGTCACAAAAGCATTGCACGATATCATCCAACCAGTAGTCGACAGATCCGTGACGATCGCAGCTATTAGTACCCAGCAAATGATCCATAAAGACTTTGCAACAGAACCAGATGAAAACAAACTTCGAACTGCAGCTATCAACATGGTCAAGGCAACAGCAGGAAGTCTTGCACAGGTCACTTCAAAAGAGCCTCTCAGGGCAAACATAACCAATTATTTGCGAGCTGCTGCAAATGAGTTACCACAAGGCTTGCCAGAAGGCACGATCCTTATGTGCGTAAATTCAAACTTAGACCTCGCATGTAACATCATTGAGAAACAAGCAGAAGATCGTGCTGTTCCGGAGATTGAAGAGATGATTGAACCAGAAATTGAGGCACGCCGCCGTCATCGCGTGCAGAGACCAAACGAGCCATATGTAGATCCAGGGCTCACTCGATGGGCCATGACAATTCCTCATCCTTTCAAGCTTGCTCCAAACACATCGGGTTTGAATGCAGAGCAGATGGCCATCTATGATGATTTTGCTAGACAGCCAAGAGGTGCCACCCAAAGCAGCGCGCATGCCGCCTCTGCCTCCGATACTACCAGGATCATTGCTAATGAGGTGCTCTCTGAACAATACAGTGCTGTGCCCAACCTGCCCACACCCGCTGAGACACCGTCCCTGCAACATTTAAGTGCACAATTGCCGTATTCACATATGCATGCCGGCATGACTAACGGCCGCCCCTCTGCTCATCATGGTCAGGTAGATGTCAGAGGTCTCGAGGACAAAATCTCAAAACTGTTAGAAGATTTGAAACATACGGCAGATACGTCACAGGAGGCCCATTTCAGCGAAGTGCCTAAGCAGCATAACATTATCGATATGGTGGATGCGCTCACCCAGCTCATCATCAACGCTTCTCAAAGCTCTGACGGAATTGCCGTTTACGCGGCAGAGAAGATATGTAACCTGTTGTTCAACCGGTACAACCACAGTGCCTTATTCATAGAGTCACTTGTTCATATCCTTGAGCTGATACTAAAGGTATCCGCTAGCTCCGGCTCGAATCTACGTGACCGAGTTCAAGTCAGCCTCTACAACCAACCACCTCAAAACATTCTCCACATCCCTCTCATATCTGCTCTACTTCAGACAGATCTTCTCGATTTACACAACATTGACACAATGACCGCAAAGGTTCTTGCCCAGCGAGAAGAGTCATTTTTGCACTTTTTTGACCAGCTCTTGGACTTGACATTATTCAATGAGCGACCCATCGCCCTTTACGCGGATTTTGTGCATAGTTTCCAAGTTGCATGGGAATGGATTAGTGAGGACCCGAGTCTCGAAATCGGACAACAGCTGAAGGCGAAGTTCCAGGATTCAGGATTACCGAAGCATCAGATCCGCAATCCGGACGAACTAGACGACCTTTTTGACTATGTCTTAGATGAGTGGGGAAGGACATTGTCGAATTCCAACGCATCTGAAAAACCGTTAGTCGATTTCGTCAGACAGTTGCGGAACCATAGGGTTGTTAACAGTCAGGATGACTTTGTGATGCTTCTAGCGAGAGGCATTGACGCATCGGTCAACCACTATGAGCAAGTCATGCATACTGCAGGAAGCACTAAGACTGAGGCCTTTGCTTATGTGGACGCTCTTGTGAAGCTGACGGAAGTTTTCGCCAAAGAAAGCGCTGACGAGAAAGAAAACTCGAGGAACAGCCCAGTTTCCATCTTCCGAGCCGTCTTTTCCCTGGCTGCTGTTGTCCTCAATCATCACCATTTGAATCGTGGGGAGAGGTTCAATGGACGGGTCTTTTTCCGTCTATTTTCGATGTTGATGCACGCTGTTGACAATGTTTTTGTGGATAACCTTCAGTCTAACCGAAAAGACGTTGTGTTAGACCTAGCAGACACATTTCTCCGGTTGGAACCGGAGTTATTTCCAGGCTTCTCTTATCCCTGGATATATCTCATTGGACACAGACAGTTCATGCCCAGCATCTTGACTCTTGATGGAAGATCAGGTTGGGCTCCCTTCACCAAGCTCCTCCAAGCGCTCCTCAAGAATGTTTCCGAGCATATGAAAGTGGTTGATCTCACAGATGCCATCAAGGAGTACTACCGAGCAACTGTCAAACTTATGATGACACTCTCGCATGACTATGCCGACTATGTGTCAGCCAATGCCACCCAACTGTGTGGGAGCATTGCGCCTCACGTGCGGCAGCTAAGGGGCATCATTCTAAATTGTAGCCCCAGGTCAGAGGCTGTAGATGGCGCAGCTCCTCAAGATCCGGATTCCAGCAGTATCACACATCCCTTTTCGGCACTTACGGAAGCAGGATTGAAACCTGTTCTGGAGCAACTCATGCAGGCTGGTCCTACGGAAGACGCAATCGCACATCTCACACATGCTATCAACAAGTCTAATGGGAATGATACCGTCTTTGGGCACGTCCGTTTGACAGTTGACTCAAAACTCATTGATGATATAGTAGAATACATTGGAGAATATGCGGCCTCTAGGTCTCGCGAAGCTGGACCATTGTTTACTCATGGTTCTACTGACAATGCCACCCTGTCGCTTTTAGTACATGAGCTATCGCCTGAAGGTCGCTACTATCTGTTAAGTAGTATTCTTGACCGACTACGATACCCAGCTCCTGTCACTGAGTACTTTACCCATACCATTCTTGATTTGTTCGGCCGAGACATCAATGATCCGGAAGAAACGGATATTCGCCAGCAGATCGTCCGAATTTTGCTTGAACGACTAGCAGGGTACTGGCCGCAACCTTGGGGCCTAGTGACAGTCATTCTCGAGCTTGCCAAGGACCAGAAGTATATGTTCTTCGACCAGCCTTTTATCAAGGCGGATCGTGAGGTAAGTACCCTTCTATCTAGATCACAGTTTGGCCAATACTCAGATATCTAATAAACGTCAATAGATCGCAGAGCAATTCTTAGCCATAGCAAGACAGGCACAATAATTGTGCGAAGGCCAAGCTACCAACTAGCGAGCTTTGTGATATTCACAATTTGTAGATTGTTCTGACCAAACAAGTATTCACGATGACAAGTTTGCGCATGAAGCTATTGGAGGGACGTCGTTTAAGTTGAGTGCAAGGAATGTTTATTTGGCGCCGGAGCATCGGTACAGGTTAGTTTATGATGAAACAGCATTTTACGGCGTCGGGGGTTGACGACTAAAAGCTTGGCATGATTGTACCCTTAACACAGGATGACCCGATTAGAGGCCTCTTGGGCAAAGGTCCAAATCGTGCATCTTTGTATGTGTATATTAGTATATAGAAATGAGCGGATAGCCGTCTACTTCTGCATTCCTGAAAACTTACAGTCCTTACGCTACTATGTTCACGAACATGTAGATAATAACACTTAACATCAACCAGAACCACTTTGCGTTGTTCGTGCTCCACCAATCTACCTAGGTCTCATTGCTTGATATCAAACCGAGGCCATGACTAGGTGAATTGAGACCGATGCTATAGACCCAAGCCACTCCAAAGGACTAAAATGATTGAAAAAGGCACATGAGTGGCCGAGCTTGGTCTCGTAGTACAGCAGCTTACTGCATGATGATAAAGGTCAGTGCTACCAGCACTGGTTTTCGATTCAAAGATAGGACAGGCGCTCTTGCGAGGCCAAAATTGCGGCAACGGTATCAGAATTCTAAATATCATTGATATAGCTGATTTAATACATTTGCAACCATCAAAGTTGACTATAGCCCTCACATGAAGCCCCAAGCGCCGAGTACACCTCGACCACCACCGCCTCTCGACGGCTCAGCAGCCTTCTCAAGTTTCTTGATGCGCCTTACGAGCAGGCCAGTGCCAATAGGACCAGCGACGGTGCAGAGAAAAATAGCCCAGGTAACGATGAGGAAGAATTTAGAGGCTTCGGAGGCATCCTCATCTACCTGACGGAAAACACCCTGGCTTTCTGCCATTGATGAAATGAGGAATCCGATTTCCCCACGAGCAACCACTACAAGTTCTGAGTCAGTCAACTCTTTCCTTTGAGTTGGTGCTATCGGGTTGGGAGAAAAGTAAGGGAATATCATGGTTCAGAAATAAAGGCCTTGGTATTCCAGTGTCATCAAATCAATAAGAAACTGACCTGGGACATCACTTACTTGCACAGCCCATAACTGCTGCTGGATATAGGGAAAGTGGTTTAGGAGGCGTTGCCGAGTCGGAGCCCGGAGAAGACGGTGTAGCCTCGTCAAGGTGAAGATCCTGGGAAGCTTGTACCGATGTAGTTTCAGTTGCCAGGCCACTATTAGAGTTCGGCTTTGTCTTCGGCACGGGACGACAGCGCCGAATCTTTGACAAAACCTGGCTGTGTTTTGACGCTATCAGCGAACTGATACTTCGTATTGTATCCGGTACAGATCCCGGGAGCCGTACGAGCCAAAGACCACAGACGAGCTTGCCAATAATCATGAGGATGCTGTAGATGATACCTCGCCACACAATTTGGCCCTTGAATAGCTTTGATATCGGTATAGAGAATCCGATGGAAGCCTATGGAAGTTAATATCACGGCTTAGAGAAACTCAAATATCATTTCTAGACAAGAGCACTTACGAAGAAGAATGGTTTCAGTACATGAGCAACCACTTGGGCGTAATATGTATCAAAAACTCTTAGGGCCATAAGTTTTACGGTAGGGACCTCCCAGCTTTTTTCGTCTATGGGAGAACCACCATCGTTTGGCACGGGTTCCTGAATATCCTCCGTTTGTTGCTCTATTGATGGCGGTGATGTATCTCTAAGATGAGACTCGACGACAGGAGAGGTTTTGTTGGGACGGCTTCTTTGCCCGCCCCACCAACTCACTACGACGCCTGCAAGGTAAGCGGCGAGTAAAACTGAAGTTCCTGCATAGTCAGCCGCGACAACCAGTAAGATCAGGAACGCTGTCTGAAAAACAAAGGCTGCTTCTTGGGAATTGACCCAGGCCCTCAATCTAGCTTTATTGTCAGAATCCCTTGCCTCTTTCTCTTCCCCTCTACTATCTTGTCCTGTGGCGATACAATCGGCAATTCGTCGGGCAGGTTTCAGCGCATAGCGGCACGCAAGGGGTATAACCACGGCAAATGCAACAGAGACTAATACAGGCCTCAGTATCGTTGCTGGTTCAACTAAAGCACCCAAAATTAGCATCTACCTTTAGTAAGAGGCCCAATATGTATTCAGATCATATAGACATGAGTCCTCGGGGTAGAGGAATTAGCTCCCTTAAAACCAGCCACGTCCCTATCTGTTGATATGACCTACTACGTTCATTTCCTCGCTGTCCGAGACTAGTAATGATCCGCACCATTACCAATCCAACTACATCATCAATCAGTGCCGCCGACGCCAAAACGGCTCCCAATCTCGTACGACTCAGCCTGCTTGCTTGTAGCACGGAGAACGTAGTACCCAAGCTCGTAGAGCACAGAGCCGCGCCGGCAGCAAAGGCGGGCAATAGCAACGCGCCACTGTCCACCGTTCCCAAGAAGGAACCAGAGGAGGCAAGTATGGCAAAAGATAGACCAATGGGGACGATGACGCCCGTGGCTGCGACAGCAACTGAGAGAACGAGGTTCTTCCTCAGCGCCACGACGTCGGTCTCGAGGCCCCCCGCATACACAACGAGGATGAGCCCGAGATACCCAAGGCTAGACACTACACGCTGGAAGTCGATAGATAGCCATTGCGCCCCGGGCTGGCCCCAGGCTGTGCCGAGGAGCACTTGGCCGACGAGGCCGCAAGCTAGCGTACGATCTAGCACGGAGTTTATGCTGTTAAGAGCTAATAGGAACGTCGATGAGATGAGCAGCTCGACTAGGGAGGGTTCGTGATATGACAGATATGATGAGTTGGACATTATTGCGCTGGTGCGTTACTCTTCTTTTTATTTCGTTTGCTAGGCCATAGAGCCATGGAGAGTTCTCGATACCGTATACACATCCAACGTAATTTTGACAATATGCCTAAGGAGGTTGAGCGTAGATTCGCGGCTTGGCGATGATGTAAGGGTTTAAATCCTGCTCACCAACTACGTAGCTCTAAATATGTCTCTTCGAGCGGTGTCCTTTTGCAAAGTCATACCCGCTCATCTCTCTCCGCTGTGCTCAGGCACCCCCAGAGCGCTTCCTGTAGACATCTAGGATGTCTTCCTATTGATCTTGTTGGTGTTCCAAGAATGAGAGCTAGGTAGTGTATAACAGGGCAATGGCAGGATTGTTGCTTACGTACTCAATAGGGGTTGTCAAAGTCCGAGCTCTGAATATACCCGATATTTCCGGCATGCAGGACTATCTCCGTAAAGAACGCTAAAAGCAAACCAGGGCTTTTCAGGGCTTTTAAACCTAGATCTGATCTCAGATTTGTTTTCCTCTCTCCATCTTCCTCCCATCTTCCCCACAAACCCCAGGTTCACAGCTTGGTGATCCAAAGTCATCTCAGCCAAGCCTTCTCCGCCTGAGAATCTTGGCTGCAGATGCACAGCATGCTTCCCTCTTCTTTCTTTGTTCCTTGCTCTTCAACTGTGCTTCAGTTGAATTGAGATCATCAAAGACCTGTGTTTGGATCATCGAACTGCCTCCGTTGTCAATGCTGCTCTTCCTGCCTGGAGAATCACCTCAAGACCTTTGACAAATCTCCTCTCTGCTTGAGAGAGATCGAGCTTGATTGACCTCTCCTCGACCGGGTATATAGGTATGGCATGGCACTTGGTAAGGTTATCCTGCTTCATTTCTCCTCAATGTTGATTCACGTGGCTCCTCTAAACCAACGAATGTATGGATTGTCGCTGGCCACGCCTATGACATTCTCTCTCCACTTCTTGTACGGCCCATTAAAGCCCTTCTTCTGACTTCGATGGCGTTGTTTTTAGGGCACTGTTGTCTACCGAATCGAGCCTTACATCCCTATCTGCTTGATAGGTTCGTGGGGGTTGACGAGGCGGGCTGGCCGGCGGCTGTGGTCACCATGTCCCAACACCTTCTCATCTTCTTGATGAGAAGTTGGTGACATTGTCGACGCACAAAGGCCCTGCATGCATCATATAGAACTCAGAACCCGGTTCGAGTTCTTCGGTCTGGTGGATCGTTCAACTCCCATCCTGTGGTTTACGCTACGATGGTCTTTGCCGTGTCGTGGGTTATCAACAGCGTATCAACAAGGTCGCACGCCTCTTCACTGGAAGATGTATTCTTTCGGCTGAAGAAGATGTATCGGTGCTGTTTTTCCTGTTCGACCGGTGGGAGCATAATTGCTGGCGGCGAAACGGTGTGGAACAAACGCTTTAGGGGTGTTGTTTGTGCCCCGAAAGCAGACAACCAGATCACCTCAGCGGGATTGCTGTGGCTGTACGCAAGGGCTCTCAGCCTCTTAGGCGTCCCAGTCCCGGGAACTCGGATAGCGCTGTATCGACTGTGGTAGACATTTACCAGCTGTCTAGCCCAAGCTTGACGGTGGCCAAGGTACATTGTCGAAGGTACTGTCTTCCTTTAAATGTCAATGCGTGTGCAAGGGCTCGCTACCTCTGTTTTCTCTCATACCCTAACATTTTTCTCCCCTCTTCTAGGCTTCAAGACCACGATAATCAAAGGGAACTACTATCCCAACGCTTGTTGCCAGCCACAGATCACTTCCGTACCCTTATCCTTCGAAAGCTTGTCACTAGTAAGTAGCTCTTCACAATTTTCTTCTGACACTACAACCCTGCCTTCAGCCAAACCCATTTCAGAATCTTTTGCTGTTCAAAGACACTTGGGAGCAAGCAAACTCGAAACGCCTTTTGACTAACTCTGAGTAATCCAGTACCTCACCAACATGCTTCCTGCTCAGACACCGCAGGTCGACCACAGCCGAGTTCCCGCTCTGGCTACCGCCGAGGGTCACGTCCGTAAGTTTGGATTCAGTTTAATCTAGCTGTTGGCAATTTTAGCCCTCTGTCTCCCCTTCTTTCTCTCTCTCCCTCTTTCTTTCTCCCTTTCTGCATGAATGTGTTTGTGTATGTCCCGAGATGAATCAGTAGCTACATCGTTAGGTTTCCTATTGAGCCCTACTAATCAATTTTCTACTTCATAGTAACGAATGGGTTGTTCCAATGCACGGCCACACGTGCTCCCCATGGTGTCTCCAACGCCAGCAAAACATGTGGAAGTACCATGGAGAATAACAAAAAGAACATCCGCTCTCACCTTAATAAGCTTCACACCCACGACTCATCATACGCCAAATCTCAGGCAGGCTTCGCAAAAGCCAACCACCTTGAACAGTTTGTCTGCGATCGCCCCCGACTTGATGGCTCGGGCTGGTGTACCCGCACGCGGTGGGGTCAACATTCACTTGTCGCACACGCTCGGGAAGAGCACAAGTTCAGAGGCAAGTCGGAGTCGCTCTCCACGCCTTGGGCAGCTCTCAGCGATAAGCAGCGTACCTACTATCTCGAGAGAGTCGAACTTGAGAAGCGTCGCCTGCAGAATGATGGTGTCTACACCCTGGCAGATGAAGAGCTCAGTAAGCAGTTTAAAGAGGAGAAGTTCCCTGAGGCTTGATCGGTCATTAGGAAACACATAGTGGAGAGAGGCCACACAACAAAGATTATAATTCGGGTATGGCCAATTCACTTTAGGTGTAATTGAGAAAGAGGAAAACAGGAAGATTACGAAGTACGATGAAGGTTAACGCGTACGATAAAACGAGCGTAGTACTATATAATAGCTCGCTCACTCATAGTAAATACACAACACTCAAAAGCAGCTTCTAATCCGCCTTCTCTATCCTGTTCACGACTGTAATGATGAAGTGGACGTTTCAGCAATCGAAACACATAGGCAGTGCTGATGCCATCTTTTCTACTAGGCTAAGCATTCGGGAAGATGAGATGGGGCGCGGATAAGCTCAAGCGTATGACTTAAGAAGAAATGTCGGCAAGTATCAGCCCGCAACTAGCAAGTTAGAGGATTGCTAGGTTCATTGGAGTAATGCCATGTCAGCAACCACTACTTCGGCCAGTCTACATGAACTAAGGTTATATGTGCCGTGTTAACTTGGGGGTGAGCGGGGTAGCGGAAATTAATCAACCTGAGATAAGCACAATACCACAACGACATAGCCAACAAGCATACAAGTCTACCCTCATGTCAGCCATTGCTGACCAGTGGAGGGGCAGATCCCAGGCCGGGTTTACTTGCCCAAACAAGAGCCGTCTGCAATGGTCTCAGGTCATGTCTTGGTGTATTCTAGCAGTTGGTATGTCTTCATATTACGACTACAGGCAGTGCCGATGATTGGTCTTCAGGTCTTCCCCTCTCTTCCCAGCCAAGGCACCTACGCCTCCTCCAGAGTCTTCAGTGATAGCTTGGTACTTCCCATTTTCATGAATACTACTACGTAGTTATATGTCGATCAAGATTCCATTATACATTGGCTATGGTATTGATGTACCCCCATTAACGAGCTGTTCTTTAATGATTATATGGTCTTTATTACCTTGGTTCATAATGGTTATATAGTTATACTGTTAGCAGTGTAGGTATACCAATAATACTTATGCTGAATTCATAACTTTTTGTATCGAGCTAACATTAAAGACTCCAGAATAGGTGCAGCTAGTATCGTCAGCATGTGAGCTATACCGAGTCACACACTCTTAGCACTGAACACCAACAATAAGAGCAGATAGATATATTACCTGAATATTTCCGAATTGTAGTTACTAAGTACGGCCGTGAACTGTAAAACACACAATCTCGGCGTTGATTTACCTACCATTTCAACTAGACTCTATCACATCCCTCCCTATACATCCGCCTCTCCCTACTCTTGACCTCTAAGTAGCAATTCTCGGTGGGAATCTTGCTGCAAGGATGGCTACCGAAGACGTAGAGAAGGCAATTGTTACTATGGACACACCAGCGGTGGACAGCGACTCGCAAGACGATCAGATCCACGAGTTCAAAGAATCGGTGGGATATGAAGTCGACGTCGATAACGCAAAGGGAGACGGCACCGTCAAACTCGCCAGAGACGGCCGGACGCGATTGATCCCTCAACCAAGTGATGACTCCGTCGATCCGTTGAACTGGGCTCAGAAAAAGAAGAATTTGGTCCTGTTTATTGTTGCTTTCGCCGCGCTTTTGCCTGATTATGGCTCCGCTACGGGCGCTGTTACTCTGATTCCGCAAGCTGAGTACGTCTTATTAATTATAGACTGTCTGTCCCCATACTCGTTTCGCGTCTGACAAGAGGGCAGACAGTGGAACATGACCGAGGATGAGGTGAACCATTCTCAGGCCGGAAATGTCTTTATGCTGGGAGCCGGCGGCATCTTTGGTTAGTTACTCACATCGTTACTACTTATGGGTCGAGTCGATCGATATCAAGGGAGTTTATATCCTGACGATTCCTGTGATCTATCAGTCGTGGTCTTCAGCGCTTACTTCGGCCGCTTGCCCGTGATGTTCTATTTTCTTGTGATCGCGCTCGCTACGGCTGCTTGGTGCGCTGGCGCCACGAACTTCGAGTCCTTTGAGACCGCGCGGATCTTGAATGGATTCTTCTCGACTGTGTCGCAAGTGAACGGCTTGATATTCATCCAGGATATGTTCTTCTTCCACGAACGTGCGCGGAAGATCAACCTTTGGGCGTAAGGGACTTACTGCTCATCTCGTCGCTCTATAGCTCTTAGTTGTACTCACAGACTTGTTCTTAGATCATTTTTCGTTCTGAGTCCTTATCTTGGCCCGTTGCTTGCTGCTTGTGAGTACAACCAAATCCCATATGCCATTTCTCTTCCAGATGAAAAAGGAAAAAACATAGAGAGATTCCTCCAACCGGACACTTTCATATTGCTAATTAGCGCCGAATATAGTCCAGATCGCAACGAAGCCGTGGCCGACGCCTTTCTGGGTTTATACCGCCGAGACAGCCCTTGCCGTTGTGCTGACGGTATTCTTTGTCGAGGAAACCTACTATGATCGAAGGATAATCTCGTCCGAACAGCCTGATCGTGGTACACGTCTCACAAGTCTCCTAGGAATCGCACAATGGAGGTCTCGCGACCGACGGAACACGTTGCTCCAGGCTTGCATGCGGCCCGTCCGTGTCATCTCCAAGCCTACTGTACTGATATCTTGTATCTACTATTTCCTGGTAAGATAACATCACATACATGCCATGTCGGCACACTCGTTCGAACCTTCGTCCAAAGTTGCTTAAGGTGAATTGTTCTAATCTAGTTTGCTCCCTAGACATTTGCATGGGTCGTGGGCATCAATACGACACTGTCCATTTTTCTCCAACCCCTCTACGGCTTCGGCCCGAAACAGATCGGCTTCTTCTACTTCACGCCCATCGTAGCCGTCATCATCGGCGAGGCCGTCGGCCATTGGCTGCATGATATTTTTGCGAAACATTACAGTACGAGAATAAAGGCTTTCTATTTACCCTGTTTCCACCCCTCCCCGAATGTGCCATCAAAAGCAGTCGGTCACTGACTTTTATAAATCTCATAGTCCGAGCCCACAACGGTCGTTTCGAGCCCGAAGTCCGTCTCCGCGCGATCACGATTGCTCTTCCTTTTTCAATCGTGGGCCTCGTGCTACTCGGGCAAAGCCTCGAAAACGGGTGGCATTTCATGGTCACCTCCGTGTCGTGGGGTCTCTACGTCTTCAGCACCATGATCATCACCGTCGCCGTGTCGTCGTATAACCTGGACTGCTATCCGGAGGCCAGTGGAGAGGTGTCTGCGTGGGTCAACTTCTCGCGCACCATCGGCGGGTTCGTGGTCAGTTATTTTCAAGTCACTTGGGCCAACGCGCAGGGGACGAAGGCGAGTTTCGGGATCCAAGCCTCTGTGTGCGCGGTTGCGTTCCTGCTTGTGCTATTATTGATGTGGAAGGGTAAGGCGATGAGGCTTTGGTCTGGGCCATTGCATTTTGCTACAGCTTGATTGGCTTCCCTTCCTACTCGCTGAATAGTGGTTGGACCAAGCATGTGAGTTGACGGTATGGGGAGACACAACGGCCGGAAGATGTGACGGGAGCAAGCACTGGTTGCCACAATTGACCATTGTCGTACAATCATGGTCCAGCAAACAGCGCGTAAAGCCAATGATCAGTTTACCATGTACGCTATAGAGCTAACTGGGCAGAGGTTTCGTGATGGGTATTGATACGGTACCTAATAGTTACGCATAGCACCTGCTGGCAATGAATAACAATTGATAGATCAGTTGTGGTTAGACTCTATAAATTAATGGTGATACAACCCATTCATGTGGATAATTACTATGGTATGACACAATAGCAAACAATGCGTGATATGGGCCAATAGTTGTAAAATCATTCCATTTGTCTTTTTGTCGTTGGCCATGATGCACCCGAGTAAGCGCCATTTGCCTCTCTTCTTACCAGACCACTGGTACCATGGCATATTTCTTATATAAAATATGCTCTTATCTGTCAACTTTGACCTGCATTATCATCTATGCTCTAGATATCTCGATGTGTACACTTCCCATATCTGACGGGGAGCAAGACGTAACACCTACTACACTACACCTGACCAAAGCAACAACTCATACATAGTCCCTCTCTACGACAAGGCTTCCCCTTTGCCTCTCTAATCACGCTTAACTCATCATCAGGTTAAAGTTTTAAGTCATACAATCACAATGGCTACCCGCAGACGAGAATCCGCAAGCTGCGCTCCGTCGCCCGCAGAACATCACGGTCAGGAGGCCAAACCTATCTACCACCCAATTTTCGGCCATCAGATAACATGGGAAGAATATACGCGCCTCGTGTCAGGATGGCATGAAGCCGGTATCATATATTGTGGCGAAGGTACGACAGGTCCGGGCCAGACCACAGAACATTTCCTGCATACACCGGTACATACCCTCTGCTACCAATGTTGTAAAAGGTATGTTTGGATCTCACTGATCCCATCTATGCTTTAATAATCTCAACAAGCCGCATATTATGAAAGCAACAAGCGAGACATGGAATACCCCTTACATACATGCTATAGTCAATGACTCAATGGTTGTAACATGATTTACCCACGACCTACTCTGTTCATCCATACTAACCATATGTTCCAGGGCACCATATTGGACTCTCTGGGCAACACGCAATGAACCATGCGGCGAGACCTCCTGTCGTCGCACACAACAAGCCAACGTGCCATTCATCGCAGTACGTCTACTTCTTCCAACACCCTCATCCATACCTACCGTTCGCTATCCTCACACACACACCATGATAGAAATATTAACAGAAAGAACCCTATTCAGATGCCCCCTGTCGCGGCCAACGCCTGCCACTCGTTCCGGGCCCAACTGCGCTCGTGTTTCGACAAAATGGAATCCGGCGCCGTCGAGGACGTCGTGAACCAAGCCAAAGCCCTCGTCGAGCAGGCGCGCGGTGAGATCCAGTACATCACACCTGCTTCCGTACACGGGAACTAAGCAAGTAAGACGGGGGCAACATGGCGTTGCCCTGGCTGATCTTAATTACTACTGAACATGGACTTGTGTATTTACTTACATACGTCCATGCACTATACTTACACATAAGAAGGGGTCCATTTACTTAGTTTGATGAAAAAGGTGCGCATGAAGGGTTTTCTTGCCGAATGCGTATATGTTGCACGGAGTTGCGGAACGGCTAGGGCTCGTTAGGGGAGTGACCAAGTGGGCTGGCGTGTTGTTTTTGAGATTCGACTTGTATTAGTAAGAAAATTGTTGGTTTTTTTTTTTTTTTTTCCTTCGATATTAAGCGTGGTCGGACTCTAGTCGGAGATTAACACATGTATGTACACAAATCTCGCGGTTGTTGGCCTAGGTTAAACAAGTTCATATTGAGATACCGAGCGTATGCAGTCCTTGAGCGAGCGACAAGTGTATGTAAGTCATCTACTAGGCTATGTTATGTAATAATAGCGCTCACTATCCTACTGATGAGAAAAATTCACTGTTGAGACTCTCAGCCGTGAATCTGTCGGATGTTCATGCCGAAGTGAAATAGAACATCTCATGAGGGTTGAACTCGTTTCTTTATAGGATAGTGATTGAGCTTCATAGTTCCAGGTTCTGGTTGCTATAGACCTCGTCACTGATGTGCCCTTTTCATTTGCTGAAGTCTAGACATTGCTCCTATGAACTGTATGTCATGTATCTTCGTTCCGCAAACCCTTTTCCGCAGCTGTAGAAGTCGTGTAAGTTTTGTTCTTTATACTTTTGATTCTATGAATTGATACAACATGGACTCGCCGTGTATAGATGGTATGTGGTATGTAAGTATGGGTATTGCTGGCAGCGTCTTCAATTATCGCCGCATGCTCAATGTGCACCGATTGGTCTTACTCTGAGGACTTTGGGTTCTGAAGCGAATCAGTTACCATCCGAAGCTGTCTGCGATACACCAGGTACGTAGTATTCGTATAAGTCAGCTACCAAATAAGCGTGTGGCGATTTTGACGTCTAGTTCTGATGGCAGGTACGGTGGGAGTGGCTATATTACCCCTTACAGTGGATTCCTTCAGTAACTAGAACTTCTACTCTACAACATCAATAATATCCCTTTGGCAATCCATTCACTTATCAATTGGTGAAAGCCGCAGGATTCGAACCTACGCGGTTTCCCACTACGGCTAAATAGCATTACGGCAGCGGTTAAGTCAGAATGTCGTTTCTCCCGCTTAAATTGGAAGAATCCCTCCCTACGGGCGTACGGTTCGTAGTATATAGCTCGCCATTTCCCCCTCGACCGAAAAGAATCCCGTTAATACCTAATAATGAAGAAATCTTTATCGTAAGAAGAATCTCCGACCATATAGCTTAAGCAAACGGTTCGCTTTTCCTTTTCCCTTTTATTGCGAAAAAAAGACCTAAATCCCCTTTATTTTTAAATTCACTATAGTTAACTATAGTTTACGAATAAAATTATCGAATTAAAATTATTATACGATGTTTAACAATCTATATATATACTAGTACCTTTATTATATTATTTTTTATTTCCTATAATAAAACCTTTATATATATTTTTTTAAGGCCAGATAGGGGTTAAGTAAGGAATCTATTAATAGAAAGATTAAAGTGATGGAATATTTATATAAATAGCTAAAGATAAAGGAATTTTATAATAATTAATAATTTAATTTCACCTTTACGGTACTTATAATAAAGGAGTTTAATTAAATAATAGCAGGTATAATAGGAATAGCTATATTACCCCTTATAATAAATTCCTTTAATAATTAAAACTTCTACTTTATAATATCAATATAACCTTTAGCAATCCCTTCGTTTATTAATTGGTAAGAGCTGTAAGACGAATCGCTTTATTACTACCATGCGTTTTAGTTTCTCACTATAGCTAAACAGCAGTTAAGTTAGAATGTTGTTTTTTTCTATTTAAATTAGAAGAATCCCTATAGGTATAGTTTATAGCATATAGTTCGCTGTTTCCCCCCCAACTAAAAGAATTTACAATTCCCTCCATTAATACTTAATAAAGAAGAAAATCCTTATTATAAAAAGAATCTCTAACTATATAGCTTAAGTAAATAGCTTACTTTTCCTTTTCCCTTCTATTATAAAAAAAAGATTTAAATTCCCTTTATTTTTAAATTTACTATAATTAACTATAGTTTATAAATAAAATTATTAAATTAAAATTACTATATAATGTTTAATAATTTATATATATATTAATGCCCTTATTATATTATTTTTTATTTCCTATAATAAAACCTTTATATATATTTTTTAAGGCTAAATAGGGGTTAAGTAAAGAATCTATTAATGGAAAGATTAAAGTGATAAAATATTTATATAAATAGCTAAAGATAAAGGAATCTTATAATGATTAATGATTTAGTTTCGCTTTTGTAATGCTTATAGTAAAGGAGTCTAGCTAAATAATAGCAGGTATAATAGGAGTAGTTATATTACCCCTTATAGTAGATTCCTTTAATAATTAGAACTTTTATTCTATAATATTAATAATATCCTTTTAGTAATCCATTTATTTATTAATTGGTGAGAGCTGTAGGATTTGAACCTGTGCGGTTTCCCACTACGGCTAAACAGCGGTTGAGTCAGAATGTCGTTTTCTCCTGTTTGAATTGGAAGAATCCCCTATCCCCTTCGTACGGGCGTGGTTTATAGCATATAGTTCGCCGTTTTCCCCTCGACCAAAAGAATCCCGTTAATACCTAATAATGAAGAAATCTTCGTCGTGAGAAGAATCTCCGACCGTATAGCTTGAGCAAACGGTTTGCTATCCTTCCTTTTCCCCTCCATTACGGAGAAAAGATAGATCCCCTTTATTTTTGAATTCACTATGGTTGATTACGGTCTACGAACGAAATTATGACGAAATTCCCGTGCGATATCCAACAATTTACGTATATACCGGTGCCCTTATTGTATTGTTTTATCTCCTGTGATGAGACCTTTGTGTGTGTATTTTTCGGGGCCGGATAGGGGTTGGGTGAGGAATCCGTTGGTGGAAAGATTGAAGTGATGGAATATTCGTACGAATAGTTGAAGATGAGGAAATCTCGTGATAATTGAGTGACGGTCTGGTTTCGCCTTCGCGGTGCTTATGGCGAGGGAGGTTTGGCCGAATGATGGCAGGTACGGTGGGAGTGGCTATATTACCCCTTACAGTGGATTCCTTCAGTAACTAGAACTTCTACTCTATAATATCAATAATATCCCTTTGGCAATCCATTCACTTATCAAGTTCTCGTTAGATGGGAACACAAGGCTCCATGGCCATGTGTAAGCGGATCTCGGGAGTCGACGGTGGCGTCGCTTTTAGACTTAGACCGCCATGCACGAGCGATTTGATTGGGTTCGATGTCATTGAAAACATCAAGCTGACATGGCTGGAACAATGCCGACTGCCTACTCGTACACCAGTGAAGTCCAGGTATGTGAGGCTGACGCTATTCCCGTCGGCGATAACCTTAGATTCACTCTTGTTTCATAAGAGTAGTTTCGAGATGTATATATGTACATTAGATGCAGCATGTCCCTACAGGACAGTACCAGAGTGACGGTTCACCGACTGAGATCGAGAAGATGGATACTGTGAGGAGACTGAGCCTCTAGCGGCGCAGACTGTGCTGCGTATGAGATTGCGCGGATTGCGTACATTGCCATCTGGAGACTCTGGAGACTGAGGGTCGTCAAATTCTGTAAACCATGTTAGTCGATTCGTCCAAATCTCTCCCTAAGAGAAACTGCTTCTTTCCTGAAAGGGCAATGTGCTGGCGCATCCATTTGTTGATGACTACTATGTAGGTACGCTAGATTGGAGACTGGCTAGTCAATCTCTCTCCACTATAGACAGTCGTAACCTACATATGACTACCTAATGTAAGTACTATTAGTACGTCCCTATGTAGTAGGAGGCATCAGTCGTTGCGCGTATTACACAGCACGCGAACAGAATTTGTTTACATAGGTGATCTGCCTACGAGGAGTCCGAAAGCGTGATTGCGCATGGAGGTAGGTATACTGATGGGTTATGCAAAAGAAACACCGAGTCAAGCACTATGATACTCATCGCCGGACCTAATGCGACGTCAAAAGACTTCGTCAAAAGACCGATAAACTCTGTTTTGTTGACCGTGGTGAGTTGCGTAAGGATCGGCACCGGGAGTGGCTCCTCTGCGTCAGATGTTCGGTCCAACCTTGACCACGCCCTGGCTCTGCCAGACTCTGCCATGACCACTGACCCCAGATTCACCGAGGTCAATACTGTACACGTGTAGTCTAGTCTGCTTTGCTTTACCTAGATACTCAATCAGAGCTCGATCCAGACAATGGTGAAAGTGAGCTCCCTGACTAGCGGGGATGATGATGACGATAATGATGTCGATAAGATGAGGGGTTGGATCGATAGACTGATTGACTGACTGACTTCAGTGATGCAAATCATTGATGACATGCGTACAAGTATCATCCATTGGACATTATTATCGATGCCAGCGGAGAACTGTAGATAGAATCTCCCTCACTTCCTAGTGTAACTACAGTCACACAACACACACACACCAGACACCACAGCAAAATGCAAAATGCGGGCGATGTGCATTTGGGGAAGTTTCTCGCGTGAGACGGGATTGGATCACTGTCTGACATGGTCGTGCGAGCAACGCATTTACCCAGCCAGACCCAGGCCAAGTACCCAACCTGCAGTTACCCAAAACAGCAGTCAGGCTTGACCATTCTTGGTTAGATCCTGGTTAGGCCTGGTTGGGAGAGAGGACGTGCACGGTGGAACGCAGCCGGCCCCGCCATACTACGTACGTACTTAGCGGTTCGCGGCAATCTTTCCCAGCCTTTCCGACCACAGACATCATCATGCCTATCTTCGTCTTCTTCGAACGGCAGAAGGATACAACAGACATTCACTGTCATTACCTACCTAAATCAATACGATGCTCAATGATAACAGCACCTGACAAGGCCTCGAGGCAATTCACCTAAGGAGTACATGTAGGCGATATGTCTCGTGTCATGGCAAGTACTGAGTGAGGACAGATGAGGAGTACAACAGGATGGCACGTTTAGTCTCAACGCTAGATGGCCCCATTCTTCGCTACCGCCATCTAGACGTGCATGGATGAAACTAACGGTGTAAGTAGTGCGCCGAGGACCAACAACTTTACGTACGTAGTGGCATAATACCTAACACTACATATGAGTACATAGTACATACATATCTGCACAGAAGCTAAACTTTAAGTATGCTCATAGAACAGTCCTTAGCTCGCATGTTCAATTCAAGAGCTGTCTTAGAAAGACGGAGGCGATGGCGAAGACTAAAAAGGAAATGAAACGTGGAAAAAAAGAAAAGGCAAAAAAAAAAAAAAAAACTGTGGTGTGGGACCGGACCCCTGTCTTGCCCCCGCAATCGGCTCCCCACCAGAGCGTTTTTTTTTTTTTTTTCTCTTCTTTTTCACTCACACTTTCTCTTTTTCTTCTCATTGTCGAGGCATTTTCTCAATCCTACAAAATTTGTACTACATAACGAAAATCTCTGCATGAGAAAAAAACAATATCATATCGCTATCGGCCCGCTTGTGGCATCCAATTCCTTTGCCCATATACTTACCTGTCTGTCTCCTGTGGACGTAAATGTTCTTTTGTGCTTTATCAGCCTTGAAAAAAGAACTTATCGATATATGATAAGACGTGCACCATGTATCGAAAGTACCTTTAGGATTAGGCAGGCTGTAAGTACTTGGTGCTGCAGGTCGCCTACAAACCTGACGACTGGTGCGACTTCAGCCCCCATTCCTAGTCGGTTAGCAGGCACCTGAGACTGGGTCCTCTGCAGGCCCTCTGCAGGCCCTCTGCAGACCCTCTGCAGACCCTCTGGTATATTTCCTGTTCGGGATGACGAAGCCCCGGTTGGGCCAATGGCAGTGGTCCGAGGCTTGTGCATGTGCTTTACCTGTTTCTCTTGCGCTGACGGAGCCGACGACGGGGACGACGCGGACGACGGGGGAGGGGGGGGGGAAGGGGAATAAGCATGAGGCCTTGTTCGTTCGCGCAGTGCTTACCGCCTTTTTATCCATTTCCACCATCCCCGACCGCCTTCAGAATAGATAGATATCTCCCTCTGCGCCGACTACACTACATGGTATGGTGGTGGTGTAGTGAACCTATTATGCATCAGGTGCAGTTAGGTAAAAGAGGAATTATCGGAGGGGGGAGTAGTAAGTATGACATGTTTGAGAGACCGGGCAGAACCATACTACAGTAGGTATGTGTGTTGCGCGAGTCGAGACGATGATGATGATGATGAGAATGACAGCATCTGCTCTATACGCATCTGTACGCAGTACTGGCCGGGAGGATCTGCTCCCTGTCTCCTTACACTACTTACATCACTATGTAAGTACCCCTTACTGGTTGTCGACTGGTGTAATCCAGCTGTGTGCTAACATGAATGTGGCGGGTGGCATTTCCTGGCGATTGGTTCACTACACTTGTTCTCGACTACTTACCTGCCTACCAGACACCTATCTACATACAGCACTTTTGATTGGTATGAGGTGAGGTCAACGGTCTGGTCCAGGCTGTCGACTTCGGCCGGTCTTCAGTGAAATCGGGACCGCTTTGGGGATGGCAAAGCTAACTGACTGAATAACTGACTGACTGGCGTTGCGCACACTACTCTAGATAGTAAGTAGCGTATCGTGGTGAATGGTAGTGTAGGCAAATTTAGCATCCTCGATGCCCAAAAACAACCTAAGCAAGTCTAAACAATCCAGACGCTCCAAATGCACGGACGAGCGAGACCCTGAAAAAAGAAGGAACGAAGCTATCAAAGAAGCTATCGGAGCCATGACATGCGAAAACTTGCAGACGTACAGGCTCTGTACAGGCCACGTCCAGGCTAGGAGGGGACAGAGAGGGACAGAGAGGGATTGAGAGGGATTGAGAGGGACTGAGATGGCCAGAGATGGGGCGCAGATGGGGCGGCTAGAGAGGCTACTGTACCTACATGATTTTGCCTCTCTTCTTATTGGCCACTGGCTTCCAGATGGGCGACCAACCCGTCCGGGGACATCCCTGTGCGCGCGAACAGGGATAGCCGAGGTACCTTGCCTTGAGGTTTCTTTTTTTTCTCTCTCTCTCTCTTTTTTTTTATATATTTTTTTTATTTTTTTTAACCCTTTCTTCCCACGTCTACCCAGGTGGGCTGGCCATCATATATGGTAGGTATTGTAGGTAGGCACATGTTAGAATACCCTCAACACCTATATACTTATATACCTACATGTATATAGCTAAGATTATATATATATATATATATATACATATACAGACTCACCTCTATATCCAAAATTATTCAAACGATAAGCAAGATAGATCTATTATATTCTCCCCTCTACCTCACCTAGATACTTACTTGGGAGATCGCATCGTTTGCTACTGTCAAATGATGCCGCCCCCCGCTGTGATTTAAATGCGCTGGGAGCACAAGCTCCCGGGTACCTCGAGCCTTGTAGACGGCACTATACCGAACCTATACCAGGCTCCACTGTAGCTGTGCACTAGTCCAGGGTGTCCCAGGATGTCCCGGCGTAGGGCCAGGGTACTTAGGCCAGGGTAGGCCAGGGTACTTGGAGGGCATGTACCGTGAAGCTCTCTTTCTGTTTGGGGTTGTCTGTTTGGGTGTTTGGGGGCCCTTCCCGTCCATTGCTCGTAGTGTATGTAAGTACCTACAGACGAAGTAGCCCATCGTTGCTACCGCCTACCTACCCTACCCGTACTTACTTACATACATGTACTTGCACTTTTCCGCCACCCACCCATCCCGTCGCCGTTCATCCCAAACACACGGCTCTCTCTCCCTCTCTCCCTCTCTGCCTGCTCCTCTCCCAAAGCTTGTTGCTACTCGTGTGCTTCATACCGTCCGTCAAGCACTGGACTAATAGCAGACATAAGCATCCAGCAGCGCGTCCCGATTCGTTCGCCCGCTCTGCCATCATCCGTGTTGCTGTCACCGTCCTTGCACCTTCTTACAACCTCTCTCCGCCGTCCCCTGGACGCACCTCGCCCTCGCCAGCCATTTGTCCCCAGTCTTCTCCAATTAATAGTCGATTCATAGTCGATTCGAACCCAATACTTAATACCTACTATACCATCTCAGCTGCCGTCATTCCATACATATTACTTGTCGCCTATCGCCTGCCCTCCCTCCTCTCATCGCCTTTTGCATCATAGCGATCTGCGTCTTCTGCTCGTCTTGCACTACGAATAGTTGTACCATAAGTCAGGATTCACCACTCCCACCCCCCGGCCGTGATTCATGCGACTTTCGAGTATCAGATCGTCAAGGATATACATAGCCTAGTCCCGCCCTCTTATGTCTCTCCCTTCTGTCGCAGCGCCCGTCACCATGCCTTATAACACCCGTCGTAAATCGTTGTCCCTTCCGTCCCTTGGAATACACGTCCCTGTCCACCGTTCGTCAACAAACAACCACAACACGCAAGCAAACATGAACTCAAGAGCGCGACCTTCAACCGACGGGTCACCCCGTCCCAGCAAGAAGGTAAAGCGATCGCACGACGAATCTTCCGCCCCGCTCTCTAAGAAGTCTGCTTCGATATCAATGCCATCACCGTCGCTTGTCCACGCTTCCATAGAGATGGATGATGTAGATGCGCTTCAAGTCAAACCTGTCAACCTAGACGGGATAAACGATGAGATCGTAGAGGCTGTCATTATCCGGTTACAAGAAACGCGAAACCGCCCCCAGCTTGTCAAGGATCTGGCTACCGTGCTGATGGATAAACTTCCAATCGTTCAACAGTAAGTTTCACCTCGCATCCATACTAGTTTATGTTTGCCTTGTCTAACTGGCTTCGCACAGGTCTGCGAACCCATGCGCTATTATCTCATCACGGCTCGCTTCATTTACAAAACGAGCTGGCTGGACTGCATCCGCCCCGTGCCCATTGGCGAAGGAGCTCGAGTCTGTTCACCCCAGACGTACATACTTCTTCCTCACCACATGTCCCCATCTCCCCTTACCAGACCCTTATTCTGCACAGCACAGCCCCATCGACACTCCATCATTATCTAGCTCGGGCTCTACTACCGAGGATGCAGAAAATGACCGACGTAGGGAGCTTAGCCTCTCGCCTGAGGTTGATCTGTCGTCCCCTGAGTTTGATGAGCTGGACGATGACTACCCTGTACATGGAACGTCGCTGGGCTCCGCCTCTCGGCGTCACCGCCAGATGCACACATCGTCGCGTTTTCCTAGAGCGGATGAGCCCCCTCTAGAGAAAGACGAAAAGGAGTTCACTCAGACCGCCGATGGTTTGCAGAAACGTAAGGCCCGTGGGGAGTTACTCTCTGCCACCCCTGCCGACCAGCTTGGCATAGACGATGGTATGCAGAACGAGCAGCTCTTTGGCGAACCCCACCGAACCTTCATCCCCACCTATCTTCCACACATGGCTTTCATGACGAGTCCGGCCATGCGCCCAACCTTGGCCATACCAGCGCCTATGAAGCGAGATGGTGAGGCCGAGGGCTGGTCTAAACTAGACGCTATGTTGGACTGGGACAAAAGTCCCGAGACAATCGAGTTAGAAGAGCTCGATTGTTTATTAGACGACTTTTAATCTTGCCATGAATTTCGATTCATGTTTTTCTCATCTCACTCTCTAAACATCCGTCTCGCGCAGAGATGGACGTAATTGCATATCAGGAGTTTTGTATGATGGGTCATGTGCTTTATTTTTTGTTTCCGGATGGCGTTGAGATTTCATGAGGCTACTGGCGCAGGATGGGAGCGTTGAATCTGTTTTATCGGCATCCAGCCTTTTTGCTATTTCACTGGTCTACGGGGGTAGGATGAGGATTATGCACGTGTATGACTATGAAGCATTTGAAGACACTCGAAGAGTTTAGTGTCGTATGATGATAGGCTGGTGCTGTTCCATGGTGTAGAATGAGTTGTTGCTGAGCCATCACGTTTGCATATGTATGAAAAGTGACAAAAGTCATGAGGAGTACTGGGCAACATGCACAGATGCGCAACGTTAGACCTTGAGATCTGCTTTTCCTTGGCTGGGCGATGAATAAGAAAAGGGAAAGAAAAGAACAGGCGCAATTAGGCAAAGAAAATAAAGGCAAAAAGTTCCGGGCGCACGAATCTAGACAGAGAATTTTACCTAAGAAATCTCCAATCAAAAGGCTGCTTTCCACATGTCTTGGTCGAGATCCATCTTGTTAAATTCGTTGATAAGCGTAGTACAGTCAGTTATTAGTGAGACGTAGCATCCAGGTGGTAGTAAGCAATGCTCATGATATGTGACAACCAGCTATGAGTTAGAAGTACAATGGATGTGATATATACACAAGTGTTTATTTTACCCTAGAGGTAACTTCAATCCAATTAGACCGACCTATTGATGATGAGTAAGCGAGCATGTAGGGAGATTTTCATTTAATCAATCAATCAATCAATCAATCAATCGATCAATTGCTCTTCTTGGATTCATCCGTGGCCTGCTTGGTCGATAGGACAGACGGGAACCAGCCAGTTGCTTTCTCCTTCTTCCCCGCATCTATTTCTCCTTGTTGTTGTTTCGTGACGCGTAACTCGACGACGACGTGTGTGCCGGCCGTGGTCCAGCCGGGGCGTTCGAGGCGCACGATCTCGAGACCCGGGATCCGACGCGAGGCCTCGGTCACGATGACCTCGATGTCCCGGTTCCACCAGCACCCGAAGCGCTCGTGGTGCTGGCGCGCGCCGCGGTCGAGAAGGCCGTTCACGAAGGACCATATGCTCCGCCCGTGCTCGAGGAGCAGGATGCGGCCTGTGTCGGGCTGGAGCGAGGCCGCCATGGTCGAGAGGAGGGATACGGGGTCCTGCACGCTGCAGAGGCCGAAGGTCTGGATGATTGTGTCGTATTTCTGGGGCAGTGAGGACGTAGATGGGGCTGAGTTGGAGGGGGATGGGGGCGCGGGTGGTGAGGGCAGACCTGATGATACGTCGGATTGAAGAAGTCTGATCCGATCCGATAGCAAGGAAACGACGTGGCCGTGGGATTTCCCGTCCTTGTCGTCGCTATACTTGGAGGCCAACATGGCGAAGGACGGCTTCTTGGGGATCTCGCTGCTCATATGCGGGACGACCTGGCGCACGCGCAGCAGCGCAATGTCGAGCATACCAGGAGAGATGTCCACGCCCGTGAAACTAAGAACGGCGTCATCGTCGGAAGAAGATTTCCCTTGCTTCTTCGTCTTCTTGCGCTGCTCCTCAGGACTAAGTAGGGACGCAGTCACCGCGTCCCAGCCGTAGAACTCGAAGTTCCGCCCCGTCCCTATCGCGACTTCGAGGACGTGGCCGCGCACCGAGGCCCCGAGCTCGCGCCGCAGCCGCGTGATGCCGTACCGCCACTCCGACTTGTCGAGGTGCATGTCGAATTCGTACGGCGACTGGATAGACGGCCGGCCCGTGGGCACAGTGGGCTCGCAGCCCAGGGGATAGCACGGCGCGGGCTCCGTCCGCCAGTACATCGTCAGACTCGTCGTGAAGTAGCCCAGACATGCCAGCGCGGTGCCAAAGCCGAGCATGGCGAACCAGCGCTCGCGCATGAGGTCCGAGAGAGGCGCTTTCTCATTTCGCCTGTACTGCTTCTGCTGGGTATCTGCCGCCTTTGGTTGTGTAGGCTGGTAAGGGAGCGGCTTTGTGACGGGTTTTCTGCTGCGATTCGGGCCCTGTGATGAGGCATGCCGCCTTATCAGATGGCTGCCTTCATGAACTCGCCTCAAGAGGCTGTAGGAATTCCTCATCGGCCTATATGTATGTGTCACAGTCCGTACGACTGTACACGATGTGCTGCCATATAGGGGCTGCATCGTGGGCCCGTCAGCCCAGCTGCCACTGACTGAATCCTTGCCTCACTTCGCCTTCTCTGTAACCCTGCCTCAACCGTTAAATGCAGCGACTTTTGACCTAGAGTCACAGAATGGTGAGATCTTTATATCACCAAGCCTGCTGGGTTCATTCCCCTCAGGTTTCATCGATCCATGATAAGGCTTCCTGATCTGCCAATCAGTAGGATATAGGTACCCCAGCTTTTGGCACCTTTCTCACAGGCTGAATGAACGTCAATGAAACAGAAGTAGATGACGGAGTTGGATATAGGAATATGGAAACCCCGTGATGCAACTGGAGTGACAATCTCCCTCTCTCAGACCGTTGTCATTGCTGATGATGATGGGGCTTTTTGGAGAGGTTCCTGGTTGTCCCGCAAATTTTGGAGCAGATCTGGCACAGTACGGTGGATTTCATTCTCGGGGCTATATACAGTTTCATTAAGTTTCAACTGTACAATACACACTGTCTTCGCTACAGGAGCTATATGGACATGCAATTAAAAGGTAGTTTATCTGAGCATCATATGAATATAAACGTTATTCATATCTTCATTTCGATATGTAAGTAAGCCAAAGTGCGTGCACATGGCATGACGTTATCTCACTCTCACGCGGCTTGTATATCCAGAGCCGCGTTTCATAAATTTCCATAGGCTTTTAACTCCTACGTTACCGATGACACCGAAGCGATGTCGGCTCAGCAGGATCTTCAAGATCTCATTCGGCTGATGACCGTGGGTATGAAAGTGCCGATGAAGGACGCCCTATCACGCGTGAAGAGTCTCCAGGTCAAGAATCTTCGTAGTGTCCAGCAAATCGCGGAATGTCCACTATCAGATGTCCAAGCAGCTATATCCGATGCCAAAGCCGCGAGATCTCTTCATAACGCATGTAAAGCTCGCATGAAGAACCCCGCCGGGCCTTTGGCGAGCAAGAGGACTGGCTCTCATCTCACTGCCGATGCGAAGCGGCTGAAGGCTGCTGGTGATACAGGATATCTGGATGGACCAGATCCCGTGCAGCCGCGCGAATACGAGGCAGCGCTGGAATTCTCCGTCGAGACAGATGAGCAGCTCATTGCCGATACTACACTGTTAACAAACAGAGCACCCCTCGTTCTGGCCTTCGCAGTGGAGCTTTTGCGGTATACGATGCCAGAGCAACCCCCTTCTAGTCGGTTAAGCTTGGCACAAGCCGTCGTCAGTGCTAATTCGAGAAGCAAAGCCGTTTCAATCGGTCTTGAAAAGGGTCTCAGTGCTGATGAGGAAGGCTGGGGTCACGGGCAGCCGAGGGCTAGGGTTATGGGGAGAGAAGTCACGGTTCTAAAAAGAGGTGGATATTCATGGAAGGGGGAGGAAGAAGAAGTGAAAGACTCGTCCGAAGTAAAAGAATCATCAGCCGCAGCCAAAACTAGCACCCGTGATAGTATTCGAGATACGAATGAGAATACAGCTAGTCACACAGCCAGGTCGTGGTCCACTAGTCAACCTGTTACTTTGAAACAATCGACATTTGTTGTGCGAGCTATAACAATTACCGAGCCATCTCAGCGCCAGTCTGTTCTGCAGTCCCTATTCGCCGCCACACCATCTCTTCAATCCGCGACACACAACGCGTGGGCGTATCGGGTCAAGGTACCAACCAATCTATTCAATGCTACTACGATCAAGGAGGAGTCCTTCGACGATGGAGAGAGTGGATGTGGGTCCTTCTTGCTCAAGACAATGCAAGAAATGAACGCTGTTGACACATTGGTCGTGATGACGCGATGGTACGGTGGGATAATGCTCGGGCCAGATCGCTGGAGACTAATGCGCAACTGTCTTGCAGAGTATGTCTGAACACAGTTCATTTACTCTCCAAACTTATACAATAGGCTAACCTGTAAATGCCATAGTGCATTATCAGAGCGTCTTCGCGTCACAGGAGAACAAGCTACTCTGGGAGGAGAGGCACTATGGGGCATAGACCTCGAAGCCATGAGAAACAAGGCCGGCACAGTCGGTACAGCGTCCAGCAGATCGTATGAAGCCGGCGTCGTCGGTATGCCCATACACCGACCAGAGACAGCCAAGGCGTACCTTTTCAGAAGCTTTGCTACGCGGGTCGATGCTTCCCAAAATCAAGAAGGGAATAATGTCACCAGTGAGAACGATGCACAGCCATCCCACCCAAAATCGACGGCAAAAACAACCTCAAAAAAGAAAACTGCCAGAGAGCTCGATCTCGAGAAGGAGGAGAACGTCGCCAGACTTCTCGGCGCTATCAGGCTTCTGTACGAAAGCTGGGCAGACCACCTGAGTTCCAGTGACCTCGACCGTCGCGCATGGAACTGGTACGTCGCTGTCCGGCCCGAAGTCGAGAGCGGACCTTCTGGTTGGGGCGCCAAGGGGCATTTAAAGCTATCCGATATTCTCGCACTGAGGCGGAAAGAGGAGTGAATTTAAATCAGCAACTTCATTCCTCGTCAAACAAATATCGGGTAATCCTTGCCCCATTAACAGAGATGTCGACCGCCTAAAGAAGTCTTCGCAGATAAGGTTGTTGAAGTTCCAATTCGATTAACAGGTCTCCGTCGATGAGAGCCGCGTCGGTCGGTCGGGATACCTTTATACCCCCTATGCTTTTTATTTACTTCCTGACGAAGTTGGAGATGCAAAATACGCGAAGAGCAAGCGATAGCCCCTCGTTCTGCTTCTTGTGAAAGCAAAAGTTCCTCTCCCATTCAGCTTAGTGAGCACAATCAATCCAGTATCCTTTTCGTATAGCCCGGTACACTTACTAACGAGTTGCTTAGTATCGTTGCATAACAAGGCTTGTTGCATCGTGGCCCCGAAAGTCGGAATCCAGCATGGCTTTTCCTGAAGCCGCATATCCAAGGTTACGGCCTGTTATCTTTGTTGAAAAGTACCGGCCTGGAGGATTCATCTGTCTCTCTACGACATGAAAACAACTAGAGATAGGGAACATGAGCTACCGAGGGAGGCAACAGAATGAATATAGTTACAATGCAGGGGAATTTTTTTTATTTATTTATTTATTTTTTTTTTCAAATAAATCGTCGTTGCTATCGTAATGAACGAGCTGTTGAAGTGGCATATCGCTTGTCATTATGCAAAGAGTTGGGACATGCATCCACGTGAAGTTTATGGCCCTCAATGATCCTTCTTTATTCCACATTTCCCAGACAAGAGTGTGCTAAAAGTCTATACTAACTATCTAGGTATCATCTTCGTCACAAGTTTAGTGCCAAGGACCCAATATATATGTATCTAGCCCACCTGCATCTAACAGATGGGCGCCCCAAGCGACAAAATGGTAATATCGCTGAATCATAAGTTACTCCTATTGATGCAATACGCCCCATAAAACAACCCCTTAGGTTAGTATGTTTATACCAATGCACCTCTCGAACAATAAGCCAACTCAATTAACGCCGCCAGCAAACCAACCCATGCTCGTTCAGTAAATGCCTTCCATCATCTCATTGAGTATATCACGCGAAACAGGATTGTTCCGTAGGAGCGCTTTGCCTGTGACATTTCCCCTTTTGGTTGCCGGTCTCTGGTTTTCTTTCCCAGCAAAGAGCAGGTTACCCTTCATGGACATGGCCCCTTTCCTTGGGGTTTTCTTTGGACTTTTCTTAGATGGCGAGACCAGACTTCCCGGTGCGCCCGTTGCTGTGAATTGTGTTGCGCCGTCCTCAAAGAAGTGGCTTTCAAGCGCGTCATGAGGTAGGTCATACACCCAGTCTCGGTCTTCCATCAGCCGGACGAATCTACTCAGCATCTCCTGTTCCCCGCTTCCCTTTAGAGTCTCGCGACTCCCGACTACAAGGAGCTTTGTCTTGGCACGCGTAAACGCGACGTTGATCCGGCGCCAATCTTTAAGCAGGTCGCCTATGCTGCAAGCCTCGTTACTTCGTACGAGGCTAAGCACTACAACTTCTTTATCCCGGCCCTGAAAGCGATCTGCCGTGTGTAGTTCTATACTATTTCCAAACCCACGGAGACCATGTTTGAGCAGGGAGAGCTGCGAGCGGTAGTGTGTCATGACGCCGATCTCATTGGCTGGCACCCCGACGGCGATGAGGGAGTCGACGAGCTGGACAACGATGCGGGCCTCAGTTGGATTGACGATGCGATTGCCTTTAGCCTCTTCCCGGGGTGCAGGCAATTGGTCCGTATTGACGAAACGAACCCGTGCCTCAGGATCGAGGAGATGGTGCAGCCAACAGTGGTCACTGTTCCAATTAACACAAAACGACCTTGGTGTGCCGGGCCGCATGATTGTGTTGGCGTCATAATGTTTTTGTCGTAAGTGGTTCATCTGAGGAATTACTAGCTTTTGATGTCGTAGGGCTTCAGTGCCACATTTCAGCCGGCCTTCGTAGATCAGAGTGTTGCTGAGTGTCATGACATCTTCACACATTCGATACTGGTGTTCGAGATTGACAACTGAGTCAGGGTGGGTATCCGAGAGCAGCTTGAACAGGCTGATATCCAACCCCCCCTCTCGGGCTTCTTCGTTTTGAACCAGTGGCGGAAGCTGGTTATGGTCTCCCACCAACACGAAGGTCCGCGCCAACCGTATTGGTCCTAGACAAATAGGTAGGGTGATCTGCGACGCTTCGTCTACGATACAGTAATCGAATGTACGTTCGTTGAAGATAGGATGGCTTACTCCTAAGCACGTGGTTGCTACGACTGGGCTGTCGTGCCAAGCGTGTCGAATCTCCTCGAAATTGCTCATTGGCTGATTAGCTAGAATAGCAAAGTCCTGAACCTCAGGGTGAACCTTTGCCGGCGCTCCAAGACGGAGAATAGGAAACTGATCCGTCTTCAGCTTCAACAAGATGTTGTCCACGGCAGAGTGAGTATATGAGGTCAGAAGCACACTCTTCCCCTGGCTCACTAGTGCGCGGATTATATGGGCAATCGTGGTAGTCTTACCCGTCCCGGGCATACCGAGCACGAGAGCATAATCCTCAGCGCTCATGACCTTCTGGATGGCTCGTTTTTGGTCCACATTGAGACTTGCCTGTTCTGACATTGAATACTGCGTTGTGGTTGCTTTGAATCGAGGAGGAGCAAGATCGACCACTAACCGCCTGATCTCCTTTGAGCCAAACACGCCATCTGCCATCACTTGGATCAGATTGTTCCGTACGGTAGCCATGCCATTACTGAATTCGTCTTTATCCAGACGGTACCGCAGAGGCGCCTCTTTGAGTTTTCCTTGCGACTGATTCGGGGTGGCGCCTTCTGGCGCAACTTCCATGATACTAGCAAACACCTGATTCGTGTTCTCATCAAAGCTAGGACGTCGGATACGCGCATTGTGAAGGCGACGATCGACGGCGACGGATATCCTTTGTTTTCGCACAGAGGTAACATAGCCGAGAGCCAGTGCGAAATGACCTGCTTCGTCTGAGACTACGATAGGCTCCCCTACTGTTAGCTGAGAGTCTAGGAAAGAGAAAGCGGAGCTGGCGCCTTCTTTGATGAACGTATAACGATAACGATTGATTTTTGGGCCATCACTGTCCTCAAATGCGGAACCTTCTTCGATCATGACGTTGGCAAAGCAACGCCCAACCTTTTCACGCTCTGTGCTGACCATAGTCCAGAGCTCTCGTCGTAGCTTCTGACCTTCTTTCTCTTCCTTTGTCAATAGACGTTCCCATTTTAGGAAGAATTCCTGGTGCGTTGGAGTCAGATGTTGGACTATTTCTTCGAATTTGCCCTTGACTCCGCTAGTCTCGGCGCTGCCGTCATCAGCGAGCTTGTGGTATATAAAGCAAGATACTTTGGCATAACACTTGCCACAAGTGTTGGCACTTTTCTTCATCGGTGGAAGCTGTACGCTGCGCTCCCTGACATAACATGCTAGCTGATTGCGCTGTAAAATCATATGACGAAGCTCATTACGTATTGTCGGAATCCGATACGTCTGTGACGTCTCCATGTAGTACAAGACTCCATAAGCGATCTCAATATCGTATCGATCTGACAACAAAAGATTGTAGAGTGCCGTCTGAGCCATATGGTTCGGCGTCGCATTTTTACCTGTTTTCACTTCGAAGGGTACAGTGAGAGTTCGTCTCCGAGAACCCTCTTTCATTGTGACTTGAACCGTTGCATCAATATTTCCTTTCAACCCGTACATGGGCGACCACACATGTTCCTCGACGTCAAGTAGCTTGGTAACACTCATATTCGCCTTGTCTCCGCTTCGACCCTGGACGATGGCATCAGGCTATTAGACGGTTAGCGAGGGTGTCTTGAATCCAAAACTCGAGCATTCGCAAGAACCGACCTTGGGAAAAGCAGAGACAAATGATTTAGCCCAAGCTTGCAGCTCTGGCATTTTGGATCGGAGATGATTGCGAGCATCGGCGATTGCAACTTTGATGATATACAGGTCCTCTACATGTTTTTCGGTAATCTTACAGATTACTGTGTCCAAGAATCCAGAATTCCAGTCATTCGCCAACAATGCTTCTTGGAAGATTTCGTGGAGCAGGGTACCATAGACGAGAGGCGGCGTCTTCTCACTAGTTGCCTTTACGCGATCTTGAAGAACGGATCTTCGCATGCAGGTGAAACTGTCGGCAACGACCGTTGCTGATATCAGCTGGTCTGGGTGTAATATTAATATGTTTTGTAAATTGTCTATGACACATCGACCAGAGGGCTCGAAATCGCCAATTATGTGAATATATGATTTCGGGCTCGCTGGTGTTTCTACCCAGTCGCCTCGGAGGTGCACTGTCTTCATTATCTTGGCTCTGTCAAGTTCGACAAACAAAATCTTGAGGATGTTAGCAACAGGCGGACCGGTTATCTTTGGGTACTTACCTTCTCTGGAAGCTCTCTACCCAGGTCGTCTGTATATTGGCTCTGCAAAACCTGAGTGATAAGGTAGCGCTGAATTGTCTTAGGTTTTTGAGATGGCTACTGATCATATTAGCGAGTGTATAGTATATTATTAATGGTATGACTTACGTACAAGCGGTACTGATCCAGTAGGCTTTTTGGCGGATTGTTGTGTAGCAGCTATTTCGGCAGCCTCGAAATCGAAATCTCCAAAGTCGTCCCCGTACATGTCCTCTGCCGAATCATCAAGAGCAGGCTGATGCGAAACCGCGTTCGTAGAAACGGGAGCCTGAGACGCGCCGGTACCTTGATCAAAGTTACAAATCGAATCAACATGCGATAGCAAGTCCCCAGCATCGGCAAATAAATCATCATCAAGATCCGCGAATTCGTCGAACGATGTATCCGCACTTCGAGAGGCATGATTTGGATTCACGGTTTCCTTCAGATCAGGCGTCCGTGGCTGCGTACGAGGTTCTTGCTCCAGTGCAGAACTAATAGTAACATCTAAGTTCATCAGTGTATCATCGTCGAAATCGTCATCGCCGTAATCAGACGAAGCATCTACATTGCTAGGTTCTTTCGACACAACGGCAGCCTCTGAGGTTTGGAGCGGTGGTGATTTCGAAGGAGATAGGCGTCGCTTCGGAGAGCCAGAAAGATGGGTAGCAGGATTGTACCTTCTCTTTTGAGGAGACGGCGATTTTAAAACATTTAACTGTGTTTGGGCAGCTTTCGACCTGTTTAGTTCACCTGTTACACTCTTCAACAAAGCATTGACCATTGATGACTTCGAATTGCTTCTTGGACTCTCTTCAGCGGTAACATCCATCGAGGGGGCAGTCTCGGTACGTTCGACGCGACGGCGCTTCGGCCAATTTGCTCCACAGCTAATTGCTCTCCTCAATCCTCCATCGCTACGGCCTACCTCCACATATTGGGGGGGCTTGGGAGAAGAAGAGACCATAATCTCAGCAAAAGCTGGGTTGGCTGCGCCTAAGGGCGTAGTAGTAGTAGAACCGCTCAAGGAGAACCGATCCCAGAGCTCGATGGCGGGGTCAGCGTGAGGAGACTTGAGAGCTGCCGACAGCTTTCTGACATTAACAGCAGGCGCCACTGTCCTGGGAGCTGTGGCGGGCGAAGAACTACGAGCCCTCTTGGAACCCCGCTTCCGCGGCATTGGCGACATGCCGTACATTGGCTTCTGTTTGGTATCCCACTCGATCCTCTCCTGCGGGCTAGCGTCTTCATCTTCGGGGTTGACATCTGAGTCGCCAATCAGGTCCTGCCAGGCGAGCCGGTTTACGGGAGTGCTCAGATGCTTCATAGGCGCCGAGAGCAAATTAGATGGAAGAGATGCGGCGTCACACTGGGCCGGGCTATCGTTCTCGTCGAGGAATTCTCGTTTAGTGGGCTCATCAGGTTCGGGAGCTTGAGCAGGTGGGCGGAAGTTGAAAGCGTTGAGCTTATGCTTGGTGGCGTCGGCGACGCGTTCGAGAGGCCGAGGACGAGCATCCGAAGTAGTCGAGGACTGGGTTATGGCAGAATGGCTTCTGGATTTGTGCCAACGTTGACGAGTCTGTAGGCATAGTTATATTAGTTAGAGAATGACAGATTCAATTCAATCAAGCTCAACAAAATAATTGTTCTCACTCACCCTAAGGGAGCCATTCTGTTCCGAGAAGGACTTTTGGAGGGGCATGACGGCTTACTACACCCATACGATTCGATGGATCATCCTTCTTTATCTAGAGAGGCGAAGAAGAGATGGCGAGGATGGTTCAATAGATATACATTTACAGGTGTGCATCTAGCGGCAATGGTCGCTGGAGAGGTGAACAACAGTTGTGGAACTGTCGACCAAGCAGAGAAGAGTCGTTGTAAGCCAACCTACGTAGTAGTAAATAGAAAGTTGTTGGTAGCTGTAAAGTGCACACACCTCAGGCTCCATCGCCTTATCTAAAGTGCGGGCTGCCATGACGCGGTGAAGCGCGTCGCGACCGCCACACAATCAAAGTCAATAAAACGCGCCCAGCCACAAGATCCGGGGGGAAGCAGCCACATCTGCCGCTGCCCAGCTACCGGTACTCCACCTTAAGTACCTAAGTACAATCATCACCTTACCTCCGATGACCTCACACGATGGCCCAGGCTTAATGCTGTTGCTCACTCCTTCGTCGTTGTTCTCAAATCACACGCGCCTACGTGCATTGTATTCTTGGGCCTTGGTAATCAGACGCGGACGCTGACAAAATGTCAAACGATAAAGGCTCCAATGTGCCACATTGGGAAGGCAACAATGACGAAACCCCTACTCATCACCCGCCTTGGCCGTTCGTAGACCCTTTTTTACAGGGTCGCTTCGAAAAGAGATTTATAGCAGAAGGAGAGACCTTGAACTTTGACAACCTGCCGAAACTGCAGTTTTGGTCCTCATGGGCCGGCATCGATGATAGGATATCCACTCCCTACATTCTCTCAAGGCTTCAGACTCACGCCATCGCAATTCAGCGTCCTTTGACCGGCATCGAAGCCAACGCCGTCGCGGAACATTCTATACACGGCCTTCGCTACCTCAGTTGGATACAGCCCGTGGCCTCGGCCATCGCTTTAGGCATAAGTGTATCCAAGAGACGCACTTTCTCATTTCCCTTCTATCGGCCCAAGATGCAAAAGTTCGATCCTTATTCCTTCCCCACCAAGAAGTTCCAAATTCTTAAAGGCCAGCACGCTGCTAGAGTATGGCATGTTGTACGCTTCATAGCCTATTATCCTTTTGCTTTCGTCCCATCAATTTTATTTTTCAATTCCATGTGCGAGAACTCTCAGGTAGCACACACGAAAAGAGACCCGCGTCTTCAAAGCATGGTACAAGAGATCCGCCAGAACGCCCCTCGACTGCTCCATATGCGCGCCAGGAACCAACCGATTGACATGCCTGGCGACGCAGGATACACAGGGAACTCCCCGCATCAAGATAATGAGAACACCGGCTACTCTAGTCGACCGACTCCTGAAAGTCTTGGTTCACTCCCCCGGGTTTCTAACTCGGCTCGGAGTCCACCACCTGGACGTGGTGATACTGATGATCTCTTTGACGATGATGATGCTTCGCCGGTAGCACTCTCAGCTAGAAGGCAAGAGACAAGGCAAGGACAAATCAGCTCACCCGGTTCATCTTGGGATCGTATAAGACAACAAGCAAAATCTGGTAGTCCTGATTGGGAAAGGGGTGACTCATCTGGACAAGAACGAGGATGGGGGCGGCTCCGGCAAGACAAATCACAAGACACGCGAGATTCAGATCCCAGGACCGATAGCTACTCTTATTCCCCTGAAGATGAGGAGAGAGAGAAGCGTAATTACGAGAAGGAGCAGGCCCAGAAGGAGTTTGATGCGGTGCTTGAAGCTGAAAGGCGTGGTGAGGGCGATAGCAAAATCAGTCGCGGCTGGCGAAGATGAATGCGACTGTATCAGATAAGGCAAATAATCTGAACACAATCCCATTTAGATTCAGATCGATGTACCATATATAACACGGCATTGTATCATCGGGGATTTGTGAGTTACGTCTCTATCTAGCGCTTCGGACCATTCGAAACAGCTTATATTGGATGGGTATAGTATTTTCTATTAAAACTTTCTACTAGGTGAATTATTATGTGTGATGATCTAGATCTGATGTGTGGAAAAGAAAGGTGAGTTTTAAACAACCTCAGTCAGCGATACCGCTCCGTCTAGCCCATCATGACTCCTTCGTCCACTGCTTCCCACTCCAGAGATTTCCCGTTGTCCATAGCCAGTAATCACGCCCTTTGATTAACCATACAAGAAGACTGGGAAGCCTCATCCCCATCGTGGCACCGACTCCCTTACTCTTCCCAATAGGCACGAGCTGTGTCTCACGAGTATCCTCTTTGAAAACCCTGTCCTCGCCAGCCACTTGGGCCTGTTGAGTACTGGCTACTGCTAGCAAATCGCGGTTGATATTCGCACCGAGCACGGGAACCATGGAAATAATGTTGTGTATCGCGGGGCGCGCGGCCGCAGATGCATCGCCGATAGCATATACTCTCTCTCCAGCCTCGATGACACGCAGTGTCTCGGCGTCGGTGTTGACCCGTCCATCTGGACATCGAAGAGCGGCCGGGACGAAGTCCGTGTTAGGCAGGGCACCCGTCGCGGGAATGTACAGGTCAGCCTGGAGGGTCTCTCCATTGTCTAGAGTCAGTGTCGCATTTGCCGCAACATCTTCCCCACCGGCTCCGGGGGGAGCAACAGTCGCCACTCGCGTGTTATGCACGGTACGCACACCAACCTTTGCCAGGTAAGTTTCAGCCGTTTGTGCAATCGCTGGTCGCAGATACGGTAGGATCCTCGACCCACCACTGAGGAGGGTAATCTGCACCTTGGGGTTTGACAAAGTTGAGCTCAGCCAACCTGCCCGTCCGTTAAGATGTTCACCAAGCTCACCTGCGCATTCGACGCCGGAAGCACCACCGCCCGCAATGACGATGTGCTTAGCCTTAGGCAAAGCCTCGCGGAATGAGCGCCAGCTCGACTTGAGTGCTACCTCGTCATACGTGAATCCAAGAAGCGGCGACGGTGTCGAAGCGCCCGTAGCAATGACCAGCGCATGATATGTGATAGTGAGCTCAGCGCCGCTGTCGCCATCTTTCGTCAAGAGAACCGAGACTGCTCGTTTCTCATAATCAAGGGCTGTCGCCGTCCCTTGCTCGAAGACGAAGCTGCCGGCCGTGTACTGTGAAAAGTTTTTCGGTATGCTCACGAAGAGCTTGTCTTGCGGGAACATAGCATCAGAGATGAGGGCGCGTGGGACAGCTGGCCGGCACATGGTCTGTGAAGTCTTGCTGATAAGGACCACTCGGTACGATTTTGAGTCTGGGAGCTTCGGGACGGCATGTTTAAGGAGATAGTGTGCTGTCGAAATACCGCCGTAGGAGCCGCCCAGAACAACGATGTTCTTCTTATCGTCGGCAGTCAGCGTCTTCAGATCCATCCTAGAGGTAGTAAGTAAATAGAACACAATACCGGTATCACCAGCCACAAGAGAAAATTCGAGACTCCACGACGAAGCTTTCAACTACGATTTAATTGCTAGAAATGCTTGAACGCGGTCATCACGACTTATATAATTTCCTTCATTATCAGCACCCAAGACCTCTTACCCAGCCGTATGGACGGACCAACGCCCAATTTGATGTGTTCAGTTTGTCTGAGCAGGTGAACATCGGCCGAACTGACGGACGAATCTCTTGCCAACCTCATCTCCCCCTTTCCCATACCCCTTTCAGCTTGCCGTTGTTCAAAACTCGCAAAACGCGCTTCGTATCAGGCGTATATGATATTTTGCGTAGCCTGCTAGAAAACGCTCACATAGAATGGACGCCGGTGAGTCATTAGCACTAGGACAAGACCTACATGTATGTATCGGTAGAGTGATCCGTAGAGTGCCAAGGCCAAGAAATATTCATGTAGAGGAGTTGTTTTAGTTTTCTCAACGCGACTCTCAGATCGGACAGCATTTGGAAAATCTCATATTTGCCGTCAACCCGATGAGGGAGTTTTGTTTTCTTTCCTTTCCCCCGACCATGAGTTGTGTCTCTTCAACACTGACCTTCCTTGCTTTACCCAGGACAACAAAGTCTATACAGCCCATTACTCTCTTGGGCCACCTTAGCGATACCGGCGCGTATACATAGCAATCCCTAAATTTTCCGAAATTGCAGCTTTCCTGTTTTTTTTTTATCCTCCCTGGTTCACCGTCCTCGCCCCGTCACCAGTCTTTCGGGTCTTATCTTATCCCTATCGCCGATCCGCCGTTGCTACATTACTTCTACTTAAGCGAGCCATGTAACATGTTCCGCCAACCGTAGGTACCGGTAGGTCAAAGGTCTAGGACAGAAGCGCTATGGCCGTTGCGATACTGGCTACACTAGATTGAATACGGCATAATGATTGATGTATGGTGGACATGGGCTCCCAGCCTTTTGGTTCTGAGACACGACAACTCACGATGCACACAAACAAGAGTCCATCCCATTGCAGTCGCCGACATCCAATGAACGCCGCCAGCGATCCCAATGGTGGGTGAGCAGGACGTCCTGCTATAAATGCTTCCGTCCATCCCGCGCATTCAACACACGGCACATGCTGCCATCTACATCACACCCTGTCGCAGCACTCACGCAGTTAGGACGGCTTTTACTTACATACCGTAGTACACACACCACACCGAATCCTGGACGGAACCCTCGTTGGGCGGGCAGAGGCGGGGAAACGGCTGTCCCGTGGGGGTCTTGATCTGTATGCGGGCTCAGGGGGACTACACCGTATGCGGGCAATGCGGGTTGGCGAGGACACGCGATGCGGGTCGACGGCCTCGAGCTGTCTTTACCTACCTAGATAGTCCGTAGAGAGGTGTCGCATGTCCAATGACGAGGATAACGATGACATAATGGCAGTGCGCCTTTCTCTGCCTGCATCCATGTACGAAGTAAGTCCATGCTCACTACTGCGCGATACTGACACGGGCCCGCCGCAACATGCGTATCTTGCCTTAGTCGGATGTAAGCTAGGTTCCTTACATGGGACCAAGACCCTTGGGCGTGTTCTTCGCTAACGCTACTGCGTAGATAGAACATGGTTTACGTATTGGTAATTGCATACAGCCTGATAGGTGCTGCCGGCAACAGATATCGATTTCGTAAGATTATTCAGGGAATATCTCGATGGTCCCAGTCTGTCCCAGGTAGGCGGACGGGCATGAAAGTGCTGGGTACACGTCCCGGAGCCGACGGCCGAGTCCAATTTATCGGTGAAGCCATGATTATCGTTTTAGGATCTACTCTAAGTATGTAAGGATCTGCTCATCAATCTCTATATTGATTCCACGATTATGTCATGGTAGTCGCCAGTCCATAAGGGGGGGGACGATAGGTAAAAGACGGTAATAATTCCATCCGGTCGGTTCGTGGAGTGATAACCAGAACCCCGCGCAGGCTTCTTCTCTTATTATCATTATCATTATCATTATCATTATCATTATCATTATTATTATTATTATCGTTATTATTATTATTATCTACACATGCTGCGAGTGTTTGTCATGGTGCTACATATCTAGACTGAGTTATATGTAAGTGCAGTACGTGTGAGACGGTAGCATCCGATCATCAAAAGCCGATTAATTCCATGCGCAATCAGGATCAGAGCACCCAGTCCACAGTCGCCGTGATTGGTACACGGTCAGTCTCGAGTCTCTCAAGGCCAGCTCCTCGTATGGTACAACTTACATACAACTTACATACTAGCACTCTGGACTCTGTAGACGAGGGCAGAACAAAGACACTACAAGGGCCCTTGACCCCTGCATGACTCGGCAAGGTTGGGCTCATTACGTTAAATAATCCCCAGCCTAGCCACATTCCGGCGCGACGGCTTTTCTATTTGGTAATGGAAGCACAGAACCCAGCCGTTGTGGCCTGAGAGCTTGCGTCGGATTGGCCCGCAGCCCGGCGTGCACAGTAGTGTACAGTAGTGTAGGCGCGACATGGGCCCCCCTCATCCATTGTCCTCGTCCTCCTCGTCCTCCTTGTCCTCCTTTGTCAAGGCTAGTCCAGTGGCATGGCATGCTGAGTACTCAGATGCTAGATAGTGTCGGTGTTGCTCTGGTACTACCTGGCAGATAGGGAAGCATGCCTCTCGGGTCATATTGCTCCTATCATCTTGCAGTGAATGAGCCGACGAACCTGCCTGTGTACCATTATCGTGCGTTTGCGAGCTCGATCGTGGCATCACACCAGCACCAGCAAACCAGCAAATCAGCGTTGCACTGTTAGCCGACCGCTCTCGGGCAACCTGGCTTCGGGCTCGCAGCCACAATTCGAGCCTGGGTGAGCCTCCCGAGTACATACATGTATGCCACTGCCTCGACCGTCTGTGAAAATGCCGAGATCTGTACTTACACATATATCCTCTACCTACACGGTACCAGAGCCGTCGTCGACGCTAACGACCAAGTAGGCGGTAGTGGTCGCGTTAAAATCAGTCTAACCCGGCATTATCAGACTTCACTAGCAAGTGTCTCTCTCTTTCTCTCTCGTCTAATTATTAATAGTAGGTATTACAATTCGCTTCTTGTCATGTCTTTCCGAGAGATAAGATCGACCGCCTAACAGCGCCCTCGTTATCAATGGCCCTATGGTAATTCGTGCGTTTAGCCATTAGCTTGCTGCAAGAGGCATATCGGCCCTCGACTCTCTGATCTTGTCATCTCCAAGGCACGCCCTCACCTACAGATACATCAGTCATACCCAAGAGCGTCAAGGGCTTTAGTAGTGTAGCGGGTAACGGGAAACATAGACGGCGTCCCGAGCCCCTCTCTGGTTGTCGTCCGTGTGTTCATTACGTGTGAATTAGTCTCTTTGAAACGGCTTGCCAACCAAGTTCTCCCTCGTTGTCTATCTATATGTACCGTCATCATTGGTCTTGACCATTTCTCAGCTAGCATACCTTGAATACCGAGACAGAACTCTTAATAGGTAGTCAGCCTGTCTACCTATTGCGCGTGCTTGGTGGCTGCTCTCCCGATCCTCATCCCCGCCCTTTTCTTGGCTCTATAGATCCTATATTCTTCTCGATACCTTGACTGGTTTTTTTGATCATTTCTTTTTCCTGCTGACCTACCGAACTGCTCCTTTTCATCACGGCTGTTGGAGTTGCAACCTCAATGACGAAGACAAGCCTAGCTTATCTGGTCCTAGCCTCCGTTATCACCTAGAACACTCGGTCAGCCCTACGACGTTCATCGCGAGACTGACACTGGTACAAGTGTCCAGACTACTGAGTATCTATACTGGGGTCTACATTCGGTTCATTCCACCTGCAGCTGTGACTGTGGACGTATTGTACCAAATCCATCCAGGGTGCCTGCAGAGAACCGCAATCAGCTGTGTGTGCCGTATCCCAACCAGACTTTCAAGGGACCCCCAACAATACATCGTCATAACTCCCGCGCCTTTCTGCTCGGATCTAGACAAGCCAAATCCGCCACTTGATTGTCAGAGCCAAGTCTGACGAGGGTTAGAAGCTCAAATATCTCATCCCCGCTAGCCATTATCTCGTAGATAGATATCTTATCATCCGTCCACCCATTGAGCTTCCAGAATTGACTAGGCCACCATTCTCTCCTACGGCCTACAGTATAGCCTCGAATAGAGGCGGTGGACTGACTATCTCCAATCCATCGTGGCTACTATTCCACTGGGGTTGGCCGGTAGCTGCGCCGTAAGCAAAGTTGACCTTATACCTCGTCTATCATAGCATCCCTATTGGGCTTCAGCAAGCAACCCAAGTGCCAATTGGGACGGATCTACCCACCCACAGCCCTGTGTTATCGACGATTGGAATACACGGTCTAGCTCATGATTATTGAGCTTTCGCCCTCGGCCATGTCCAACCCTGGCCTCGTCCCGAGGACGGCTCCCATTGCAATTGCCCCCAAAACTTCACATCGGAACCCCAGCCTGCCGTTTCGGCATAGTCATGCAAATAAAGAAGACGCGTACATGAGTAGTATGGCCGGCAACGACTCGGCTGATTCCGACTCGGCCCTAAGCGGGACCGTAACCCCGTGTGAGTCGTGCGCCCTCCGCGGATCCAAGTGTGTCGTAGGTGAGGACGAGGAGAGGTGTGTGTCGTGCCAGACCCGGGGTGTCGAGTGTTCTTTATGCCAAAGCCCGCCGCCTCGGAAAAGAAAGTTGGCGCGTGACCTGGCCGATGAGAGCAATGGCCATAGAGGGTAAGGATTCACCGAGTTTTCCCTATTTGACCCCCATGCCTGCAGTGCGTTGTTATCATGCTGCTGGGCGCTCGTCTATACCGCACCAACCCGGGGAAACATGGTTTACTAATACGCCATTGGCTGGGGCAGCTCACCTGGTCGGTCAGATAACAGACGGCTGCGGCAACACGCGCCCAGTCTATCCAGCACGGCCGCCAGCAATTCCTTGATTGAAGAAATGGCCAACTTCGGAGGACCGACTTTCCTCAAGCGCACCCTCGGCCTTCAAGAAGACCGGTATTGCCAGTATATCGGCCCGACGACGGATTTCGAGCCTTCATTGATTAACCTCTCACCTTTCGACCCGCAGGACGAGAGCCTCCTCGCTCGAGGGACTCTCCGGAAAGTCAGTGATCATGACACCTTCTTGATGCTGCCGGACGCCGCAACGCCTGGGTATGACCACCAGTTCGATGACGTAGACGAGATTGAGCGTCTCGTCGCCCCCCATGGCCGGAAGTTGCTTCAGCTCTACTTCGAAGTTGTTCACCCGGGCTTCCCTATTCTTCAAAAGAATGTCTTCATGGAGAAGTACGACAGAAACTGCCACGAGTTCTCACCGGCCGTTCTGGCTGCCGTGTACATCATTGCCGTCAACTGGTGGGACCACTCAGAGGAGCTCTCGAAGTATCAACGTCCAAACATCCGCGAGCTAGAGAGACTAATAAGGTCATGTCTCGCTGATGCTATGTTCCGGCCCAAACTCTCGACGGTACAAGCTGGCCTGCTTCTTTCGCAGCGGCCCGAAGGCGATCAATGGGCACCAACCGCTCAGCTCGTGGCCATCGCCCAGGAACTCGGTCTTCACCTCGATTGCACGCATTGGAAGATCCCACCTTGGGAAAAAGGCCTTCGGAAGCGGCTGGCTTGGGGCCTCTATATGCAAGATAAGTGGGGAGCGCTCGTCCATGGACGACCATCCCATATCTTCAGCTCGAACTGGACTGTACAACCTCTCGCTCCGAATGACTTCTCTGAGGCCGATTGCGACGAGAATGACATAGAGGGGAGACAGGAAATCGAGCGTGGCCGGACGCTTTTCGTGCAAATGGTATACCTGTCTCAAGTCCTAGCTGAGATCCTCGAGACCTTTTATACCCTCCAGGCTATGCAAAATGTGACGGCTGCCGGCCCGCAAGGTACTCACCTCGTCCTATCCCTGGCCAAACCAATCCAGCTCAAGCTGAAGGAATGGTACGCGGCCTTGCCGGCGGCCATCCGTATGGACTCCACATTTCTTAGTAGTACCATCTCTTCCAACCGGCTGTCCAGTATCGGATATCTTCATCTGGCATATTTTGCCACCGAAATCACGCTCCATCGCCGTATCATCCGGGCGCTGGCGTCCGACTCGCAGGCCATCGATCCATATCTTGAGCACATATGCCGGAGTGCTGCCAAGGCCCGTCTCATCTCGGCCATGGATTTTGTCAACCGTCTCACCCCTCAGCATCTGCGCGCTTTCTGGTATTTCGCCTCCAAGACCAACTTCGCTCTCATCGGGACTTTTGGTTCGCTTCTCTGGGCCACATCCCCCGGTCGGGAGGAGGCCGATTGGTATCGACGGCGGCTTGGCGAATATCGATGGACCCTTAGCGTGAGCAGTAAACCCGGCGAGAGCCATCAGCTCACAGAGTTTGCCATGGGGATGCTCGACATCTCAACCGGGCTGCTCAAGAAGCTCCCAGAGAAGCCCGAGCTCAGCCGCAACGGCAGCGCAGTCGATTTCAGCAACGCCGGTAGACGGCACAGTCTTCTCTCGATGGGTATGAGCAGTTTCGTGGGCGACACGTTCAGCGGGATCAACAGCGCCGATATCAGCGCGGCACAGAGCCCTGGGAGCCCCATCGACAGCAGCGATGACGAGGACTATGACTACGAGACCTTCTCTCCCACTGGGGGAATGGCGTCGATGCACAGCTGAAAAAGCCAGTATTATAAGTATGCAGGCAGGCCATCGCGCAAGCAAGCCTGCAAGCAAGCAATCTCTTTTTATCTTTTATTTTATCGTTGCGGTGAGGTATATATAAATGCGTATTGGCCGAGGTAAATTGACGAAGTTTGGATGAATTGGATGAGCATGCGACACGATCACGCCATTACCCACGACATTGTGCAACGGAATTGCACAATCGCACCGGTGACGGGCAAGGTATGAAGACGACGGTATTCCATTTGCTCCTCAAAATTATTTCTTTGTCAATGTAGTCCTGGGAATGAACCCCACCAGTCTCTTCCCGACCTGTCTTATTTTCTTCTCTCGGATTACGGATACCCCTATCTTAGAGTGTGTCTGGCGTCAATGCCGGGGGCATGTTTGGCTTTTCGGCTGCCCTTTATCGAGGATGGCCAGACCAATCGGGGTTGGCTCATCAAGTATTTATCATGAATAGACTAATGGCAAGCTTCTCTGAGCAATGCTTATCTTCATACTATCATTCTCTCTCCCGACTTGTTGAATCTCTATATCACATGCATGTGCTTCATCAAACCCGGCTTCGGCTTCGCATTCTTCCCGTGACGATACGATGCCTATAACAAGACATACATAGCATGGCCTATTCTTCCTTTGCCCACCACCGATAATGAGCGCATCACCATGCCGAAGTCTGACGGAAGTGAAGAGCTCGCTCTCCTAAGCGACGGATAGGTACTGAGCTTTCGAATATGTGGATAGAGGATAAAGCCGCGGTGCCTGAGTTGACCCAAAAAAGAAAAATGGCATGGTCAGCCTTGATCTAGCCTCCTTACTCCACCATCATCAATATCTTCACTACACACCTTGGTTCTCTTTACCAAGGAAGAGAAGGAGAAAAAAATATAAGCCAGGCAAAACGTACAACACCGAGGATTCGCTGGTCGTCACCGACCCAACTACTAATTCGGCGCTCACCGGCTTATCTAAGGGGGAGCAGACGGGACCCCGAGTTCTCCAGTGGCTATGGTCGTACGTGATATATCAAAGAATTCTTGGTAACTATATAGGAACGTCCAAAACCGAGCCCTGAATGTGAGCATATCTTTATCACTCCACTGTACATGCTTACTTTTAAGTATACATGCACATACATGTATGTATATAAATATATAACTATATAGATAAGTGTTAATGGGCGATTAGTTATGTATATATAATACGATCCTTTCTCGCTGTGATGAACTATCTACAACTATGTAACCAAAGTCAATCTAAACTCCTTCATAGCCTACACTATTATAAGTCCTATACACTACAACTACAGCCCGTCCATCTCACTAGATACATCCATGACTACAGCTACCATTACTATTATTACATATAAGTAAGTTGAATGAAGAGACAGCAAGAGCAGAAAAGAGCAGGACCAGGGTACAGACGCCATATACAATACTACTAGGAATGATATGGATTATACTTAATACACTTAATATAACACAAAGCAAGCCAAGACGGGACAGGACAAATATACCGCCCTCGTTATGTGAAACTCCCCTTCCTATAGTAACCTAAGCGAATATTAGTCAGATATCTCCCACAATTTTATCATTCTGACGAACAAGAAGAAGGCGAACAGGAAGAAAAGGGAGTCATCAGAAAAGGTGCAACAAGAAAGGGACAGGATAAATAAATAAAAAAACGCCTTACCTAATCCGTATTCTACCAACCCAAGCCAATCTAATCTAGCCCAAAACGCCATGAATCAATCATTCCCCTCTTCCCTTTATCATTCGTGATGCAAAGGGGCACGTGCTTGCTAGACGTAAACTTCATCCATGCCACACGGTTAGTTAGCTCACTTCCTCTCTCCCTCCCTTCGAAGCGAACACGCTTTCTTCGCGGATATATAGATAGCACCATGTTTCGATGCCGTCTGGCGAGCTAGCTAGCCGGCTGTCTCGTCATAGCACACAGCCCGCAATTCAAGTTCACGTCGACTGGATGGATGGATCTTGCGTGTATCATGACACGGCTATCCCATCGCAAGACGTATATACGAGTGCGCCAAAAAAAAAAAACAATGAAGACGATATTTCCACAACGCTCACCACTAATAAGTTCGATGTGAGTTCTCGTCTACGAGTCTCGCGCTCGCCGTAACAATAGGCCGTCTATTCCCGATGTCACCATACAGCATCTCCATGAGCTTGCCCTTCTGGCGTGCGCGGACGCCCTCGAGGTATATGCCCACGTCCTCAAGCCCTTTGATCTGATCATCGAGCGTGAGGGTGCTACTATTCACACTTCTCACGAGCGGTGAGACGAGCTTGCGCCGTAGGTTCTCGAGGTTCGCTTTAAGGCTGAGCAGTTTGCCGTTGTGCTCTACTAGTATCCCTTTGTTGCGCACCGTCTTCTGGCGCACGTTGACTAGTAGCTCGCGGTTGCGCTCGTACTTCTTCACTTCGCTGGCCTTGGGCCCGAGAATGCGTGTCCACAGCGATGAGAGCAGGTCCGCGTGCTGCTCGTCTTGAACGCTGGACTCGCGGACGACGAGGCGGCCTAGGTTGAGGAATTGCCTGTCAATGGCTTCGAAGAGGCCAAAGAGCGCGAGTGAGTGCTGGAGTTCGCTCTCAATTGCTTCCTCCAAGACGGACAAGAACTCGGTGAAGGTGCGCTGTAAAGTTTGCTGTGTGTGCTGGGATTGCGACATCCCGAATACGGTAGTTGCTACGCTTCCCAGCCTCGTCGGCGCACCCGTCACTGGGTTCTCGAGAAGGCCAGCCGCGCATAGTAAGTTGTGTATGTTGGAAAACGCCGTAGCCAGGGGCGGGTTGGGCAGTGAATGGAGCTGCGAGAGCTCGCGCCGTGCCCAATCCATAACGATCAAGATGCTATCGATGTCGCCGTCGACATTAGCGAAAAACTTTGTGAGCTCGACAGCGAGCGTCTTGAGACTCTCGGATAAGTCATCGAGCGATTTGACGATGAGCGGGGCTGAAGTCATGTTGCTCGAGCGCACGCTTTCGCCAAGGTCCCACACTGCAACGCCAGTCGCTTGCAAATCGCCCACCTGGGAAACACCATTTTCTGAGTAGTAGATAAGGGGCTCAAATGAGCGTGCTAGCCCCGCGACTTTGACAAGATCTGGAACAGGCCGCATCGGAGCGGGTTCAAAGAGCAAGCGGCTTGCCGACATGGACAGCATCACAACTAATATGGCGAGAACGACGCTTGCCCATGATTTGGTGATGGTTCGATAGCTCTTCTGAAAGAAATTGACAGCCGCATCAATGGGTTCTGTGCGTTGTTGTATATCGGCGCGGACGGCAAACCGTATATCTGAAAGGTATATTTAGCTTGCAAGACTGATAAGTTTCAGCGACCGGCACCTACAATTGTCATGAGTAGCACTCGGAGGCATGGATGCCATCATGCTTTGTCTTGGGTCTTCTGTGGGATGTCTATCTACTTCCTCCTTTATCGGAGGCATGCTTTCGCTTTTCATTTTAACCAAGGTATCATCGTCGCCTATATCAGGCTCAGGCGAACGTCCTTTTTCGGGACTGATGCTACCGGTGGGCAGTCGAGTCCTGCGCGCGGCTTCAAAAATGTCGGAATCGTGGTTGGGGTCGAGTAGTCTTGATGACCTGTCGAAGGCATGGCGGGCCATCGCATCGTTTCCGCCTCGCCAATTGCCGTAAAACCGATCGCCATTTTCAAGGCGCCGCCAGGCCGGCGGGCTATAGTTACCGTTGGACAGTGAGACATCATCCAAGTTGTCGTCGCTCTCGTCGTCGTGAGTCTCGGCCGAGAAGCCACGATCTGAACGCGCCAGAGGGTAGGCGAGTTGCCTCGGCGGTGGCGACTTCAGGGTCGCGTAGTCGCCGTCGTCCAGACTGGCTTCGGAGAAGTGCATGGTCGTCATTATGTTGCGCGACACGTACAAGCTGTTTATCAGCGTTGCTCTGAACTCTAGAAGTCCTTGTACTTAAGCTTTGACTTGAGCTTCGGCCTGGGCTGCGACTAGGGCTTGAAATGGGCGAGGAGCTGGGTAGTGCTTTGTTACGAGAGGAAAATAGCGACCGTAAGCTGCGACTCGAAGAAGAGCGACTCGAGTGCGATGTGCGAATTAGCTGAAGCGGCGGTCGTTTGATCTCAGGCGCAGGTAATGCTGGTAATTCCTTGTGTAGTCGTAGCTCTTCAACCTCGTCAACCTCTTCAACAACGAATGAAGGTTCTTCAGGAGTAAAAGCGGGTGGCGCTCTCTTGCTAAAGCTGGGAATGCGAAAAAGAGACAGGGCTCGAAGGGGTATACAGCCGACTGAAGCGACGTATGTGAAGAAGAAAACGAAGAACAAAACAGCCGCAGCCAAGAAGGTACCTGGTGTGACGTGAATGCTCAAGAGTGAAATATGAGTGTGCGTATTCACTGATACCAATGGCTGCATTGATATCAAAGACGAGCAAGCTCGAGGGTCGACTCGTCGTCTTCGGTAGCGTCGAAGGCGTTCTGCTCTGGTCTGTCTCTCTAATACCTATTTCGAGCGACTGTTCTAGGGATTCCTTGTCGAGTCTGGTGAAATGTCACATATGCGAACAGGTAGGGATGAGTGTGTGTTCTTTTATAAATATTTGCTCGTTTGAGTTTCTAGCGCATGTAAGTTTTAAAAGTAAGATAACACAACCTCCCAACGGCGCATGCGAACCTGTTGAACCTTGTATCCGGGTAGGGCAACGATAGCTTGAACTCTGTATATATCTATGAAAGTTTGAAAAGGACCAGATGCCGCAGGGGTGTTGTATAAGGTGTTGCACAGCAAGCAAGGCGGGAAGCGGAGTGAGGGAGAAGGTAAGTAAGGTGACGTCTGGTTTCAAGTCAAGACGAGGTGAAGTCGAAGATTGGGCGTCGATATAGAGTGTGTAAGTGGTGGCATGTAAGTAAGATGGGATGGGATGGGATGGATGAATGGAGAATGCGTAGTGGTAGCTGTGCTGTCTGTTTGGTCGATGCGCTGTCGAAGGTCGAATGGCAGGTACCCTCGGACTAGCTCTGGCCAGGTACAACGAGGTATAGGGGCAGCGGTGCCTGTAAGGGGAGATACCAGAGGATACAAGAGGTCACAAGGAGAGGAGGATACTACTTCGTACATGTATTCCTCTTCTATCTCAGCAAAGCGGCGAGAGGCAAACGATCTGGAGTGAACCAGTCAGCGCGGGGTGAGCGGGTGGGTGAGTGAAATGGAGAGGTTGGGGAGGGAGATCCCCGCCCGGGACTGCTGCCACTACCTACCTATAGTACACTACAGTACATGTACCTACCCTTCCTACCTACCCACTCGTATGTACGTACCACGATGTAGGTAGAAAGAGAGCACAGCAGCGGCAGATAGGGATGCCACAGTCTCGGCTGCTCCAATCAAGCGGCGTCGTCGGCCTCGATCTGGGTCGTTGTCTGGGTCTCTCTGTGGCTCTATCGGTGGTGAGACAGATGGACTGCAAGGGCGACAACCGGGGTGAGGGGCGTGGTCTGCGTGGCCAAGACAGCTCTCGCGGACTTGCTTCTACCTCATTGGCTACTGGCCAAACTGGCAACGCCGACTGACTTACTGTAGGGACTGTAGGGACTGTAGGGACTGCTGGGGGTGTACCGTATTATGTGTGTAGGTACTTATGATGTACCTGGAATAACTAGATAGGTAGATATTTAGAAGTCAGCGAGTGTATAAGAGGTTGTCGACATTGCCTTAGTACCTGGTATTCTGCTTGAAAATGATCACTGTATCCGGATAGGTAAGTTAGGTAGATCCATGTAGTACACCTAGGAGGCAAGCAGGCACGTTATGCACATGGTAGGCAAATAACTACTCTAAGTAAGTAAGTTGGGGATTCCTTACCAACTCCAAGTTTGTAGCTATGCACCCGACAGGTAAGGCAACAAATAAGTACAGTGTGTGTGCATATATAGTCCTGTATGTATGTAGGGATTCTACAGTAGGGCCGGGATTCCAAACGGTAGTAGGGATTGGGCATGTAAGTAGTGTATGTGGGATGTATAGAAATACGTAACCAGACACACACACACACATACAATAGGTAGGTAAGGAGGTTGCGCCAGCCAGGTACGGGAATTTGCGTGATCCAAAAAAAGGAAGAAGAAGAACAACAACAAGCAAAGACAAGACAAGACAAGACAAGACAAGACAAGACAAGACAAGACAAGACAAGACAAGACAAGACAAGACAAGACAAGATCAACTCAAAGCTGATGAAATAATTCCAAGACTGGTATTGGTATGGTATGACTTTGACAACGACGCAGCATTCGAGAGTCCCGGATTGGAAGGGAAGGGAGGGGAGGGGTGGCGGGGGAGGAGGCGATTGGAATTATTATATTCTCACTCCCTCCTCCTCCTCCTCCTCAAGGTTTATACTATTAACTGTACACCGTTCCTTTGACTACATAGGTAGATATCTATCCAGGGCTATTTAATTGTAAACGTGGTGAATGTGGTTCATTTCATATCATGCCATGGGACACGATGACACACTGCCCAATGACGGCGAACCAAAGTTCGTCACATCGTCTAACCCACCACACTCTTTGCCAACCATCTCTGATTGGAGCGCACAGTTGGATATAGCTGGATAGTAAGTAGAACATGTGTTTTCAAGTACCTACCTACCTACACATGTACATATGCACTACATACACCCCTCCTACCCTACCTGGCTTGGGATGTGACCGTTGCCATTATCGAAATGTTATGCTGGATGTGGGTAAGTATGTATTACCTGCGCCGCCACTCTCTTCTCTTCTGTTCGTGACCCTGACCTTGACATATACATAAGCGCGTGTATAGTAGTATAGTTAGTTAGTTGGTTAGTTAGGTATGTACATAGTACTGCAGGTAGTATTCAATGATCCCACGTTCCGTCCCGTCCCGTCCCAGTTCTTGTATCTGTGCCGCGCATTACCGTCCCCTCCTTTACTCTCCCTCATCGCTCATCGTCCTCCTGCACGCACTTAACGCGTCTCTTCCGACATATGCAATCAATCAAACGCGCAGATCTGCACGACCCCGCCAATCCCGCCAATCCCGCTGAATTCATCGCGCCTTGGCAAACATGGTGGCCCCTCGCCATTGGTCGCTTGCTTCACTGCTTCCTCACATGACACCAACTGCAAGTCCAAGCCTCGCTCGTCGAGATAATGAATGTAAACAAACAAGGCCCGCCGCCAATCAAGACCCAAGTAAACCCTTCCCCCGATTTCCAACTCCCTCCCACCTTACTCTGTCTTGTTAGAAAAAGAAAGGTAGTTCCTTGAGGTCATGATTGCTACGTAGACCACAGCCGCCCACTAGAAAAGGAAAATGGGCGGGAAATGCCTAGTACGAAAGTCACCTTGTTTCAAGGGATCAAAAAAGCACAAATCGCTACATCGGGCAATTGGCAAGCTTGGAAAGTTCTTCATTTAGTCATTACATGATCATATCGGGCCGTCGTGGTAGAGAGTGTGTTCTCGCCGTAACGAGAGTGCCACCACATCAGATGTTGCCCCGTGGCAAATAAAGGCGGGAAGGGGGGAGGCAGCGAGTCTGATCTGGCCCCGCAAACCACGGGTGATAATGTAAACAATAGATCACCCAGCCCCCTCGTCATTCGATCTGGTCATCGACAGACAACCGTGATTCTCCGACATCCCCTGCTTGCTGCGCTTCGGTGGCTCATCTTACTGCACTGTCTATTCGTCCTAATATCAAAAGGACCGTGACAAAAAGAGAAAGAAAAGAGAGGAAAGTAAATGAGAGAGGCTCATGGAGAACTAGTGTATCGACCTCAACTAAATAAGTAGTGGTTCAACTAGTCAATTCTCGCTGTTTCCAGGCTTCGCGCTGATGGGTTGGCTAGGTTATTGACCTGCTTCATCGGCGGCGGCTGATACTTGCTCTTCTTACGCAGCCGCTTGCGTGCTACCATGACCGGAACGGAGCTCTTGGTCACTAGATAGTTAGAGAACGATCCCAGGAGGGTGCTGTACGCTGTGTTAGCTTGCTTATCTGTCCTTCGCCGCTAGCATTGTCTCGGTATGCCTTACCCTTTCAAAGCACTCCTTCCCCGGCTCCCCAGAATCACAAGTGTAGGGTTGATTAAGTCAATCACTTCTGTGATAAGGTGCTTCGGGTTTTTACAGTGGATCACCTCCACAATTACTCGCACTTGAAGTTGCGTCTTGCGTAGTAGCTTTGACACCCTTTCTGTGATGTCCATAGTGGCTCGTTCTCTCTCCTCTTCGGTTCTGCCTTTGTTCCTTGATCCGGGGGCCGGTGACGATGTGGTACTACCACCGTCAGTCGCCCGCAGGCGCGGTGAATTAGTTGCTCGGCTGAAGGCGAAAGAACTTGGGCTGCTGCTACCCTGACTGGCCCGCGCATTACTCGCCTTAGCCATGGCACTGACTGCCGCCGCTTGTTCTTTCATGGCTTTCGGATCATCCAGCACCGGGCCGCCCGCATCTCCGGAGCCACTAGCTTCGTCATCTATGCAATACATGGCAATGAGAGTATCTCCATCGCGGAGCACGGTTCCAATGGCCCACTCTAGAGCATGCGTGGATTCGTCGCTCAAATCTGTCGCCACCAAGTATTTCCTTAGCCGCCTGTGCTCTTCTTCGGCCTCCTTCTGGATTTTCGGAAACTCTCCTCGGTAGATGATCCGGATAGTACGGTTCACTTCTGGTGTCGAGATAATGGGAGTTAAAGAAAGCTGGAGATTCTGCGCTGCCTTGATAGCATTCACATCGGCGTCCAGGTCAGGGTCAAGCGGTGTCTGTGTCCCTGAGATGGGGTCCTGGTCAAAGCTAGTCGCCGGCTGAACTACTTGTTTCGTCGATTTAGCCTTCGTTTTCTCACCATTTGGACTCGTGACTGTGATCGGGGTATCATCAAACAACGACCTATATTGAGGCTGCACGGCCACTTGTTTACCTGCTTCATACTTAGTGACTGCATCTCGACATTATTTCTGGAATCACCTACGCTCATCCTCGACAGCCGCCAGCAAGCTCTTAGCGGCCTTATTCTGGCTGGAATGGCCGTCTTCTTCAGACTCGGCTCGTGTTGTTAGTTTTCTACCTCTCTGGTCCTCCTCGTCCGAGGAATTCGCTGCATCGTCATCGCTCTCATCCGGTAATAATTCTCCATAAGGGCTGAGGTTGTCTTTTGCGATTCGTCCATAGCCGTCCGAGTCATCCGGTTTCTTGCGAGCCAGTGAAGCCAGGCTTGACCCTCCGTATATCAAATTCGCATCTGAAAGGCGCCGATAGGCATTGTTCATATCAAGCATTTCGCCATTATCTAACATTAATGTATTGGCTAACTGGGGTGGCGAACGTTTGGAGGCACTCCCAAAAGGCGAGCTTGACCGCATAGAAAACCTATTGTTTGGAGATTTGGATTTATTCTTACGAAATGCAAAGGGGCGCCCAGACTCGCCGGGTAGTACTAGGCTGGACAGGTCAGATCCGCGGAGGGCCTCGCCTAGCGAGCCTGCGCGAGGTGCAGCACCCGAACCTCGCTTATGCGGCAAAGCTTGTCCCACATTCGTTGGTAAAATATCATGAAACTTGTATGCAGACGTCAAATCAGTGTTTCTCGAGCTGACGAGGGGTGGAGAGCGGGGAGCCAGGTCATGGACAGGATTCGAAGCTGCATCTGACATGCTTCGGTTGCGTGTAGTATTGTCCGCTACGGGCGTTTTAAAAGTAAGTGTAGGAGATGTGTGGGTGCTTGATGGCGTAGGCAGAGGACTGTCAATGTCGAGCATACTTCGAGTGACCTGTCGTGTAGGTGGTGGGCTATCTATATCTAGCATGCTGCGGACGGGTGACCTCATGTATGGTGAAGGAGATCGTGGTCCAACTGAAGGTGCTCGCCTCGAGACCTTTGGCATGGACATCAGGCTCTCGATTTCTTTCCGCTCTTCCTCAAGGGCTGCCTCGAGTGAGATTGGTGGTGGTCTTCCAGCCATCGTGTCGTGCTTTTTCTCTTTTCCCGCCGTAAGGGTCGTCTAAGGTCTCAATGTGAACGCGGATGTCACACAGAGTCACCTGGGTCTTTAGAAGAGCTATCTCCGTTAAAGTGAAGAGAGATGACACGGATCAACTCAGGCCAATCTTGTAGACCTCCTCTTAACCAACACTTCTCGAATGTCCCCGTGGCCAGTCCCGTTGGTTAGTAGTCAAATTAACAGTGCCAATAATGTATTTCTTGTTGTTACTGAATGTTCCACAAGCTAATGTTATCGTGGAATAATGGTAGGTCGTCTGCAATAGGAATTGAACAGGCAGGGCATTGTTTGCGGTTGGAAAGACAGGCGGCTCAGGCCACGCCGGGGTCGAGAAGCGTATCGTCGTTGAGGTTGTCTCTCGACAAGGTACACCTTAAGGCAGGTCAAGGGATTGCGCGTCTCTCATAGCTCACCCCCAGGAAACACTAGCTCGACGGTGCCACCAGGTCAGGAAAAGCAGTGGTTCTTCTGGTCGAATCGAAGGTAATCAGTATATAATCTGGAGTTGGAGTCATGGAGGAAAACAAGTGTTGCTAGCAAGCATCGGAGAGAAATGGGTTGGTTTTAGGTAGGAAGGGGCGGGGTGTGGAGGTACTTGTCTACCTACCTCTTGGCCTATGAGGCTACCTATCCCTGTCCGAGGCAGAAGACCCTGTAACTAGAGTCTAGAGGTGTCGAGGAACGTCCCGTCGTGCTTCGTTGTCTGACGGCGCTAGGTATTTATTAGTGGCATGTCTTTACCTGGGTAAGGTGTAATAAAATACCACGGTATCAGGAGTTGCTGGTACTACCTATATCAATAGGCTTGTAGGAATGTGGTGGGTGAAACACCTACCGTGACTGGCTGGGGTAGAAATGGAGAGGCGCAGAGCACTTCCACGTCGAGGGACGGATGATGGAGCGCTTGCGGATAGCGGATAGCGGATAGGTACCTATCTCTTAAGAGAATAGAAAAAATGATGAATGATGGCGTCCAGAGGAGGGGAGATTCGCAGCCACGCACGCACACTGTGCCAGAAGGACGGGACAGCTCGGGCGGCGGACTAGCTAGGTCCTCGGGTGGGAGGTAGGCAAGGAGACAAATCCAAGTAATTATCACGCTACACTGCGCTCGTTCATTGCCTTCGGGGTTGGGGTCTTGACTTGGGACAGATGAGGGGAAAGGAGGCAGCCAAGTGGGTTGTACGAGTTGCCAGCATGCGATGTGTAATAAAATGAACAGGGCTGAAGTTGAGCGTGGTGAACAAAGTGGAACTGTTCTCTGCTCGGTTTTCTTGGAGTTTTCTTGGAGTTTTCTTGGTATTATCATCGTCGAGTCTCTCTCCCTTGTGATCGCCATGCAAGGTACCTACGAGTACTTCCCCACAAATTGGTAGGTGCTTCCGTGGATGTGAGAGCGTGATATAGGGAACCTAATTAGGTGCTTTAGCACCGAAATACGCCAATTGTGTGCCGAGCTCCAGGTAGCTTTAGCGTACCTACTGTCCACCAGTTACATGGACGCAAGAGCCTACGAAGTACACTACTAGTCCACTAACAGTACATGGTACCTACCTTACCGCCCCGGGGGGGGGGGGGTATTCGTAAGGGTTACTGCAAGGGTTACGGCATTTCGAAAGCCTTACAGCTGAAGACACTTGCAGGGCATTTACCAAGTGGTAACCATGTCGAAATGGAAACCATTACGG